TATCTCTGACAGACAGAAAAATAAAACTGAATTAAGTCAGAAGCATCTGCTTCTGATGAAGTAAATAAACTTAAACAAATGAAGCTGGTGACTAACCAGTTGCAGTTCCATCTCTGATTCAGATGATAAATCAGGAATGAGATCAGGCCTTTCATGTTCCGACTCGGTGTTCGTTTCAGCCTCCTTCAACAAATAAGAAAACATTTCTTAAAGTGCATATCACCCTGGGTTTGTTAAAAATTTTAACGAATTCTATGCGACTTCAGCTTTAAAACAAGGTACAATTTTCGTGCATCGCAAAAAACTAACGGCTTTTATGCTCAGTTAAAGAGTACGAAATTTGCCTATTTGAGCTGGGGGAGGGGGGGGGGCGTGTACGGTGCGGCTATACGTAGGCTAGAAACGATGACGTAATTTAAGGCATTGTTCTTACTTCCTCCCAGTTTGTTGTAGCTTTTGCCTTAACTCCTCATCTATCGATCTCTTCCTATTGTACTCTTGAATAAACTGCTGACTCGCCAAAGGCTCTCCAGCGTAGGAAATTGGAACATCTTCATCTTCAGCCCCTCCGAAACCTCGCGTAGTTGGGTCATAATTTTCGTCTTCGTCTTGGAAGTTTTGCTACATATTCGGTGCAAACCCAGGAATAAAATTCCATTCTGAGCCATCAGAATCGACACTTGACAAGCTTTCCAAGTGAGAAATCTTATTTAGACGGAACGCAGACGTCGGTTCAACGAAGACTAAGCAACGACCGACGGCAACGAGAACGGCAAAAAAAAAAAATAGGTTTGGATTAATAGCAAAACAACCGGGCTTTTTTTGCACGTGCATGTCGCTTTTGTACATTTCTTTGCCGTTGGCCGTTGTTGCATAACTCCAGAAAACATTCACCAACATTTCACAAAATTGAACGACAAAGAATGAAAGCCATGTATATTAAAAACAGCGTGGATTCACTTTTTAAGAGACGTTTTCGCGCCGTCGTCGTCGTCATTGCTAAGCTCCCTAATGAGTCAGGTCCAACACGACGTGGAACTCTGACATGCGTGCTAAGCATATTAAGGAGAGAACAATGCCTCAAAATACGTCACTCGCCCCAGGCCCTTAATGTCACGGCCTATGATATTACTTTCACATATTTGAAAATCTGAGAAAATGAGATCTAGCTAAAATCAAAATCAATCTGCGGCAACGTTTATTACAGGTTTTCTATTTTTATTCCATTTTTTTAACAAATTTGGGGTGGTAGGCACTTTAACACCATTTTGCGCTTGCTTTGCACTGATTCTCATTTAAATTTAAATTATCGACCACAAACTCGAAAATTCTCCGTAATGGAGGTTCAAACTGCATTCAGTATGTCTACCACTGGGGAGGGGGGGAAGAAGAGGATCACCAAGAAGAAGCCTAAATAACTTCGTTTCACGCTATGAGGTTTATTTAACTTTATCACTGCTTGAAAAGGAAGGTTTCAGGAATCCGCCGTAATTACCTCGTGAAGAGAGATACGCTCCAACTCAGGCAGGGAGACTTGCAATTCAGTCTGTGGCCCCATTTCCTGTGAAGACAAAGAACTAAGTTCATCTAAAAAAACTATTCAGTAACAAACTCGCTGACGATACAACTTTGCGTGAATATTTCTACGGTTTGCGTTTCAAGGTAGCTTGAGCACGGTTTCGTTTCTTACTATGAGAGTCGGATGATAGGGGGGAGGGGGGTAGGGTTCTACAGGGGACAGTTCTGATAGATCTGCTGATATTCTTGAATACAGTTCTAAGCTTAAATGCTAGAAGTGCCGCGTGTTGTCACTAAAATCGCCAAGTACATTTACAAAAATTACTTAGTACATAAGGCGTACAACGGATATCGTGGGATTATTCTCACCCTTAGGATATTAGATCCTACGTCAACTCATCGCAAACGGGTAGTTTTAAAACATCGATAATGTTAAAATATCAGTTGAAAAAGTGGTCGCGTTTGCTTAGGAGAGGAGATCATTTACAAGAGGCTCGCCAGCTTACAAAAGCTTTGACTGAGAGAAGTTTGGTACTTTAGAAAGAAGGTCGCATACTAGCAATGGTCGCACATGGAGGCTTGACTGTAATAACATACACAAAAATTTAAATGAAGATATGATCGTCACAGTGGTAATCGCAATTTAAGCAATTGCAAATGAAGTCCCATTTTAAGCTTGTATTGTAAACCAAAATCCCGCTGAAACCATTTAACGTTTTTTTTAAAGAATATCAACTGGCAACACACCCACTTTTGATTTAGTTTCTATGATTTAGAAAATGGCTGTTCACCCTGTCACAAATGACACACTTACACTTTATAACACCATCTACCCTCTTAAAGTAACTCTTTTTATATACTTTTTTATAGTAAAACGCTATTGAATGGAGATACCTTTTTCTTTCTCTACAAAATTTGAGTACCCACCTGTTGTTGAGGGTCGCGTGATTCACCAAACGATCTTCCATCTCCTGGTTTGAGGTTTCCTGTCTTATCCTGCTAAAAAATCACGAAACCGGCAATGTTTACCTTCTTAATGTTTCGTTAAAACACCAAAGTCAACAATATCATCAAGTAGCGCTCATGCCGTAAAGCATCGCGCTAATAGAAGCCTAATTGACCATTTTTTATACAATGAGGCTACTCTGCGTGAAAACAATGTCATAGGAGAGCTTTACCTCATTAAGTGGCAAATGTTTCAACTCGGGTAAGTTTTGGAACTTGGTTTGGGTTTCCACGTCCTATGAAACGAAAAAACGAAAGGTTCATCATCATTGTACTAGTATTAAAGCGTGTAAAAATATCAATTTAATAACGCTTTGCTAGGATATTAATACTGTCTTGTTCTTTCCTAGACATGGTTTGAGCAATTTTTACAATTTTAACCACGCCCATTGCTGTACAAGATCATACAACTTGTTCTACTTTTGTACTTAAGATAGACCAAGCAACGGATAACACGTCTCTTAAAACAAAATCTTTATATAACCCACCTGTCCCACTTGTTTATTGACAGAAATCCAACATTAATTAGTTCAAGGGAAATCAAAACTTAGATGAAACAGAACAAAGATAAAATAAATAAACTTAAATAAGAGAAGTGGATGACTAACCTGTTCCTGTTCCATCTCTGATTCAGATAATGGATCAGGCAATTCAGGTGGAATCATGAGGCTTCTTAGAATAGCCTGCAACAATTAAATAAAACTATTCTTAATGCACGGGTTCTCATTTCAAAACTTTTAATGTAACTGCTGTGTTACTAACTACCACCAACTCGTAAATCCTCAGTAACAAACGCTAATTAACGAAGGCTCCCAAGCGTGTTTGATTATCTCTGACGGACAGAAAAATAAAACTGAATTAAGTCAGAAGAATATGCTTCTGATAAAGTAAATAAACTTAAACAAATGAAGCTGGTGACTAACCAGTTGCAGTTCCATCTCTGATTCAGATGATAAATCAGGAATGAGATCAGGCCTTTCACGTTCCGACTCGGTGTTCGTTTCACCATCCTGCAACAAATAAGAAAACATTTCTTAAAGTGCATATTACCCTGGGTTTGTTAAAAATTTTAACGAATTCTATGCGACTTCAGCTTTAAAACAAGGTACAATTTGCGGGAATCGCATAAAACTAACGGCCTTTATGCCCAGTTAAAGAGTACGAAATTTGCCTATTTGAGCTGGGGAGGGGGGGGGGGCGTGTACGGTACGGCTATACGTAGGCTAGAAACAATGACGTAATTTAAGGCATTGTTCTTACTTCCTCCCAGTTTGTTGTAGCTTCTGCCTTAACTCCTCTTCTATCGATCTCTTCCTATTGTACTCTTGAATAAACTGCTGACTCGCCAAAGGCTCTCCAGCGAATTGCAACATCTTCATCTTCAGCCCCTCCGAAACCGCGCTTAGTTGGGTCATAATTTTCGACTTCGTCTTGGAAGTTTTGCTACATATTCGGTACAAACCCAGGAATAAAATTCCATTCTGAGCCATCAGAATCGACACTTGGCAAGTTTTTCAAGTGAGAAATCTTATTTAGACGGAACGCAAACGTCGGTTCAACGAAGAATAAGCAACGACCGACGGCAACGAGAGCGGAAAAAAGAAATAGGTTTGGATTAATAGCAAAACAACCAGGCTTTTTTGCACGTGCATGTCGCTTTTGTACATTTCTTTGCCGTTGGCCGTTGTTGCATAACTCCAGAAAACATTCACCAACATTTCACAAAATTGAACGACAAACAATGAAAGCGATGAATGCAAACACGGAAAACGTTTTCTATTGCTTAAATGGCTTATATAAGGAAGTACCCCTCCCCCCTCCGGGTTTCGCTTAAGATCCCTTGCCCTTACAAGTATACCACACAGAAGTTACTTTTTTGTAAGCGATCTAACCACATTCTTCTACAGTGGCTCCAGAGGTCCGTTCTCGGAATTAGGTAAGAAAAAAATCCTCTGGCAACCAGGGTAACATTTTTCATGAATTTGAAGGAACGCAATCGAGAGTTTCTATTAACAGGTCCGATGATTTGAATTTTAAGAAATACAGAATACCAGATCGGACAGAGTGGTTGAAATCGACCCTAGAACTACACTTTACTAATTCCCTGCTATACGGGGCTTTTAACAAATTACTTGACCCGGGGAGCGGGGAAATTAGCGGTGATTTAACACCAAACCAATGTTAAATTGCCCGCTAAGTCCTGGGGGCCGGGGGGCCGGAGTTTTAAATGACTGCTGCATAAACTTAAACAAACAGAGCTGGTGTCACTAACCTGTTCCTGTTTAATCCCTTTTTTAGATGATGAATAAGCTTATTAATTTAACTATAACCGACAGATAAGAACCTGCTTGATCTCGTTTGGCCAACCTGGTTCTTATATTGTTGGGTATTAAAGAAGCAAATTTCTGCCAGCAGGTTATTAAGCCACAATGTTCTTACACGCGGGTGTTACTACTGTATTACAAACTAACTCAGTATCACCAACTCGGAAATCCTCCGTAATGGAGACTTACAAATGAAGGCCCCTGAGCGTATTTGACTATCTCTGACGGACAGAAAAATAGAACTGTTCACACAAACACTGAAAGTCTTACTAAATATTTAATAAATAAACTTTCACAAAAATAGTTGAGTCATGACTAACCTGCCTTTTCCAGGAGTTCTCTGATGGCCATTCATGCTCAGGTTTGGGGTTTCCTTTATAATCCTTCAACAAAATACAAAACAATACTTAAAACTACCCATCTCCCTTTAATAAAGTGTGGACGTGTACACATTTCAAAACCTTTTTCATTTTAAGTGTCATGCGGTTACACTGACCAACAAAAGACAACTGTTTATGTGACAACAACTTTGACAAGATGTACTAAGTTCAAAACAAGCCTCGCGTGCCGAAGGCAAAGATCAACGGTCAAAACTTGGCCTATAAAATAAAAGGCAGTCTGTGACTGCAAGTGGCTACTGTTTTAGTTTTGTAGAATATATTGCAATAAAACAGGAATGAAAATGGTAGGAAACGATAGAAATTCAGATTATTTATCCATAAAAATACTATCTTTTCTCTAGAAGGTATATATTTTAAAAACATCAACAATAAAACAAATAAGCAAACAAAACAAAAACGAAAAGGAAACAAAAAAGAGAAAGACAGAAGGAAAAAAGAAAGGGTACTGAGCAGGATTCGAACACGGCACCTTGTCAAAAATTATACGAGCACAAAGTTAATGTTTTAAAAACAACTGACAAACTATTTTTAAGCGTCTTTACAATTATTTGCTGAGAGAAATTTTTCCTAACGAAGATTTTGACTTCTCTTGCGTGATGATAAGGGATGTGGGGGAGGACCCTCTCTCTCCGGCGTTGCGTGACATAAAGAGAGAGGGGGGACGGGGCCAGAACTGCACTAGACACAAAGTGGTTACGCCTTCTTTGTGTGGTATGTTGGTGTAGAGGCGAAGCGCTAAAGGTCAAAAACTTCCTTTACGACTAAGTTCAAGAAACGAGTGTTACCCGTCGCCAATATTTTTAAACACAGTTTAGGGAGGAGGGAGATTTACCCCCCTGTACCTCTCCTCTCTCGGCGGGATTGGAAAGAGAAACATTATCTTTATCAAGGCGCACGTACAAGAAATTCGCATTCAAAATAGTAAAATCAAAATCAAAATTAGCAACTCCTTTTTCTTTTCTGTTGAAAATATATTCAGCCTTACAAAATTTGCAGACCACCGTGTATTTTTTTTCGGGCGGGAATTTGTTACGTAATAAAACCAGAGGCGGGAAAATGTCATCACGTGAAAAATCATCCGAGGTGGATTTAACCAATCAGCTGCCGCTACGTCACTAGAGTTTGAGTGACATCGTTTGTTGTTTTTGTAGTTTGTTCAGTTCACTCTTCAACGGCAAACTGTTCAGGATGAACTTAAAATTTAATAAGAAAACATCAAGGAATTGATACTGGCAAAACACAAGGATCTATCTCTTTTTACTCAGGAATATGCTAAGGAGTTGTTCGAAGCTCAAGGAAACATCATTTATAAGGATATTTCACGAAAGTCCAAAGCTCCGCAGGATTTGATTTGTATGGCGAGTGTTCTTGGAAAATTGAAAACAAGCTCATGCTATTTACGCGATGAAAATCATGCAATGGACACTTATGCTATACCGTGGAGAACAGCGAAGTGTTTACTTGTAAGGAATTTTTTTTGGTGTTGCTTTCAACCGTTGTCTCGGAGATACAATTTTTTTGTGCGGGTTGTTATTTAAAAAACCAACACTTCACCGAACTGAAAGGACCAGTATTTACCAAAGAAACGCTCAAGAACTAACAAACAAAAGAACAGCTATGAAAAAGAATTGTTTGTTTTCTGGACTTTCGAAAGAACTTCACTTGACTTAAAATGTTCTTATAGGAGCCTTGGACGATAAATGTGAAACTGTGAGTTCAATGTGTTTACTCTTTGCTTATTTGTTTGAACTGAACATGAACTGAACATCTTTCATTTGCTTTTATGATTGTTGTTTGTTACTTTATGAAAAGGTATGAATTAAAATTGATTGAGAAATTAATACTGTGGAAATTATGTGCTTTTGTTTTGCTGGAAGTTCTTGTTTTCACCCAATAATATCATCTTATGGCTGCTTGAAGATACGAAATTTCTCTTCTTGTCTTCAATTCCTTTTTTAATATCAGCTAAAGTTACTTGTTCTTAACGTTCTCAGTTAAAACATTTTATGGAGTTAGTTTAATCAGTTGAAAGAAATAAATTTGAAATGATACTTTGAATCCGCTAAAGTTTGTGATTTGATTTCAAAAGCAAATCTTGTGTTTTGTCGAGTATAAAAATGACAAAGAAAGGAAAATGGCGAAAGGCAAGAGCTGAGTAGAAATAAACTGTAAACAAAGAATAAAGAAACAAATTGCGATAAAATTGGAAAACTTACGTGGTAGTATGACATCAGTTGAGTGATGTTTCCGTGCTGCTGTACAGCTGATGAGAGATTCATCACCTGCTGTGGAGTCATCTTCACTCCTGTAAGGATCAGCGTCTCCAGGTGAGGAGCGCAGCTGAGATGTTCTATCAAGCTGTCGACTCCTGCACCCAGGAGAGGATTGTATGGCATGCCGAGCCAGTTCAAGTTTGGAAGATCTTGTTTAAATACTCTGCTGATGAACTCCACAGCAGGTGATGATGTTACATTGATACCCCAGAGTGTTAATGTCTCCAGTTTGTGTGTTGGGATACTCCTCAGTAGAGACTCTGTTACCTCAGCATCCAACACTTCACCGAATAGTTCACCCAAAACCCATATCACGTGTGGAGCGGTGATAAACGGCATCATCTCAATGAGCTGTTCCACTTCTGACCTGTTCACACCAGCAGCTTGAATCCTCCGAACCCTGGAGAGACCATGACGCTTTGAACAACAGCTGCTGCTGCTCTCTTCACTTGACTCATCACCATTCATGTTTGTCTTCTTTGTTGTCTCTTCTAAACTAACTAACGTCTTTACCATTTTAAAAGGAAGAGGTTTTAGAAGTTTAGTAAAATAAAGGTGAGTGTTGTTTTCTTCTTTCATTAAAAAAAACTCATAAACACTACGCCATGGAAATACATTCAAAAATTCTGATGCTTTCTGTTCTCCTGTTCTACTAACTATAACAGCGTTTAATTGCTGTGCTAAAGTTATTAAATTATTATAACTTTGCTCTGTATACCGGCCGCTTTCAGAGAAAAATATGTACATAAGTGAAGCGGTAGTTTTAACAAAATTTTCCTTTGCTGCAATATTCAGCTGGTCAGGATTTAAAATGAACAAAACACCTCCTAGATTAGAAAGAAAAGTGGGGAAAAGTTCTGTTCTCGTGTCTGCTGAGCAGTAGAAGAATAACTGTGTACATAGAGTTAGAAGATTTTTTTGTGTTTCTGACAAATCTTCGACTGACGGTGCTTGGTTGTCGAAGCTGTACTTTGAGTCTTCCTTCGCCGCCATTTCCAACAGATGAATCAAGATCTCGCGCGCGGCTTCTTCTGACATTTCAGCAGCAAATTTAAAAACTTCATTCAACTTGAAGATCTTTTCAATTGAGTCGACTTTGAAAAGGGAATTGTTTTTAATTTCTTGAGATAACAGTTCTTCTTTTAGAAATAAAGAAGCCAAAAACTCCTGCATGGATTTGTGAATGAAGTGCACGGCTTTGGACGGGTTAAGAGCGGACATGTTAAGCAGCTGAAACAACCCGGCCTCAATCAGTTTCTCAGTCAAAACGTGATCTGGCAATTTACTGAGAGGAAAATAAAGAAAATCTTTTAGAAGTGCCTCAAAGGCTAGTTCTCCTACTTTACAGAGTTCTTCTTTGTGATCGTCGACTTTTTCCGCCGGCTTTTCTTGTTTTTCCGACATATGATTAAACATAGTCTGTATGAACTGGTCATAAATCATCACCCGTGATGAAGGTAGTCCTCCACAATCCTTTTCTTTCCAAACCAACAAGAGCATCAATAGCAAAATAGGTATTTTTGCTATATCCTTCAGGTCTTGTTGAACCAAGTATTTAAAAAACTCTTCAACATCTTGATCATCCTTCAAGAATCTACGAGCGAACTCTTCTTGTCGCTTACGGTCAAAACCGTCGATCTCGAATTGAGCATCGCTGGAACTTTTTAATCTCTCTCCTTTCATGTCTCTAGAGGTCATAATAACGCAACAATCCCTCAACTGCTTTTTCTCCCAGATTTTAAGAACAGGTGATTGCCTTTCTGCGCTGTGTACGTATTCATCGTAGCCGTCCAAAATAAGTAACACGTTTTCTTGGTGGCGACGAACGTAATCGTACAGGTTGTCAGTGGAAACTGGGCCATCACTAGCGAGAAGATTAGCATTGTTCAGCACGGCTGGGATATCGTTGAGGTTACAAACATCGCGTAATCTGATCAAAAGTACAAGATCAAATTTTCCTAACTTTCCTTTACATTTGGGCTGGGACCAGTCGAATGTAGCTTTCTGCGTAAAAACGGTCTTGCCGATACCTGGTCGTCCGTGGACCAAAATGCGCTTAGGCGTATGATGAAGTCTTCCGCCTTCAAAAATGTCGGTGTAGTGTTGAAGTTTCTTCTGCGTTACTCCGCTAGGATCCTTCTCATCCATAAGCCAAGACAACTGGGTGTAAACTTTGTCAATATGAACGGCAGAGCTTTGGTCCCACGGAACGATTTTGACTTTGCTGTTAGTTTCATAAATTGATCGCAGCTGCTTCTGGCACCCCTCGAGGCAACGAGAATCTGCTGAGGAAAATTTTACGTTCCTCTTTTTAAGGAATTGTTCTTTAATAACTTGATATTATAATAGGCGAGGAAAGTTAAAGGGAGGTAGTTCACGCACAAAATATAGGCCCTCTTTGATATAAACTGATCAGATCACCAAATATAAATAAAATTTCCATATTTAAAAACAAATTATCCTCAACTCATGATACAACGACAGAAATGTAACTAACAGTGCATGTAGATAACAGGGCTCTAAAACACCAGAATATAGGGTAGGAATATAAATACTACGGTCAAAGGTAGAAGGAATGCTCTTTATTAATTCAATTTATTAATTCATTTATCTATTTTCTTCTTTTTCGATCACCCGCTTATACACTGACTTTAATTATTGGATGAGGAGCTAACTAGAAAATCTAACAGTATATTTAGCTTCCCAGCTCGCACTTATTATTTCTCTTATATTATAAAGTTATAACCTACCACAAATTTCAGTTATAAAAAAAGTTAAAAATGTAATTTCACCGTGAGCTAAATAAAGAGTCATTAATTATTACAATTACAAATTATGAATGTGGCGGGATGGACAGCCTTGGCCGAGTAACATTTATATGTTTATTATACGTCTTTTAAGACTGCATCAGTAAAGCAAGTGTAAAGGGGCGTTACCCCACAAAGAGAGGTTCAGGGAGGAGACAGTTAAAACATGGGTTATTCAAAAGTATTTGGGGAAAATGTTTATCAATCTGTCAGTTTTTTTACTACTCACATTTTAGTTTCTGGGACTGAATAATAAAGTTTCAATAACCAAAAGCACTGAGCAGCTTGTCTTGGGACTGAAAGCTTACATCAACTTAGCTTTTACTGAATTGTGGGTGATACTGACATTTTAATCACTAAATGATGTCTGGTCGCAGTGTGCACAATTTTAGACAATAAATTTATGTTTTAAACTTGGTTATGCAGGATTTCAGCTGCACATTGAGTTGATTCTGAAAGGGACCTAGTAAGCAGTTGCAGTTCAAAAACATTTTCAAAACAGGAAAAAAAAACAAAATATTTCCTGGGCCTTTCCAATCAATCAGAGGGTAGAGTTCTAGAATGATCTAAAACCAGAACATAAATCCAGTAGAGCAGAGAGCTTACTGGTTAGAGTTCAAGGCTGTCACTATGGTTTCAAGTTTCAGAGCAGGGAATAGAACATCCTGGAAATTTTTTCTATTTTCCTTTTATGTCCTATGAATAAAGTAACCAGGGGTCATGCTCATAGCAGCCAGGGGAAATCCACGCCTCCCGGCCATTAGTGACAGCCCTGTAAAGTTGGTCGCTAGTGTCATCAGGGCATGGTGGGGGGAGGCGGGGGAGAAGGATATACTACCCTATTAAACAACTGTGGTGCTAGTCAAATAGAAAATTCAAAAGTATCCCCAGAAGGTATCGGAATCTTGCTTTGTCAGCATGGAAAAAAATCATTTTTTTAAGATCTATAAGAGGTACCAAAAAGAGGAGGAGATACTTCCCTGCTGTGAACCTTGAAGAATTAATAGATAGAAGACAAAGTTTAGTAACTGGTTACTGTCAGGGAGCTGTTGTGATTCTCACAGACAATGAATTAGTAATCTCTTATTCACCTGTAACAGAACTTGTGCTTGGGCCAGCTTGTTCAGCCCTTCCAGATGGACCTTGAAATACAACAACAAATAATTAGTCATTTCACCAGTGTCTTGTTCACAACTATGTTGTTAAATGAATTGCTTTTTTGGAGACAATGAACTGGATCAAATGCTTTTTGTCTTGCTGTAGGAGATTCATGAATCTTTTAATAGGTCTTCAAAATAAACCATTTTTTGAATTTTCCTCAGCTATTTGTAATTTTAATATAATTTAACAATGAGTACCGGCATTTTTATACCAATGACAAAATGTGTACATAAAATACCATACCATGGTTGCACTCATGAAACAAACTCAAGTTCAAGTTCAAGTTTAGCTAGTGTTTACTGGCGACATTATAAACAGCAGCTGGAACTTGAGTTGCAGGGACCACTTCCCCTACTCTTTATGAACCAACAGTGTGTGGGTTCTTTAATGTCAAGTACGGAATGTTTATATACAGGTATGATGGTTATTATGATTTACAAGTATATATTGTCCTTAATGGCCAGAAGACTAGAAAGTCTAACCATGCATTTGCGCGCAGCAGTCATAAAAAAGGTAGCACTTTCCTCACAGTTACGTATATTTAGCCTCCCAGCTTGCACTTATTATTTCTCTTGTATTAAAAAGTTATAACCTAGCACAAATTTCAGTTATAAAGAAGTTAACTGTGAGCTAAATAAAGAATCATTAATTATTACAATTACAAATTATGAATATGGCAGGATGGGCAACCTTGGCCGAGTAAAATTTATATCTAAATATCTTTGAAGACTGCACCAGTAAAGCAAGTGTAAAGGAGCGTTACCCCACAAAGAGAGGTTCAGGGAGGAGACACCAATAGAGGGCTACCTCTCCAAAGCTGTTAGTGATGTTTGTGGTCGAGTGCTAAAAATATTTCTCATTTTTAATAACTACCCTATTAAACAACTGAAGTGCTAGTCAAATAAAAAATTCAAACGTATCCCTAAAAGGTACCAGAATTTTGCTTTGTCAGCATGGAAGAAATTCATTTTTTTAAGATCTATAAGAGGTACCAAAAAAAGGAGGAGATACTTCCCTGCTGTGAACCTTGAAGAATTAATAGATAGAAGACCTGCTTACACACTGACTTTAATTGGATGGGGAGCTAACTAGAAAATCTAACAGTATATTTAGCTTTCCAGCTCACACTTATTATTTCTCTTATATTATAAAGTTATAACCTAGCACAAATTTCAGTTATAAAAAAGTTAAAAATGTGATTTCACCGAGAGCTAAATAAAGAATCATTAATTATTACAATTACAAATTATGAATATGGCAGGATGGCCGCCTTGGCCAAGTAACATTTATATGTAAATGTCTTTGAAGACTGCATCAGTAAAGCAAGTGTAAAGGGGTGTTACCCCTCAAAGAGAGGTTCAGGGAGGACACGCCCATAGAGGGGTACCTGTCCAAAGCCATTAGTGACATTTGTGGTTGAGTGCTTAAAATAATTCTTATTTTTTCTAAATGGCCTTCGAGGATTAACGCAGGTTAAAAATACCTTAGCAAAATTCTAACAGAAAAATTGAATGAGGAAAAGAATTTGATGCTTGAAGTATCACATCATACTTCTTCTTTGCTACTTATTTTTGAAATAAATATAAACAATTGCGACAATAAAGATCATTTTGTGTTGCAATATAACAAACAATAAAAGTCATTTTCATATGAAAGTAAGCGTTTTTAATCTACTGTATGTCTGGTACCATTTCTGCTTTATTGGATATAATATAGTACCTGGTGACACCTCCTTAGTGGCCGTAGAGCTAGAGGGCTCTTTCCTTGCTGACAGGTCTGTGAGTTAAAATAGAACAGAAATTGAAGTGACACATTTAAAACATGGGTTATTCAAAAGTATCTGGGGAAAATGTTTATCAATCTGTCAGTTTTATTACTACTCACATTTCAGTCTCTGGGACTGCATAATAAAGTTTCAATAACAAAAAGCACTGAGCAGCTTGTCTTGGGACTGAAAGCTTACATCTTAGCTTTTTCTGAATTGTGCATGATACTGTCGACATTTTAATTAATTCACTAAATGAGTTCTGGTCACAGTTTATGTTTTAAACTTGATTATGTAGGATTTCTGCTGCATACTGCGTTGATTCTGAAAGGCATCTGGCAAGCAGTTGCAGTTCAAGTTGCAAGCCCTTACTGACGGCCCTGTAAAGTTGTTTGCTAGTGTCATCAGGGCGTGGTGGAGGGATGGGGGGTTGGGAGGAAGGAGAAACTACCCTATTAAACAAACAACTGAGGTGCTAGTCAAATAAAAATTAAAACGTATCCCTAAAAGGTACCAGAATTTTGCTTTGTCAGCATGGAAGAAATTCATTTTAAGCTCTATAAGAGGTACCCAAAGGAGGAGGAGATGCTTCCCTGCTGTGAACCTTGAAGAATTAATAGATAGAAGACCTGCTTACACACTGAATTTAATTCGATGGGGAGCTAACTAGAAAATCTAACTGTATATTTAGCTTCCCAGTTCGCACTTATTATTTCTCTTATATTATAAAGTTATAACCTAGCACAAAAATTTAATTTCAGTTATAAAAAAGTTAAAAATGTAATTTCACCCAGAGCTAAAAAAAGAATCATTAATTATTACAATTACAAATTATGAATATGGTGGGATGGGCAGCCTTGGCCGAGTAACATTTATATGTAAATGTCTTTGAAGACTGCATCAGTAAAGCGAGTGTAAAGGGGTGTTGCCCCACAAAGAGAGGTTCAGGGAGGAAACACCAATAGAGGGCTACCTGTCTAAAGCCATTAGTGACATTTGTGGTTGAGTGCTAAAAATAATTCCTATTTTTTATAACCGGCCTTGAGGATTAACGCAGGTTAAAAATACTTTAGCAAAATTCTAACAGAAAAATTGAATGAGGAAAAGAATTTGATGCTTGAAGTATCACATCATACTTCTTCTTTTGCTACTTATTTTTTAAATAAATATAAACAACTGCAACAATAAAGATCATTTTGTGTTGCAATATAACAAACGATAAAAGTCATTTTCATATGAAAGTAAGCGTTTTTAATCTACTGTATGTCTGGTACCATTTCTACTTTATTGGATATAATAGTACCTGGTGACACCTGCTTAGTGGAGGGCTCTTTCCCTGCTGACGCGTCTGTGAGTTAAACAAAATAGCAAAGAAATTGAAGTGAGACATTTAAAACCTGGGTTATTCAAAAGCATTTGGGCAAAATGTTTATCAATCTGTCAGTTTTTTTACTACCCACATTTTAGTTTCTGGGACTGAATAATAAAGTTTCAATAACAAAAAGCACTGAGCAGCTTGCCTTGGGACTGAAAGCTTACATCTTAGCTTTTACTGAATTGTGGGTGATACTGACATTTTCATTCACTAATTTTTAATGATGTCTGGTCACAGTGTACACAATTTTAGACAATCAATTTATGTTTTAAACTTGGTTATGCAGGATTTTAGCTGCACACTGAGTTGATTCTAAAAGGGATGTAGTAAGCAGTTGCAGCTCAAAAACATTTTCAAAACAGGAAAAGAAAAAATCCAAAATATTTCCTGGGCCTTTCCAATCAATCAGAGAGTAGAGTTCTAGAATGATCTAAAACCAGAACATAAAGCCAGTAGAGTAGAGAGCTTACTGGTTAGAGTTCAAGGCTGTCACTATGGTTTCAAGTTTCAAAGCAGGAAATGGAACATCCTGAAAATTGTTTTGGTCCTATTTTCCTTTTATTTCCTACGAATAAAGTAACCAGGGGTCATGCTCATAGCAGCTAGGGGAAATCCACACCTCCCGGCCCTTAGTGACAGCCTTGTAAAGTTGGTCGCTAGTGTCCTCAGGGCGTGGTGGGGGAAGGCGGGGGAGAAGGAGATACTACCCTATTAAACAACTGTGGTGCTCATGAAATAAAAAATTCAAAAAGTATCCACAGAAGATATCCGAATCTTGCTTTGTCAGCATGGAAGAAATTCATTTTTTTAAGATCTATAAGAGGTACCAAAAAGAGGAGGAGATACTTTCCTGCTGTGAACCTTGAAGAATTAAAAGATATATGGTTACTGTCAGGGAGCTGTTGTGATTCTCACATACAATGAGTTAGTAATCTCTTATTCACCTGTAACAGAACTTGTGCTTGGGCCAGCTTGCTCAACCCTTCCAGATGGACCTTGAAATAAAACAACAAATAATCAGTCATTTCACCAGTGTCTTGTTCACAACTATGTTGTTAAATGAATTGCTTTTTTGGAGACAATGAACTCCGGGATCAAATGCTTGTTGTCTTGCTGTAGGAGATTCATGAATCTTTTAATAAATGTTCAAAATATACCATTTTTTGAATTTTCCACATGCCAGCTGTTTGTAATTTTAATATAATTTAACAATGAGTACCGGCATCTTTATGCCAATGACAAAACTATGATGTGTACATGACATACCATACAATGGTTGCGCTCATGAAACAAACTCAAGTTCAAGTTCAAGTTTAGTGTTTACTGCCGACATTATAAACAGCAGCTGGAACTTGAGTTGCAGGGACCATGTCCCCTGCTCTTCATGAACTAACAGTGTGTGGGTTCTTTGATGTCTCATGGAATTTTTATATACACGTATGATGGTTATGATTTACAAGTATTGTCCTTAATGGCCAGAAGACTAGAAAGTCTAATGATTTGCAGCTGTCATACAAAAGGCAGCACTTTCTTCACAGTTGCGTATATTTAGCTTCCCAGCTCGCACTTATTATTTCTCTTATATTAGAAAGTTATAACCTAGCACAAATTTCAGTTATAAAAAAGTTAAAAATGTAATTTCACCATGACCTAAATAAAGAATCATTAATTATTACAATTACAGTTTATGAATATGGCGGGATGGGCAGCCTTGGCCGAGTAACATTTATATGTAAATGTCTTTGAAGACTGCATCAGTAAAGCAAGTGAAAGGGGCGTTACCCCACAAAGAGAGGTTCAGGGAGGAGACACCAATACAGGGCTAGCTGTCCAAAGCCGTTAGTGACGTTTGTGGTTGAGTGCTAAAAATAATTCTTATTTTTTATAACTGGCCTCGAGGATTAATGCAAGTTAAAAATACCTTAGCAAAATTCTAACAGAAAAATTGAATGAGAAAAAGAATTTGGTGCTTGAAGTATCAAGTCATACTTCTTTGCCACTTATTTCTGAAATAAATATAAACAACTGTGACAATACAGATCATTTTGTATTGCAATACAAGAAACGATAAAAGTCATTTTCATATTCAAGCAAGCGTTTTTAATCTACTGTATGTCTGCATGTACCATTTCTGCTTTATTGATATAATAGTACCTGGTGACTCCTCCTTGGTGGCCGTAGAGCTAGAGGGCTGTTTCCCTGCTGACAGGTCTGTGAGTTAAACAAAATGGAATATAAATTGAAGCGAGACATTTAAAACAACAGTTATTCTAAAGCATTTGGGGATGTTCATCAATATGTCAGTTTTTTTACGGCTCACATTTTAGTTTCTGGGTCTGAATAATTAAGTTTTTATAACAAAAAGCACTGAGCAGCATGTCTTGGGACTGAAAGTTTTACTGAATTGTGGGTGATACTGACATTTTAATTCACTAAATGATGTCTGGTCACAGTGTGTACAATTTTAGACAATAAATTTATGTTTTAAACTTGGTTATGCAGGATTTCAGCTGCACACTGAGTTGATTCTGAAAGGGATCTAGTAAGCAGTTGCAGTTCAAAAACATTTTCAAAACAGGAAAAAAAACAAAGCAAAATATTTCCTGGGCCTTTCCAACCAATCAGAGGGTAGAGTTCTAGAATGATCTAATACCAGAACATAAAGCCACTAGAGCAGAGAGCTTGCTGGTTAGAGTTCAAGGCTGTCACTATGGTTTCAAGTTTCAGAGCAGGGAATGGAACATCCTGAAAATTGTTTTGGTCCTATTTTCCTTTTATTTCCTATGAATGTAACCAAGGGTCATGCCCATAGCAGCCAGGGGAAATCCACACCTCCCGGCCCTTAGTGACAGCCCTGTAAAGTTGGTCGCTAGTGTCCTCAGGGCGTGGTGGGGGGAGGCGAGGGAGGAGGATATACTACCCTATTTAATAAACAACTGTGGTGCTCGTCAAATAGAAAATTCAAAAGTATCCCCAGAAGGTATCGGAATCTTGCTTTGTCAGCATGGAAGAAATTCATTTTTTTAAGATCTATAGGAGGTACCAAAAAGAGGAGGAGATACTTCCCTGTTGTGAACCTTGTAGAATTAATAGATAGAAGACAAAGTTTAGTAGCTGGTTACTGTCAAGGAGCTGTTGTGATTCTCACATACAATGAATTAGTAATCTCTTATTCACCTGTAACAGAACTTGTGCTTGGGCCATCTTGCTCAACCCTTCCAGATGAACCTTGAAATACAACAACAAATAATTAGTCATTTCACCACTGTCTTGTTCACAACTTATGTTGTTAAATGAATTGCTTTTTTGGAGACAATGAACTGGATCAAATACTTTTTGTCTTGCTGTAGGAGATTCATGAATCTTTTAATAAATCTTCAAAATCAATCAATCTCAGCTGTTTGCAATTTTAATATAATTTAACAATGAGTACAGGCATCTTTATACCAAATGACAAAATGTGTAAATGACATACCATATCATGGTTGCACTCATGAAACAAACTCAAGTTCAAGCTCATGTTTAGTGTTTACTGACGACATTATAAACAGCAGGAACTGGAGTTGCAGGGACCACATCCCCTGGTCTTTATGAACTAACAGTGTGTGGGTTCTTTAATGTGTCATGGAATGTTTATATACATGTATGATGGTTATCATGATTTACAAGTATTGTCCTTGATGGCCAGAAGACTAGAAAGTCTAGCCGTTTGCAGCTGTCATAAAAAAGGTAGCACTTTCTTCAAAGTTACGTTTATTTAAAGATCCTGATCTTACAGCTGTACAACCTGTAGCTCGACAGACCAATTTCCCAATTGAGCTACAGAGTAACTGGGCAGTGGATCAGCTCCCCTAAGGGGAAAGAAACACTCCACCTCAGAATTCCAAAGACCCACGGAAAGACCCTTGTAGGTATTAATTACTTGGAATTGTTCTTAATCTCCAAAAATATCTACAAGAAACACGAATGTCAACATATTATTTTACAACTTTCTTTACCTTGGTTTTTTGGTTTCCCAAATGGTTTCTGGAAGGGCTTTGCAGCACTTCTTTTCACCTGTTTCCAAAGAGTATCTCCTTTCTTCTTAGATCGATCTTTATTCATTCTACAATTAGAACAAGATTAAAATTAAATGCATTAGAAAATAGTAGTTTAGTGAGGCCAACTGATACACTTCTCCATGCTGCTCACTAAGTTTATTTTAAAAATTTCCAATATTTTGCTGTTCCCTACAACGAGTATCTCAACTTCATTTTTAATGTCAGCAAACTAGCTGTCGTGGTCCAAAATCTCCAAATTATAACTTTCCCTGCCAGCAAATCACCAGGATACTTTTGAGGACTTCAGTAACACAAGAAAGTCTTTCATTCTACTTGTATAACACATCACATAAGGTTCCATTAATTAGGTATATTGCAGGGCAGGGGGGGTGGGGGGGGGGCAGAGGATATTTTTTAAAAGGGCAAAATTTTTTAAGATCGGGCCCCAATTCATAGAGAATTTTCAGACAGCCCCCCTTCTTGACCAAAAAAAAAAATGGCAAACTCCCCCAACCAAGTTTTCACGAGAAAAGTAAAATATAGGCAATATGGTGAAATGGTGGAGAGATTAATGTTTAAATAGATAACTAAAAACAAAAGGTAACCAACGGTTCACAGATTTTTGTGAAATAAAAATACAGTCAACTCTCGATAACTCAAACCCTCGCTAACTCAAACCAAAATCGATTTTCCCTGGATTTCCCTCATATATTCACTGTAATTTTACCCTCGGTAACTCAAACCCACGATAACTCGAACTCTTAATAACTTGAACACCCGCTAACTCTAACCAATTTTCATTTCCCCTCAGGTCATTTTCTATTTAATTTTACCCTTGATAACTCGAACCATGTTTTGAGCCATTAAAAAGTTGGGAAAAAAGCTGTCTAATGGCATCCGAAACATTGAATTTTAGATTTCCTATTGACATGTTATAGGAGTAGTATAGTTTACTAGTGGAGGTTGATGTTAATGTCACAGGTTAACGTGAAGCAGCTTTTCTTCTCAAAACAGTAAAATGCATGCTCCATTTATGCTATGTTTTGTTACGTTACATTCTGATTTACAATCTAAAAGTATCTTTTAATTTTCACTTGACACTTCTACAATTAAATGTGATTAAAATGTTCACTGTGCAGTAAAAACTCTGTAGTAAAAACTTCACAAAGACAGTTGCAATGTGTTTTCAAGCATTAAATTTGTACAGTTTAATAACATTCATCAGCAAATGTTAAACCAGTGAAACATTTTTCAAGTTCTGTATACTTTTTGTGCCATCAAGCACTTCAAGACATTCCAAAGTGAACTTTTTTGCTTAAGAATACTAATTATAAAATACTTTGTATGGCTGTTATGTTAGTTTATAGAGCTCTAGTTTGGTCCATTCATTAGTCCTGATTTCAGTGGCTACTGCTAAACACAGAAATAACAGCAATTTTCCAGTTAAAGAAAGATTGAACTTTTCATTGCAATTTTGTAGTTGTTGTTGACTCGAAAGCAATTATATAGCTTTACAATAAAAACACTTAAATGTTATATTAATAGTTAAAGTCCTATAAAGAGTGTATTTATCAAGCAAATAAGCTAGCAAACTTTCTTTAAACATAGAGTAATTAACGTAGTCTTCTTTTATAAAAAAGAAATCCACAAAACAATGCTTCCTAATTTTAATAAATGGAGAAAAACAAATTAGCAAACCCCCCTTTCTTCTGTCAAAAATTTTGGTAAACCCCTTGTCCCTTGCCAAAAATTTTGAGATCCCCCAAAAAATCCTCCCCCCCCCTGGTACACATAATGAATGCAGTCTAAAAGAGGATTCAGACTGTAGAGCAATTATTATAGATCAGTATTGTAAGGGAATACCTTTGTTCAGTAAAATGAAATTCCGTCAGTCCTTCACTCTAAGCCGTGCCAACTGTCTCGGTTAACCAGTGTAACTGAAATAAATAACAAAAAGTAATACTTTAAGACAAAAACAGAAATGAAGTCAAGATAGTTTTCCACAAAGTTCCATACATTTTATTGTGTATAAAATGTTTTGACACTATTCATAAACTGTTTTAGTGAAATAAAGTATGAGATTGTTAAATGCATATAAATGTATGGGGTTATGTATGGAAGTCTTACCCAAATGAACTTGTCAAGACACTGGGTAGAGGATCACTGATGTATTAAATGACAGATGTCTCTCATGAATTTTTAGAGGGTAACTTAGGGGAGCAAAGATTTGGTTTGTAAGAGAGAAGAATGTGTTTATCATACTGCTGATAAAAAGCCAACTCTTTAGTCTCACGACAACAGTTTTTGTTTTGTAATTTCATCTTTAATTGAACATGATAACTCTCCTGAAAATGAAAGGCTGGTTTATAACTCCTGAAAATGAAATGCAAGCACAGTGAGATATGCTGGTTTATCAAACTTTATTGATTAGGTTGCAAATGTAAATCAAGTTCCATTAAAATCATTATAGCACAAACTGACCTGAAATATGCATAACTCAGTATCCTGTATCATAAAGTTTATTGATTAGGGTTTTGTTTTCAAACACCTGAAGTTAAAAACAAAGTCAAGTTCCATTTAAATCATTTTACTGAGGTCAAAGGATCTAACGGGCCAGAAAAATCATGGGGGTGTGTCCTTTTGGAGGAGAACAGGTCAACCTTGATTCAATGGCAGTGTAAGTCCATTGTTCATTAATTAATTGAAGAAAAGAATACAGGCTTCAAAAAAGTCTTAGAATGAATAATAGACTCACAAAAACAGCTGCGTTTACTGATCAACCATTATAGATTCAAGTCGATTGTTCTTTATGAATGCCTAATAAACAATAACCACATTGATCAACCATTATAGATGAAGCATTACCTTTTGAATGTAATTACGCTAAGCAACTGCAAAAAAGAAGCTAACTGACCTCGCAATTCATTGCTAAGAAGAAGCTGCCAGAAAAATTGTCACATGTACTTTTCACTCTTAGGTCCCAGTATTTTGCTCGGTCGATCTGCAAAAAAGTTGGAATGTCGATAAAGGAAAACTAAATGAGGAAATTGGATCGACTTATGTCAATTATCGGGAGAAGCGATAAATAGGTTAGTACAATTTCTATTGTATCAATAAGAGTAGCATCAAAGGTATAACTTGTTATCTAAATAATTTGAGCCTTCCGTAAAATTTAGCTCTATTGGCGGACGGTTTTATGGATCATGTTTGTATTGAAAAGCACTGAATGCGTCATGTTGATTCTTTAGATGCTTCTTTTCTCTTAAGGTGGCTGAACACAGTTTTGGCAGTTTCTGAGTATAGGTCATTTGCCAAATTATGGCAAGAGAAAGGTTGCAGCTCACAGGCTGAAACTTGGCAAGTGAAAAATATAATGATGAAAGATTTTGACTGACAGGCAAAATTTGACGTTTTCGTAGTTTCCATGGCAACATGAACGATTGAATACAACCTTAAAATTTCACTTTTACTCAGTTTACATAAAATTCGCTCATTAGATTTTCCTATAAACTCGCACACAGCTTACTATAATTAATCATTACTGATTTGAAACTTATTTGACCAAATTTTAACAGAGGGGTTTTCAGATAATCAATAATATAATTGTACTGTTATTATTAAATGTGTCACAAAATTCGTCTGTTCAACTCCCATTTTAAAGTTTTCATTATTTAAAATACGATAAAAGTAAAAATTCTGCCAAATATGACAAAATTTTAATGAGTAGATTTTGAGAAATCGTCTTCTGTCTTCCACTGCTTTTTTCGCCGCCATGTTTGTTTGTCTAATTTAAAACATGCGCTACCGCTGACCGCCCGCGAAACTGTGTTCAGCCACCTTAAGCTGCTCATGAAATGGGTAAGTTAAACTTTCCGATCAAAAATCTACAGCTGAAGGTAAAATGTTCGTGAATGTTGATAAGTACAAACCTCTTGACTTTCCAGGAGCAAATGTCTAATGTAGAGAAAGGAAAAAGGGACAGAAGAACTGATAAGTAAAGATAACTAAGGTCTCGGGGGGTACTGTCATATATGAGCTGAATTTTATGAGGAAAATACTCAGTTTATCATTTTCTTTATGCAGAGATCGCACAAATTCGCAACGAGGAATTATATAAATAGTCTTTCCTGAGTTCCTCGGGATATAGCTCTAACTCAGTTCATGTAGCTAAACGGCTTCAACAAGCTCCAACAGTGGCTCAGTGAATCCTACTTTAATTCACACTTCCTTGTCGAAAAACAGGAAAAGAAAAGATTGACCAATCACCATGATTGGAAGATAAACCGCAGAACTTTGTGTTTAGCGACAATTGTAAAAACGCATTAATCTACCAAGAATGAGTCCAGAATCAGGCGATCTAAATTTGCAAAATAAGGAACGCAAAAGTGACAATATGTTTTAGTTAAAAGAAGTTACAGCTTTGTTGATTTGCGCTTAAAACGAGAAAGAAGTCTGTTAAAGACTGAGAACATTATTTAAGACTTCTTGAAAGCCCTGGACTATCCTGGACATGCACGACGGTCACCGATCTTCAGCTGATTATTTTGAAGGGGCTGTGTCACGGCAGTCCAGTTCATTTTGTTTAATTTTGCCAATTACTCGCCCTCAACCGCTATGAAAATTAAATTAAGCAAAGAAATTACAGGTATATGACAAAATCAGAGATCTGAGACAAACAAATATGTCTCCTGAGTATTATCTTTGAAGTTGCAAGCAGCAGGGATCAACTTTGAAAAACTGTTAAGCTGAACAGTTTTCAAAAACCCTAATTTCAATCCGTTTCAATCTTCTTCAGTTTTGCCCATCCGTGGCATCTGTTGTTTCTGTTATGTTATTGTGACCTTTCTTTAAAGTTTTAAGCGGTTAGTTTTATGTTCCTCTTAATTTAACGGGCATTTTGTAATTTCCTAATTTGGCTAAATTTCGTGACACAGATAATTTTAAGTTTACTGATCATCTTCACACAAAAATTCCTTTGCAGCTTGAAATTACTAGAAGAAGCTTCATGAAAAGTTGCATGCAATGTTGGCTCAATATAACAGAATCAGTTTTGTGTTAGTAAGACCTTCATTTCCTTATCATTAATGTCGCAATTTACCCCTAAAGCATACACTGCAGATATTATCTACTGACAAAACAAGCCACAAATAGAGAAGTAATTCCGTGGCGTTCATTCTCTGCTTATTCATCACTGCCTAAGTTTCTAAACTAACAGCAGTGGACATTCGAATTTCAGAAAGTCTACTTACCGGCGTCACTGGGCCATCCAAAAGTATAGCGGTACATCAAGAACCAGCGATAATCAAGGTACCCGATTTCTCCTTCTTTGATTTAAGAGCGGCTAACTGTAAATATATAGAGAATTCGCCGTCAAAACTGAAATTTCGAAATACTTCATTTTCAGTCAGAAAGAACCCTTTGGTACGGTAGCCCACAACTGTCACGTCAAAACCAAAAACCTCACGGCAAAAACAAAATACCTCACGGCAAAAACAAAATACCTCACGGCAAAACCGAAAACCATACGTCAAAAACAAAATACCTCTCGACAAAACCAAAAACCTCACGGCAAAACCAAAGACCTCACGGCAAAACCAAATACTTCATAGTAAAAGCCAAATATCTCACGGCAAAAGCAAATACCCGCGGCAAAACCAAAGCTATTTTGTTTTTGCTGTGAAGTATTTGGTTTTGCCGTGAGATTTTTGGTTTTGCCGTGAGGTATTTTGTCACAGCATGTCAACAAATGATATCGACACCACCCTAAGCACTCCTTTTTTAATTTATTTTTTGATTTATTTTATGTTCAGTAATTAAAGAGCTTGCATTCATTATAAACTAGTCCTATTGCTTCAGTGACCCAGGTGGAAGGTCGCCCTTAATGCGCTCTTCCCAACTGGTCGACAAAATGCTTTAAATCTATTAAAAACTGTTAAATTGACACAAAATGTTCGTACGAAAAGTAATATTATTGAAACAAACAACTGAAGGGCACTTCGCCTCTTCATAAAATACGTTATTTAACCGGCCAAGAAAGTACTCAAAGTTTCCTCTTATGAACTTTACGGGCAAATTTATCATCAGTGAACTCAGAGGAACCATTTGATGTTCGTCATTACCTGAGTAAAACCTTGCTACTACAGTTTGTATTAAAAAACGCTTAACAAAGAGTACAGGATTGGCCTTTGAATGGTTCCTTTATACTATCTATCTCTCACTTGTCGGTCTATTCCCCACCGTAGGGCACACAAAAAAGGCCGTAATTCCCACCCCGGGACTTTTCATCGAGTTCAACTATGCGGCTGTTTCGTTTAATAATTTGTATAGAAAATAAAGAGAACCTGACTTACATTGCATCAACAACAACAAAAAAAACCGGGATACCCGCACAACCGCCTCAATTGTTTCACGCGGCCACAAATACTTCGCAGACACACACAACAAAAACACAATGAAAAGTTAGTTTTAATTTGCCAACCCTCACTATACTCTCAGCCCTCGGGACCCGGGCCCGAAGCTCTAGACTTTTCCCGCGGGCTACCTTGGGGACGGAAAGTAGAAAATAAAAAAGAACAAGGTTTTTAGGGTTTTGGTCATTTGGGTAAACGATTTGATAGCCAATTGTGTGTGTGGAACAAGTATTTAATAATAATAATAATAATAATAATAATAATAATAATAATAATAATAATAATAATAATAATAATAACATAATTTATATAGCGCTAACTCCACTAATTGACCAAAGCGCTTTACAAATCATAACATTAAAATAATTAAAAAGATCCCACTGGTAATAAAATATGAATAAATTAAAAACCTATTTGCAGTCTTATTTATAAAAATATCACAATAAATCCTATTCGAAATTATCAAAAAGTTAAACATTATATGCTTTTTTAAAAAGATCGGTCTTTAAGTGTTTCTTGAATAAATTAATTGTATCTAAACTTCTAAGATCTAATGGCAGCTCGTTCCAGATTTTAGGTGCAGCAACGGAGAAGGCCCTGTCTCCGTATGTTTTAAGTCTTGACTTCGGAACTGCCAGAAGTTTTTGATCAGTAGAGCGTAGCGTACATGAACATGTACGATAACTAAGTAATTCCGTGATATATAATGGTGCCATACCATTTAGCGCCTTATAAACTAACAATAAAACTTTAAAAAGAATCCGAAAGTGAACAGGTAACCAATGCAGTTGAATCAATACAGGGGTGATATGATCAAATTTCTTGGTTAAAGTAACGATACGAGCAGCCGTGTTTGCACATTTCGTAGCTAGTACTGCGTAGAGAGCCAAGTATTCAATACGATATCGATATCGATTTGAAGCAAGAAGGGTCGGTTTTCGTGGGAGTGTCTCAACATTTTTGCAACTGGTTTTTTATATCGGGAAGGTCGAAATTATGGCTATTCAACACTTTTCATTCGAATACGATTAAAAATATGAGAATTTCCTTTCTAACATTCCCGTTATACAAATCCCAAAAATAGGTGAGACTTGCATAAACGGTTTCCCATGCTTCCTTGTGTACCAATTTTTTTTTCTTCTTTTCTTGTATTGTGCATGACTTTGTTTTTCTTTTGCTAACCCCCCTCCTCCCCCCCAAAAAAATAAATGGCTGGCCCGTCCCATAGCAAAAATGTGAAAAAACAAGAGATACCATTCGGAATGAATCGTGATCATGACATGTGATTTACACATGAATGCTTTCTGCAACGATCGCTTTATCATGGCTAGTGACTTGATCGGAGTCATGATCAGTTTTAGCTCATTCTCTCTTGGTTTTAGTCTCCTTCGCAACTGCACGGTCTAGAGTCACGCAATGCTCTCCTCCCTCACGCGTGGACGTTTATCTTAAGCCCTGTCCACATTAAAACACGTAGAATTTTGAACGTGCTGTGTTATTAAATATTTTTGGTCCAGGCTGCACCGGTATGTTGGAAAACACATCATTTATTTGGTCAAAAACGGATAAACATGCAAAGTGCATATATTATTTTCAAAATGTTTTCTCTCAGATTAAAAATCAATTTACGCAAACCTGATGTTTTTCAATTTACTCGCTTTGAAGCTGGAATATGCGATGAGCGTTTACCAGAAGTTCCGAGATCGTATGAGTTTCGCGCGCGCGTGTGCCTCACACGTTCACAGGGCGTGGCAAATCTCCTTTTCGCCTTCTGCGCTCCAAATGTTTCGTTTCAGCATGGGTTCTTGATCTACGTAAAATTACGGGCTGATTTACAGTAGAAAAAGTTCCATTTCTCTGGTCTACAATTTATCCAGCTAACTTTGGTGAAAAAACAAACAAACAAAAAACGGACACCTAGAGTTAGTACCCTCTAGCATCAGTCCCTTTCATTGGTACACAAGGAAGCATGGGAAAACGTTTATGCAAGTCTCACCTATTTTTGGGATTTGTATAACGGAAATGTTAGAAAGGAAATTCTCATATTTTTAATCGTATTCGAATGAAAAGTGTTGAATAGCCATAATTTCGACCTTCCCGATATAAACAACCGGTTGCAAAAATGTTGAGACACTCCCACGAAAAACCGACCTTTCTTGCTTCAAATCGCTCCTGGTCACAGGTCTGTGAGAAATAATACTGACCTCCTTCCTCTCTCCCATTCAAAGTTGTTCCTCCAAGTTTTGAGCATGGTGTTGTATTGCTAGCAACTTTGATAAGCCTGTGGAGGGGGGATCACAGCACAAGATCATGGACAAGCCATTTATGACAAAATACGGTAGTGTCTCGAGTACTTTTGCAGCTGGTTGAACCAATATTGCTCAAATTGCCGAATCTCCGTAAATCTGCAATGAAAAGATTTCCAGGGTAAGCCCTGGATCAACTCAATTTGTTTTGGCAATGAGTCTAAGCAGTGCCTGTTCTTCAAAGTGTTCAGTAGCGCAAACTAACTTCTATTTTGATAAATCACAAAAATTGCCAGCTTTTTCGTACGTTATTAGCCCTGTCTTTTATACACTTTTTCCGTAGACCAGTGTTCGTATGGCAAAAGTCCTGTCTTCTTACCGCTTTGTATCCGTAGTTTTTGTTGTAGTGGTGCTTGTCAATGTGCAGTTTAGTTTCGCTGTCTTACCAGTCATTTTTGTCTCGTACATTAGTTTTTTCCTCCCCTTTTTTTCTTGGCAACCTTCATTTCGAAACGTCGTGGAAAATTTTTTCCGTTTATTTTTACTGTCATTTAGCCATTTTTCGATTGCAAATTTTAAGCAGTGCTGGGTAATTTCCCCCTTTTTCGCCCGCATTCCACCCTTTTAGAACTCCCATCACCCGTCCTTTCCTCTCCCATCTCCCAAACCCTTCCCAGTGCTCCAACCCCCTATTCTCCCGAGCTCTCGTCCCCGGTCCACGTCCACTAAATTCTTCGTTCATTTTCGTTCCGCTTGTACCGTAAATCCCTTGTTATTCCGTTCTTGGTTAGAAGTTTTATTTGAAAGTCCTCTTAACGTTCCTCTACCTTCGCCCTTGTCCAGGCAAAAATGCGCATGATCTGAAAATCTTTATCCCCCCTAACCGGTTAGTTATTTCCACCTCTGTTTCTATAAAGGTTTGAATCGAGAACAGAGAAAGCCAGTTGTTCCATTATTAATGTTATTAAGTAACAGTGGCTCGCCTAATTATAACTTGTGGGAAGTTAAGAGCACATTTTGAATGATTCTGGAACCAGTTTTAAATTAATAATCCTTGGAGTTTTAACTCCACATATTAAAATATAATACAACAACTGTTGCTAAAGGTACCAAGGTCGATTACTCTGATTTAAACTCTTATCGCCAAATTATTTTAGGGGGGTACAGTTATCATACACTTCACTTTTATGAACCCCCCCCCCCGACGTAATAAGCGATCGGTCCCTTATCTTGCAATATTTTTACCAAATAGCTGGGATGCCTTACTTACCTGCCAAAGATAAACTTGTTTCCTTCAACCGCCTTTCTTCCCAAGGGCTTTACAAATGGTAAAATTCCCTAAAATTTAAAGGGTTTAGACCGGCGACTATATGACGTGGGGCAGCATTTCACTTTTTGGCGGTTTTCTCGAAAAAGAAAATCCTCTCGAAACGATTGTGATTTTCGAAAATGTTTCACCAAAGGGTTTTTCCTGACTGAAAATGAAGTATTTCTTAATTTGAGTTTTGACGGCAAATTCTCGATATTCTTAAGACAAATTAAGACTTGGAAAACCGAACAGTTAGCATGGCATTGGAGATATTGAAGCTCTTTCCGATCTGCCTCGGAAGTGAGACATATGTACAAGATGATGTACTTCAGTGGAAGAGTAATTATATTTAGATCGAATGATGTCAACGTCTGGGCCGGAAAAGAGAAACAACGTATCATTCTTGTACACATAATGTTATGTTATGCTAATATTATGTTATGCTATAAAGAAGGAAAGAGTAATTTTAAGTTACACACTTTTCAGGTGTTGGCCAGTGGGGGTAGCAGCGTATCATTATACCCATAAGAATTTCTCCCAAACACCGTGTAAAATACACAGCGGCAGGAAAACCAGGCAAGTTGTTCTCGATGCTCCGAAGGTGCTCGCCAAAACGTTGTCTTTGTCTGTCGGAGATTATTCGGAAATAAAACTTTCAACAGGCAAATAACTCCTATAATGAACATCCTGTACGAACAGATTTCAATGAATGATTCTTTTAAAATCAATTAGTGTAAGGCTGAAATTTTTAAACAAATTTTATTTAGACAAATTGGAAAAAACATTGCACGGGCGACGTGATTAAACGTGCTGTTATAAGGAGACATCTACAGACGTATAGTCTTGACCTTAAAAGAAAGCACACTAATATACATTAGGAAATAAGCACGTAATTCTTTGTTCAATTATAGGATTGCTTTCAAAGCGTTGTTTTCCATCTAATTACTTGCCAATATTGTTATTGTAGATAATTAAAGTACTCGCTAAGTGAATGAAAACAGCGTACAAATTGGTCAGGTTGCTAAGGCGGGGAACTGACAGACTGGCGGGAAAACTGGCAATTAGACGAAATAGTGGAAAAGTGCACATGAGAGAAACTAGCCTTAACCAACCAATCAGAGCAAAGCGCGGCATCCGTGCGCAACGCATCACTGATATGGGCTTTGCTTCTGATTTTCTAATGGAGGGTATGAACTTTTTCACTGTTTCTACACGAAGAAACTACTAAACAATTTCGAAAGGTTCACTTCAGAGTAACCATTAGCAGTTAGGACTTTGGCAATCACTGAGTGCACAGCTTTGTAAAATGACTTCGTAGTCTGTGTTACGCCCACAGCTAAAAAAAGAACAGACGAAAAGAATTTGAACAGATTGTTTAAAGGTCAAATCAAATAAATCAGTAAATGATAATAATAATAATAATAATAATAATAATAATAATAATAATAATAATAATAATAATAATGATAATAATAATAATAAAGATTTTTTTTATTCTATGGTGTGGACAAAAGTTGCACTTTCTACAACTTCCTTGGAAACATTTAATATTTGTTTTGCCAGCGGAAGCACAAGTTCCTTGCCTCGTACCCAGGTGCGTTCTGGCGGATGGAAGAGCGACTGGATCATACTATCATGGGAAAGGCGTTCACCCTTCCCAGCGCCCTTTGCGTCAACGCTAAACGTTCCATGGTTCATTGCGCGATACTCTCGCTTGAAGTCGCGTGTTCCGTTTTCCAAACACACTTGAGACGCCTAGGAACGAGGCAGACAAGTTCCCACGTCCAACGCAAACACAGGCACAGAGATACAAAAGTGCACGTGATCATTCTGTAACCCAACATGACAATCGAGCACTTTCCACCTTGCAATTGTGCTTGCGTTTGAGTCGTCCCCGTTCACACACGTAAAAAGCGAACGTAAGGAGAAACGTAAGCGTTGGACCCTTGAAGGTTAAGTTGTCCTTCTACCTGCCCAAAGCAAGAACAAACTATTTTAAGAATAGTTTTGCTTTTGCGGCTGTTGAGCTTTGGGGTTCCCTCTCTTCTTGGTCAAAAAAAGAGACTTTTCTGCAAAATTCAAGGCGAAGATCAGGTCGTACATACTATCTCAGTCAACCATTATAAATTCTCTCCTTTCTTAGTTTATATAGTGTGCGATCTCTTCTTAGCCGCTTTAGTTTTAGATATTAACATATTTTTATGTAATATGATTTCTTAAGCACGGCTTTTGAGAAAAACAGATACTTTATCGTAAAGTTTTTTGATGAAACTACCGTGGGTAAATAACGTTTTCACTCACACTCGGCACTTACTCAAAATACTGACCTGTTTTTGCATTTTTCACGGCGTGATCGAAGTCAAACAAGCGGGAGAAATACAATAGCTGAGTGTACAGCGCTGTGTCGGAGTACTGAAAACAAAACAAATTGTTAACCACTGAAGGAGCTGGACCACGAAATGTTAAATTGTTGGGGCCACGCACGCGGATTACACATGGACTTCAAAGTCTTATGGGTTGTATCCTTCCCACAATGCACTGCAGGTCCTAACATTGTTGGGACTTGTTGCATCCGTGTGCACTCCACTGCCAACACAGACGCAACAACTCCCAACATTGTTGACCTCGTCCGTTTGAACATAGTTTTAGCTGATAATACAGACAGAGTCAGAGAAAAATTTTGCACGGTCATAGTTGTCTTTGCTTTAGTTTTATACTCACCACTGGATGCAAGTGGGCCCTGAAGCATTGTGGGCACACAGGGGCGCCTCGTTGACGTGTCAGGGGTACTTGAAGTGTGCTGTAACCACAGGACGGGTCCTCGCATTTCTGCCAACCCTGTGCGATTAGTTATAATGTGGGTTAGTTTTGATTCCTATGTCTTCAAAGCCGGATAAAAATCAACAACATAATAACAAAGGAATTTTTCAACAAAGAGACTGTTCACAGCCATCTTCGTATTGTTACTTAAGAGCACGCACAAACTTGTTTAGGCAAGGTTAAGAAACAATTCTTGCACAATTTAAGGTCAAGGGTCTAAATTGGGAAAACAAAACATATGGCTAACAAGGTCTTTTACTAACTTAGGGAAATATCCTTAACACTGGCATCATTATCAAATCCCTCTCGGGTACGACACTTGCTGATGGTCGCATTCTTGCTACTCCAACGGAGGTCGCATTTGAGGATGTATTATCCATTTAAGCAAGAAGTGCATATAAATAGGTAAAGGTATAAAAATCCTCCGTAGCTTACGTCGTTAGCTCATTTTTACTTCCTGGGCCGGGTTGCTCAAAACAGGATTAAGTTAACCCAGGGTTAGTGCGAAATTTGATTTCATATATGAAAGATTGAGAAGCAAATTCAGTTGTATTCTTTTTTCCTACAATTGATGATTGGATGCTCTAAAAAAGAGAGATAAAATTTCCCGGGAAAATGCTTTTGAACAAAAGAAAAAGAAACCCAGGTTAAAATTTGACCCTGGGTTAGCGCTTTTTAAGAGTTTTTAAAGCTACTTAAAGCTTCAAGGAAAGGAAAGAAGTTAAAAGAAGGATTTGGGGTCACATTTGGGAATCGAACTGGGACCCTCCTGCACAGAAGGCCGTGCAGTAACCGACTAAGTGCTAATTCTTGCTCCTTGGTGTATAACCCACAAAAAAGCCGTACGAGTTGCTTTGTTATTTTTATTACAGTGGAACTTTGATTTAACGAACCTCTATATAACAAAGTCCTCCTCGGTATCAAGAACGATTTCCATCAGCCCGGCCAAAATTACAGTAAAATGTATGGAACAGAAACTCGATTTAACGAAATCGTCGTTATAACGAACACAATCCAGAAACGCAAAAGTAAAATATACCTCGATATAACGAATAAATGTCAGCATGTGACCGAAAGATAACTAAAGATGAATGCGAAAGGATAAAACATGTGTCGAGGTGATATCGAGGTTTTCGATATAACGAACCCTCGATATAACGAACAAATTTCCTCAGTCTCTTGGCACTTATTTAAATCGAGGTTCCGCTGTATACAATTGCAGTTGCAAAAAGTGAGCACTTCACAAAATTGCTTCAGTTACCATGTAGTATTCCTTGATGTGTCTGCGCATGGCAACGTTCAACTGGTTGGAAACTGCGCCCGCGCTGTACTGGTTGTTACATCCGGGACATGTATCGTTGACTGCCAGTGCGTTCAACTAGAAAAAAAAAATGGTGCGAAGTATTTATTTTAGACCTAAAACTTTATACGTTCAATTTTCGGTCCTTATCTTACTAAACGAATTTTAAAAAGTTTAAACTTTAAACAGCTTTAAGTTTCCATAACTTCTGTAACTACGAGTGTATCTCAACAAATGTTATGCACTTGTGGTTTTTCAACTATATAGCAACCTTGTACTGTGCTTCGTTTGGTTGCTTCAATTAAAACAACAATTAAAAATGTTTTAAAAGCTTGTTTAATCTGTTTTTGAACTGTTATGTACTTTTTCCCTACTGGTAATCCTTACCAAAGCATAAACTACATCTACCTCTGCTAAAGGCTTGGGATCGACAATGCTGGTTTTCGAAAATGGAAAATTGCGGATTTGACTTTAATCTACAGATCCCTGTTCAGCTATAACTCATGCATTGAATGTGCTTAACTTTATACCCCTGAATAGTGTAAATTATAAGCTCTATGACTGAAGGAAATAATATCATTTGATGTTAAACTGTAAATGAACATTAACTGTTAAAAGTGTACTTACGGCGCCTTTAAAGAGGAGTTCGTGGGTCGTTTCTTGACCACAGCTAGAGCGTTTACACTTGACTATAAATCGCTCACAATCCTTGAGAAACAAGTAAGGTACAGATTAGGGTTAGGGTTTCTATTTGTGTTTTTACCTATTCACCATTTTCACAAAGACCATGATGCCCGTTGTTTATCTGCCGCCCTGAAATTTTGTGTTCCGGTCTTGTGGATTTTAGAGCATGCCGATTGTCATAGACACAATCCACTTTCCGTTAAAATGAAACGTCTCAGTGTTATTTAACCTCCATTTCCAGAACATTTGTTTCGCCTTAATTCCTAGATTGAGTGATCGAGACGGAGGCGGTTACAACTTTTGAGTCTGTTAATAAAATCCTATGGTGTTACCATTCAAATGAAATCTCTTCAGCAGTACTTTCACATGGTACTATTTACTTAGTATGTTGTTCTAACTTTTGAGTGTGTGGATAAAATCGTATGGTGTTACCATTCAAATGAAACCTCTTCAGCAGTACTCTCACATGGTGCTATTTATTTAGTATGAAGTTATAACTTTTGAGTCTGTGGATAAAATCCTATTTTGTTACCATTCAAATGAAACCTCTTCAGCAGTAATTTCACATGGTACCATAGTGGTTATTTAGTATGTAGTTCTAACTTCTAACTTCCTTTTATTTATTTTATTTCATTATTCTTGTTAGAATAATGATTACTTTAATTAAATATTTATTTTCTTATATCTCGGAGATATTAGCTTTAAGAGCTACACTGAAAAAACTAAGGATAAATAAAGGTGATGATGTATGATGCTGATGATGATTTGAATCTGTAGACAAAATCCTATGGTGTTACTATTCAAATGAAACCTCTTCAGAATTCTCATTTGCTGCTATCTGGTTTTCATCATTCATTTTGTAAAATTTCGACTTTGATCACCTCTGACGGGGGAAGAGTGTTAACATTTATACCGACCTTAAACCTTTGCTCGTCTGTCATCTGAGCCTGGCCACCAAGCAACGCGTCATTTTCATCATCAGGAAGGGCAGAGCTGCCACGATAACCAGAAGGATCCAGGCCTGCGCAGCGAATAAAAATTTGATACTAAACTTTTTGAAAATTCAGTTTCACGGGAATCTCAATGAACATTAAAAACCCGTTAATTCGACTACGGTCACGGAAATCTCGTCGTCTTCACAGGGTTGTCGTATAACGATGCTGATTGTTGAAAAGAAAAACCAACAACAACAAAATTTAGTGCAGCCGTTTGAATGTTAAGAAATAAAGAAAATAACGACAAACGAATCGTCGCGCGGAACACAAATTGACATTGCTCTTGGAAATCACGCATTGAGCTCGCAAACAACAGATTTGAAGGTTGTGCTGACTTCCAAAATTAACTGTATGCTCTGAACCAATGAGACGAGAGATAGCAAGTAGAGAACTTAAGAAAAACTGCTTCCGGTGTAGGAGCAGAGGCGAATTGTCCGTGCCAGAAGCCACAAATACGGATAGACCGCCTTTGAGTTTTTACCCTAAAGTAAGAGCTAGCCGAGACTTCAAGGGAGAATAAAACTGTGATATCAGGTCATTTCGTTATTGGAATATACAAGAAAACACTAAAGGAGTTAATACTTTAAACAGACTTAATCAGTAGACACATTTTGTTTAGATGCATTGCAAGCAGCTGTCTAGCCGCGGAGTTAAATCGGTAATTTACTTACCTAAACACTGGGCAATATGAGCTGCATCTGTGCCGTCGATGGGATCGCACAAACGAGCTACAACCGGGTGAACCTGATTAGCGAGATAGTATTTCACATCTGGGATTTAAATGCGTCAAGGAGTGTAAAACAACCGACTTTCATTGGTAATTGATACCCTGGGAATAATGCATAAAGAAGCTACCAGTGTTTCAATCCAACACTGTCAACACTGTTTTCGAGGCCGCGGAAGTCAAGAGACCCTTTGTCCACCCTCCTACCCAACGAATAGGTCGGAATTGATCCTGCCCGAGTTACTTTCGCCCAATTTTAGACTTATTCTCACACTTTATTATCATGTCATAAATAACTATAGAATATCCAGGGTACATCCGACCTTCGTCTTTAAGCACCCATCGTAGCCTGAGAAAACAGCAGACATTTCGTGATACCACCAATGATGTCTTAGGGACGAACGCAGAGATTTCATGCTAAGGACGCGTTGCTAACCAGATCTGGGTACTGCTTCTGATTGGTTGGAAATTTACTTCATCCAATCAGAAGTTAGATCTGGGTAATGACACGTCATCAGTATGGAATTTCTGCGCTCGTTTCTTCTGACGTCATTTCGCGCGAAAAACAGTGGTGTCGTCGCGAAAAGTATCTTTTTTTGGTTTTGTTCTTAATAACGGTAATTAATTTAAAGGATACCGATCTTGAGAGTTTCAGATTTGCAGAACTCGTCCGGATGATATGCTCGCTGACTTGCAGCTAAGGTGGAACCGTCCTAAAGGAAACAGTATAGAAAAAAGACTTACTAACTAAGCGATTGGTAAAATTCCAGGGTTTCCTTCTTCGCTTAACGTTGAGCGATATCCTATGGGACCTTTGCAGCTAGCCATTCACGTGGTACAAAACCGCCATGCTGGAGAGCAAAAAGACAAACAATCTTGTCCCAATGAGTCTCTTGCCATCCCGCGAGGCGGTTTTCTACCACGTGAATGAAGAGCCTATTTACCATTTGCACATCTTGTTTGCCCCTCCACCTCAACAATTTGCATAACGTTTGTTTTCAATTTCTCCTGGGTATTACAGTCGTCCAAAGAGAATTGAAGACAATGCTTATGCAAAATTTTTTTTTTTTTTTTACTGGGGGCGGCGGAAGGGGGGCAAACGAGGTGTATTATGGGAGATGTAAAAATGGAACTCAGAGAACTCTGCGTTAATTAAGGGAGCTGGGGTGGAGAACTTGTCTGTGACGTCATCTCAGGAGAATTCATTTTCGTTAGTGTGATTTTGGAGCTTCTCGGGCCCAAGGAATCTGTCTTTTGACGCCTTTTCGCTCAAATGACGGCAAATTTCGTTAGCTTGGTTTTCAAAAATTCGGCTAGATATCCTAAAAAGTTTTTATATTCTTTTTTATGTTGTACGTCATTTCCGCCTCTCCCTTTTAGACAATTTTTATTGCGACATTCTCCATCTATATAATATTGTAATTCCCATCATAATTCAGTAACATCTGTAAACTTGAAGAAGGCTGGTATGGCCAGCGGAAGTATATTGTTATAAAAAGGCAATACACGTTGTTATGATCAGCTTTGCAGTAGTATTTGGACTCACGAATTCACGAAAGCCAACAAAATAAGCACAGACTTTGTACTTACGTCGCAAATGACGTATGGGATAGTGTCACCAGGGTTCACTTTTCTTCCCTTGCTGAGCATGCGCAGAGCAACGTTAACATGAGCCAGTGATTTCTTGTCCGGGTAGTCATGGGGAGATTTGGTTAGTTGCTGCAATTAAATGATAACCACGTGTCAAAACGGCACACAGTTTGTTCAGGAAACAAGCCCTTCTAAGAAAATTAAAGCGTTAAATCTGGAAAAAGTACTCTACAAAATACCGACCTTTGGGCTAAAACTGCATTTTTTCTCATTTTCTCGGTTATTGGTCTAGCGTGGGGTGGGAGGGGGGTGGGTGAATGACGCGATATACATCCAGCGCTACCGCCCTACACTATACCATGACAGTCACGTGTTGTAGGGCCCAGGTCTAGCACCTCGATCTAGGCAACTTTCGCTTTCGTTGTAGGCGGTAGTTGTAGTTTTTTAGTTATCATTCCCAAAGCCGTAAAATATACAAAAAGATTTTAAGTCAGAGTCAAAGGTTTTTTGTTTATTTTTCAAGTTTATTACTTAAACAAAGGATATCAAACCTTATTAATGACGAACTTCTGAATGTCGACCTTTCCCTCCGCAACGTTTTCTCCAACTGACGAATGAGAAAAACAATCAAAACCATAAAACACAGGAAAAATGACAGGAAAGAAAGTCAGAAAAAAGAAGGAACACAGATTTAAGCTTAATGAAGACAGGGACATCTATTTGATAATATTTTCTCTTCCCCTGCCAGGGAAACATCAAACTTATAAAACAGAACAGCGTAGTTATTACACTCATAACAGCCGGAACGTAACGACCCGGAACATATTTTTCCACATTTCGCACATGAGGCCGTTACCTGGCGCAAACTTTCCCGCGCTTGGCAACGGATGCAGGTTTTTCGCGCCTTTTCTAGCCTGCGTGGTAGGCGTTAATCGGGGAAGGGATAGAGGGAACTCGGGCGCGCGAGGAGGGGGAAATAGTGAGCGCCTGCAATGACGCTTTAAGCTCATGTTCCCTATTTACCCTCCTCGTGCGCCCGAATCCACGTCTTCTCTTCCCCTATAAACGCCTGCCACGCAGGAGCGTACAATTTCCCGCGAGGTGAGCCAAACGTGATGGTCTATAAGAGGTCTATTCGAAGAGGACAGACTGCAAATTGTTGTTGCTGGTAAGATGCTGGTAAGTCGTAACTGTTTATCAGTACGATGCACAAAATGTTATAGGGTTAAGTGTCGAACATTAAAAAGATTCCACCAAGTCATTGTTCAAACAGTAATAAACGTTAACACGAATGGTAGCCACAAGGCAGCCGCCATACCTGACATGAGGTAGTCATGAATGTTTTCCACAATAGTCTCACGGGCTTGTGAAGAAAGGATTTGAGCCAGAACATAGCTACAATAGAGTGTTGCAACATATTTAGTAACAAATTATATGGCTTTCAGCGTGAAAAATCAATTTTGTCCCTTGCTTATTTGCATGACGCTTTCCACAAAGGAATTCAAATTGTTGTCTTTCGTTTCGGTTCTTTTTTAAAACCTTGTTTGGCTCCTTCTTCCATTGATTTTTTTTAGCCCACGGCACCGTTCTCTTTTCAAGTTGGTCTCGTTCAACAATCGATAATATATTGAAGATCTTTTTCAGACTGCTATACCTTACTTAAATAATAAGAGGCTATTTTTGAGTTACCTCAAGCCTCTGTTTCGAGGCGAGGCTAAGTGCGAAACCATTGCCATGAACATGATTTTTAATTCTCATGTAAATTTAACTCATTTTCACACCAAAGGTTTTACACTGAGCCTCACTTCGAAATACAGAGTTTTTGGAACTGGAAACAGCCTATTTAACTGATGGAACAAGAGCTTACTTTCCAGCATCCTTTGCGAGGTCGCACCAGTCCCTTCTCACAATATCCAGCCCCTTCATTTCTTTCACTTCATTAAGGAGGCCTGAAAAGATGAAATATATTCGTATCGATGAGAGTGAAAAAAAAGCTTACAGAAACACTTGATTATTAACTTACCATCCTCATTTTCCGAAATACTGATGGCAGCATACCTTAAAAAGAGTATATAAAGATGAGTGCTACAAGCACATGCAAAAAAGATCAAAAAACGAAGAGAAATGTGATCAATTCATGATGCTGTCTTCTCCATTGTATAGTACTTACTTCTTCTTTTTCAGTAAAAGCATGGACTTGAAAATGCCATCAATGTCTATCTCAAGTAATCTGTAAAGCTTGTTCACCTCATTTTTCACCTTAAATACAAAAAACAAGGCCACTGTTACATTACAGTTTTATAAATAAATAATGCTTTAAAGGTAGCACATCCACTTAGTAGTTCACTTCTTCGTCTACCTGATTTTTCGTCGAATTGGAATTTGGAAATGTTGGTTGTTGACGAGAGGGGAAAACAGAAGCTCCCGGAGAAAAACCTCGACGCCGGGATTCGAACCCGGGCAACATAAGTGGGAGGCGCATTGGTGCTCCTTTCTTGCTACCGAATGAGATAATAGTAAAGCACAAGCTTGCTCAATTAAGAGTTTACTTTTTCCTTCTACTGCAGACATAAACGTAGATCATTTGATACGCTAATTCGAGGCTGGGCGCTTATTTGAGGTGGGTGCTAATTCGAGGTTGGCCGCTTATTCGAATTAAAAGGTAATTTTGTATTAATTTTCCAGTTAGCACCATTTTAATAAGAACCTTCTTGGCTTTGCCTTGAAAAACTTAGGTTCTTATACGTGGGTTTTTACCGTATCGCTCCTATGGTTTAGCGCCTTCGAAGACCTGAAAGTACACGCACCTTGTTGCCTATCTTGCGGACTTCAGCGAGATCATTAGAATTCGTGTTGATCATAATGGAGTCTGTATCTCCATAAATCACATCAAGACCCATCTACAAACAATATAAACAATCAGTTAATAACATGAGAACAGTTTGGAAACTGCCTACCTACCCCTCCCCTAAGCCAACATTTTGCCCTTAATGAGAAGTAAGTGTTAATGTTGGCTTAGGGGAGGGGTAAGTGGGCAGTTTCCCAAAAAACGTATGATGATCCCAAAGGCTTGTTGATCAAAAGTCCAGACACCATGGAAGAACTAGTTATAGGCATTACAGAAGAACTTTAACTCTTCAGTGCTCTAATAAAGCTGAACTAATTTTTCTTTCTAAAAATACATATGTTTGGCTAAGTCACCAATATTGTGGTCAGACTCGGTCAAGAACGCACTGCGCATCTTTACAGAAAATTGTCCATGGTAGGCGCATGATTCGAAGGTAGACTGTTTACTGCCGTTCACTGCAATAATAGGGAGTTTTAGCAACGACGACGGCGGTGGCAACGAGAACGTCTGACGTTCTCGTTGACATCGCCGTCGTCGTCGCCTAGCGACCTTAAGCAACGACGAGGACCACATCAACGAGAACGGCATAAAAGCAATAGCTTTAGGGCCTGTTTACAGGGGGGTGGGGGACCCCAGGGAGGTGAGGTTACCCGCCTGTTCATATAATCTCTCATTTTAATTTGATCACGTTTACATGATAGGTGGGTAATCCGCCTCATGTTACCTCACATACCTGGGGTCCCCCACCTCCATGTAAACAGGCTCTTAGATTGGCAAAACAACAACTCTGCGCGTGATCAAGCTTTTTTGTACATTTTTTTGCCGTCGCTGCACGACTACAAAGTGAAAGTGCATGATTTCACGTTTTGTCGAGGACGGGAACACAAGACAACAACTTTCTTTTTCTTTTCCTGAACTTTGGTACAGTTCTTTGGAATTCAACTCCGAAAAAAATCGCCAAAATTTTAAAAAAATTAAGAGTTGGAATAAGAGCGATGAAGTTTGAAGCAGCGCGGATTCACTTTTCGGGTGAAATTTTCGCTGCTGTTGCGGTCTTCGTTGCTTAAACTACCTAATTATATTCTGTTGGTGCGGCAATTTACTTCCGCCCAAAATAGATAAACATTTTATTCATCAGCATGAAAGTGAAGGGCCAGTTATTTAAACGAAAATTAGCCAGTGTTTAACAAAACCGCGTTCTAAGCCATTTTCAGTTTGCCGAACGCTTAAATCTAAGCACCATCTATCGTGAACAATTTCATGAAAGCTTATGGCTTAGACTAGAAAAGCATTTTTCTTCTTAAAATAATCCACTAAGGAAGGGATCTGGAGGTGCAAAGATCTCCTAAACCGCGGTCTAAGTTAGACTTCGTTTAAATAACCGACCAGTAGTCTTTGGCATCAACTTCGTCCGGACATAATTTCAGCCAACAAATAATGTTGTCTGATGATGGACTGCTATTTGAGAAAGTCTCTTACGTTTTGAACAAGTTCCTTGGTTTTCATCAAAATCTATAATGATAAAGAAATGTGCAAAATAAAATAAATTAGTAACATTAGTTTGTAAACGACAGTCTTCACTATCGATGGAACCCTGTAACTGACAGGGTCCCATCGACAGGACCAAAGACAGTGCCCGTATAGAGAGGAGAAGTGTGACGTCACGTTACCATGGTAGCACTATTTCTGGTTGACAACAAAACCAACGACGACGGTGACGGCAAGAAGAACGGCAAAAAGTAATGTGTTTATATTAACAAACAACAACTTTGCACGTCAATCACGCTATTTTGTACATTTCCTTGCCATGGTTGCACCACTACGACATGAAACTTCCTAATTTCACGAGCCCGCTTCATGGAGTAATATACGTGAACACAAAACAAAAATTGTCGCTTCCTTTTTCTAAACTTAGATAATGATAGATACGGCCCAAAGAAAATTTCGCCAGGATTTGCCAAATTAAATGAAACTGAATAAGATCGGTGAAGTTTGAAATAGTGCGAACAGATTTTTAAGTGACTTTATCGGTTTGTTGTCATCCAAAAATTTTGCTACCATGACAACGTGACATAAATCCCTACGCTTTACAGACGCCCGGTTAATACCGACACCTCGTTATTACGGACAGTTTTCCTTGTCCCGGGGGAACGTAAGCCCTCACATTTTCTCAAAATTCAACCCGGTTAATACGTCTAATACGGACAGCCCTTTAGGTGCCCATATTTGCAGGGTTTGACCGTACTTTAAGCGTGAAAGAGGTATCCCTTTCTGAAGGAGCCTTCCCGTATAGGCCATTATAGGGAGGGCCCCTCCCCCGGGGGGCAAACCTATCAAATGTATCAAAAACTATAGATAAGATAAAACGGGCGACCACATGACCTCCTCTGGCAATAAAAAGATCACTAACGCCTTCGATTTTGAAAGAAAATGCCATGGCAAAACAAAAGGTCTTTGATATTGTTTACTTTCCGGAAGATTTCAACTTCTAAATTTGCATTTAATAAGTCAGGTAAAGAGACACAAGGTATAATAAATGAATTTAAAATAGTTACCCATCACGGAGCATGAAGAATCGTTTACTGATATTTTATCGATTTGCTGTAAAATCTTTGCTCAAGAAAGCTGGAGATGAAGGCAATTTTAAAGGTTTTTGAAAACTGAAACAAAGCACAATGGTATAACTCATACGAGCACTCTGAACTTTTCTCGTGACAATAATGGAATTTGGTCGAGTTCTTTTGAAAGGCAATTAAACTTTAATTGCGAAATGTCCAATTGGTCGAGTCGTGCAAATAAATAACAAGGGGATTAAATATTTCATTGACACTGGTGCAATGATTAACTGCTACAACGCGTACAGTTGACAAAAAATATCGGGTATGCAACAAAAGCGAGGAGCTGAGAAGCTATCCGTTTAATCAACAAAACAAAAAAAGCTGCAGAAGGCACGAAGTCTTTAAGTGGCACTTGAAGAAGCAGATGGTTTGAAAGTATCTAAAAATATTTTATCAATACCATGTTGCATCGCCGTTATACGTCCATAGCGGAAGAACCCGAAAGTGGAGAAACCAGCTTACCAGAAGGTAAGAGAAGTGGTAGGCTCATTTCTGTCGCTACGGTAGGGCTTAGTTTACGAAAGCCTTCTGTATTTTAGGGCAATAGCTAGAAAAAGTCATCGACTGACTAACAAAGTTGTGGTCGACGGTACGCTCAATTAACCCGTGCTTCGTTTTACGGTATTTTCAAGCTACACAAGAACGAAAGACGTCGAGAAAAGGTTTTGAGGTCAAACCAGAGAAAAGAATTCGGTCTCGTACAGAGGGCCGCGCTCTAACCAACTGTGCTAGTCCTACTCCGATAAACAAACAGTATTCATATCTCGGTTAAGATACAGCTCATGACTGTATAGCGATGAATTTCTAGGAAGTGTAGGTTTATATTCTCGAAAGACAGGTTTCCAGGCCGAGCAGTCGGTGCTTCCCTGAGGCGCTGTGCCACTCGGGTTTCCAAACAGTTTTAAGACTTCATAATTAGGGGAGTTCTTCGATGTTTGAACCTCGGAACAAGAAAAAAGGCGTGAAAACATAAAACCCTTGACAACCCTTAAAGGGCTCTACTGAGATCAGCATGCAATTCTTTACACTCTGTTTCGTACATTTCCTATGGTATTAATGTAGAGAATTTGTTTTAATATCAAGACTTTTTTCAGTTGTTGCTTATTTCTGTTTTCTCATGACCTTTAAGTTTGAGAAGTAGTACTATTTCATGAAACTATATTCCTTACAGTAGATAATAAGCAAATAACGTTTCTGAAAAAGCTGGAGAAATGAAGGTTTCTTATAAGCGGGTTTTACTGTACTGTGACACTGCATACCAATGTTTGCAAAGTGTAAATGTTGTTATCTAAGTGAAAAATTGGTTTACATTTCAAGGAATGACAAACGCCCGTAAATAAACTTACTTTAATTTTTATTTTAGTGTTTGCTTATTATTTTATATTTCAGAGAGAAATCTCAAAGAAACAACAGACGACAAAAATCTCAGTTTTACGACAACGCGAAACAGCGAGTCCTCCAGCCGACAATCAGCGACAAGTGCCCGATTGTCGACCTCGGAACTCACCGAAAACTCACTGGACGAATCGGAAAGCGATCGGCTTTCGTTGTCAGAGGACGAAGATTTATTCGCCGAAGAAGCCGAAAACAAGTCCCAAAGAAAAGACAAACGGGCGTCAAGTAAACAAAGCAACAGTTACCTACACCGAGCGTCGAAATACGAAGAAGAGATCTTGAAGTCAGTGAAATTAACTCCTGATCAAATTCGTGAGATAAAAGAAGCCTTCCATGTTTTTGATAACAATGGCGACGGATGTATTACCGCCACAGAACTGAAAAAACTGGTCACCTCGCTTGGTTATAATATAACAGAAGCAGAGCTTATGGACATGATGAACCAAATAGGTAAACTGAAGTATGAAGGTTGCGCCAGCTCTCTGTCGTTATCTTCAAAAAACGCTTTGAGTAACCTCGTTCATATTTTGGGGACAAAAAAAGTACATAACATACTGAAATAGATAAACTTAAGCAATGTTTACAATAAAACGGGAAGCTTTTCCGCCGCCACAAAAACCAGACTGGATAGGGATTCTGTTCACACATAAGAACGGTGATTTCTACGCGATTTCTCTGACTGAGCGAATCTGCGCTGCGCGGCTCTGTAAACTGAAGAGTCACATATCGGATAGTGTTCACAGTATACCGTATAGCCTTTTGTGTCGTCACAAAAAGCTCTTCGGTATAGTGTAACGGTATAGTGTCATGGCCTTACAAGAAAAAAGCCGAGCGAACATGAATGCTAACCAACACTGAACGACCAAAATGACCAACCATCGAAGTCAGGGGTGGGGGAGGGAAAAGACCCCCCTCTCTGTTTACCACGAGAGCTTGTTCGCAGGCGTAATTTTCGTCCCTTAACGAGCCACGGCGCGTCTCTATCGTTTCGTCAGAATATTTAACTCGGACTAATTCGCCACCGATTACATTTTCCGTGTCTGTCGATGAGATCTGGGGACTCTTAAGTTCTGATTTTACGTTTAAAATATGTTCTTGATGTTTCGTTTTTAGATGCAGACGGTAACGGCGCCATTGACTTCCCAGAATTCCTCGCATTGATGACAAAAAATCTAGAAGACTGTGATCCGGAAGACATTTTACTGGAATCTTTCAAGGTGTTCGACAGGGACGGCAGTGGTTTCATAGGCGTTACTGAACTCGACCGAGTCTTCAAGCTGCTCGGTCAAGACTTCAAAGATTACGAGATCGAGGCCATGATAAAGGCCGCTGACGCCGATGGCGACGGGCTCGTAGGTTGGGAAGACTTCACAAAAATGATGAACGTTTAAATGGATTGGACATTGGGGGACTCTCGAGAAGTAACGCGAGAGCCTCACGCGAAAGGAAACTCGGGTGTGAGGGCGCGTTGTTTCGCGTTTCGCTTCGCTCGCCATTACGGGAGAGCTTGCTGGCAGGCAAGAATATTACAACGAAAAAAACGACGTGACCTTGGAGCTTAAGTTATTACATACTAATGAAGTATTATGGAAAAAAGTATGAGATACTAAACAAAATTAAAATATGTCGAATATATAGAACTCTTTGTACTTTCTAGCCAGCAAACTAGCCTGAAATATTTCGTCAGCTTGGAGGTTTATTTATCTCGGCAAAGTTATCAAAACCAATTTTTTTCAGATTTGAATGGAAACGACGGAACAAATAAAATTGCTCCCTGCGTGGAAAACGTTCATTGGGATTTCCTAAAAAATCCCTTCCACTACTCCTTTCTTGGCGAAGGGGGGGGGGGGGGGGGTTGCGTTTGGCAACGAGACAAAAAGGGCTTCGCGGGAGACTAGGGTAAACGTCATTTAAAGAATTTTTCACAACTGACGATTTGACTTACGTTAAGAATAATTCCGAGCAACTTTTGGTTGAAAAATGGCGAAGACAAGTTTTGAACGCTTAAAACCTTTTTTTCAAACAATGAATCTAAATCTAAAGCATCTCTAGTAAGCATCAAATTTTAAACGCTGAAAACAACCCTTTTCTTTCGTTTTACAGCTGTGTACTATTCTAAAAAATTCCAACGATATTGGCTACGTGACCAATTTTCATTTAATTATCTTTTATTTTGCCACCAGCTTTAACTCTTAAAAGAAACGATTCAATCTTCATAAACTTGAAAACAAAAGCGAAGTAATGATGAAAGGCCAAAAACAGTACTTAGCCCACCTTCGGATCCAAATAATTAACCTTCTTTTAAAAACCTGCATGTAAATCAGACGAATTAGGTCATCTTTTGTTGGCTTGACAATAGAATACGATGTTAACAATGTGCATCTCGTTAAATGCGAAACTCGTTTTGCGAATAAGACCAGCCGTCTTCTGCACGAGCAAAAAGAAATTCAGATAAAGTAGAGCTTGTGCTGAGGGCGATGTAGCACTCGCAATAGCTGTACGTTTTTGGCGATAGCCTTAAAATGTCAGTATTCAACAACCAACGACAAGCGAACATAAGAGTGGTTTTTCGCAAATTTGACAAAGATTCCGACGGATTTATAACTGTTAAAGACCTCATTAGCGTTTTCAGGGAACTTGGCGAGGAAGTCAGAGAAGATGAACTGAGAGAGCACTTTCATAACGCAGGTAGGGGACATGGATGTGAAAAAAAGAATTTCGATAAGTATGATCTTTTACTGCGGCGTAAAAAGATGCAAATGTAAGGTTAAAGAGGTAACTGGTTACTTCTCAGCAAACCTCATTATCGGAATCTTCTATCACGTTCTGATAACTGTTAGGTCTACAAAGAAATTTCCCAAGTTTCTGAAGTTAGACACTACTTAAAAGCTCACAGTTTAGCAATTCCACTGACTGGCTAAGATTATGCTTTTGATCCTTACATAGTACACAACCGGGAGAGAGTAATCCAAGACTTAACTACATGGAGACTACTTAATCAACCTTGTATCATTACTTTTAAATAAATCATTTCGATCTCTTATTAAATCCTCTATCACACCCATTTCTTGTAATTACAAATGTAGGAGGGTCAAATAGGATAAACTACATCTCACCTACCAATATTAGAGCCAGTGTTGAAACTTACCCTCCCCAGCTACATAAACTACTGTAATTCTCTCCCCCTTCCATCCCTGACATTTTATGCCCCCCCCCCGCTCGAGGTTCACGTATTTCTAGTTATTTTTAAATAAATCATTTCGATATTTAGCATTAAACTGTCATGGTTCACAGTGATATGCCATCGAGTCAACTCGTCGCTTTAACAAGCTTCCTTTTTCTCGTTTATTTTCAGGCCTGGGACACCGACCAAACACGCTTATATCTTATGATATTTTTCAGCAGATATCCAAAAAAATCCTGCGTGAATCGAGAAAGGAACGACGTCTTAAAAGGGTGTTTCAAGAGTTCGACGCGGAAAAGAAAGGCTACATCGAAGGGCATGGGATAAGACGGGTTCTTCGAAGACTTCACATTGATCATACAGAGTCAGATATAGACTTAATGATGAAAATGGCAGATACAAAGGGGGACGGAAGGGTAGATTTTGAAGAATTTCTCCAGATTTTCAACGACTCAGATGATATTTAAGAATTTCGCCATACTATTGCTGCGGCTAGTGCAGAAAAAAACAAATATGTTTATTTTTAGTTGTTGATCGAGTTAATCAGATTGTCAAAAGGTGGGCAATTGTTTTCAATTCCAGATCAAGTTGTGTTCATTTTGGGGATTATACATGGGAAATTTGATTTCTCTAACGTTCAAAATTCTTTAATAGTTTGACTTGTCGTAAGACCTCTTAAGCTGTGAATGTTCAGGTAATCCGACTAAAATAAAACAGTTTAAACAAAGTTGGATAAACAAACCGAGCAAAACTTTTAAAAGGAGTCAGAATTTTAAGGGAAGTACAATAAAAAAGCTACAGAAATAATGAAAAAAATAATAATATGTAAACGTCTATAGCACTCCGCTCTCATCAATTAATTTTTTATGGCCCTGAAAAATCAAGTGTCCTACGACTTGGGGTCAATCAAAACTTTTATACTTTCAGATGCGGAGATGTGATGCCGCCTTCGACAACTTGAAATTAGTATAAGGCAGAGTTACGCAGGTGGTTTCCACACAACGAAAAACTATTTTTTTCTAATTTTTTTTAAAAATAATTTTGCAAAAAAGTCATCGCACTCAATTCATAAATAATGATAGACAGCTGGCATACTTTCTTCTCAAATGAAAAAAGTAAATTTGAAACAACGTTTGATAGAAAAACAAAATAGAGAAGGAAATAACTCAGCAGGCATTTACAGTCCGTCAGTGGTCACAAGTACTTTTTTATGTCATTTCAAAACAAATGGATGAAAAAAGAAACAAAGCTCTTATAGCAACTACTTGACGTCATTTCAACCGCAATATTTTTCTTCACGTAACATGGCAACTAGCCTCCCACGCAGGCGTTTTTAGGGGAGGGAAGAAATACGAGCTCCCCTAAAAACGCCTGCGTGGGAGGCTACATGGCAACAAGAAACAGCATGGCCAGGGGACCGTAGAAGCGAGGTTGTAAGAGAAAGACCAATCAGAACACAAATAAATAAGCAACCCGTGAAAAGCGCGGGAAAATCTATTGGTGAGGGTTTTACCAAAGTCCAAGGCTTTAACAATACTCCCGACATCACTGACTGTTCAGCTATCTCACCTATCAAATAGAAACTCGAGAAATTCCTCAGCGAAAATTAGCGATTCTCCCTTTTGTCGGGTCTCAGATAGCGGTTATAGTTCTGGCACTCCACGCGCGTTTCGTGGTACGACTTACGGGCAAGTCTAAAGTTCGCGCAATGTAGAAATTGCTGTGGACACATTACCTACTGTCTCAATAGAGACTTAAAGATACACCGTTTCCGTGTACGGCAACGAGTGAATAACCCTTATCCCCAGCCGTAAAGACGGGGTATACTGTCTCATACCCTGAAGGAAACGCCGACTAGGCTACCGGTAAAGTTACTGTAATAACAGACCTCAGATAAGCCGTTTCCGAAGCACCGTTAAGTCGGGCAAATTACCCTTACCCTACCCCAAGAGGTAAACACAGGTGTAACAACTCTTACCCCAGAGAAACGCCTAACCATCCGGGTTAAGCGTTAGGACCAGTAAACACCGATTATTTAGATCATAGTCCCCTTTTCTAGTATAAACAGACGACAAAAACGACGGTGCATCTTACAGTTCCTTGTCATGTTTTCTAGCGAGGGAACGTACGTCTACCTAAGGCTCGTGCTTTGTTATTGTCCTTAATTGTCCGCTTTTTTTTCGCCTCCATTATTTTCCCTTTCGCGATTGCATGTTAATGTAGAGCAGTAGAACCTCTATATAATGAACATCTATATAACGAAGTCCTTGGTATAACGAACGATTTACTTTACCCCAGTAATAGTAAAATACCGTAAATCCTCTATTAAGCCCCCCTCTCAAATAAGCCCCCTTTTCAGAGGAGGAAAGCCCCCCCTCTCTATTAAGCCCCCCACCCCTCCCCCCAATCCTTATTCTTCACAAAACAATTAACGATTAACGTGGCTGACTGATCAGTTATGGTTTATTCAGGCTGGAAGTTTATATTGTTTTTGGTCTTTGGCCGCATAACCTCCAACTTCGTGTCCTTAACTTTCTCAACTTTGCGCTCTGGTTCTCTGTGGAGAATTGTCACCATTTTCTTATAGTATTATAGTATCATAAATTTCAAGGCTGTTTATATAAAACATTTAAATGTAAGAGATAAAAAATGTAAATATAACAGGAGTTTTCCAGAGGTTTTCGTTTGTAAGTTGTGTACGACAAATCAATACAAGTAACCATTCTCATAAATATTACCTAAGAACATGAGGCCGAAAGCACATTTTTGAAGAATAAGAATTTTGTTTTTGTTACTTTTAGGCTCCCACAAGTGAATTAAATACTTTTGACAGTGACTGTCATTGTACAATGCGTAAGTCTACTCTGTCTCATACCACGGTATTTTTGCTACAGGTGATGCGTTTCGCTAAATTAAAGAAGCCCCCCTCTCTATTAAGCCCCCCCCCCTCAAAAGTGCTTGAAAAAAATAAGCCCCTGGGGGGCTTAATAGAGGATTTACGGTATAAGAAAAAGTACCTCGATATAACGAAACCTCGTTATAGCGAACAAATTTGCCAGCCCCTTGGCACTTCGTTATATCGAGGTTTCACTGTATCGTTTTATACGGCAAACTTAGTAAATAAACAAATAAACAACAAGTCTAATGGTTGTTAAGATTTGCTTGTCTTACCTCTCGCCCTTTGCTTGTTACGAGAGCGGCCAGAGGTTTGGCGTAGAAACGAGAATGTGAAAATCCTAAGCAACCATACATACTGGAAAAAAACGAAGCGGATGAATAAAGGTGATGTTTCACCAGACGACTCGCAACGACAAATTTTAGCACAACACAGCGTTGCAACATTGTTTTGAATGCCTGCAACATTGTTCCAACATCGCAAAGCTGTGTTGCACTAAAAGTCGTCGTTGCGAATCGTCCCGTGTAACTTTCAGGAACATTTAATTTTCTGGCTATTTGCTATCTTTGGAGGCTTACTTTACCTCACATTAAGTACATTTAGTCTGTATACCAGACCAACGTGAAAAAACGTTGAATAAAAAGACCCCAAAAAGATACTTTTTGACAAAAACAGTTGAAAAGTACACTGACTTGCATTATGGTTTAATTTATAGACGAACGACACCTTTCCGTTATATCTACATCTCATTTACCTGTTGGCAGTTAATTTCAAAGCTTTCTGTCTGATATCGTACTGAAACAAAAACAAAGATCTTGGTTATAAACAGGTTCCCAGAGAAATCTACTTGCGGGTGAGGGGTGGGGGGATTAACCCTGCGTGCTAGATCTCTAAACTGTAAAATAAGGGAAGACTACTAAAGCCTATGACTCACTGCTCAATGTCGTTTAACCACTAGTTGCTCAACAAATGACGAACGATGTCGTCGCTTGTTGAACGAGTAGAAATAAATTACCCACTCGAAAAAGATTGACTGTCTTGCGCTACAGTTACTCCGGTATTTTTTTCAGTTTCCATAAGATACATTTCTACCTGATGTTGGCTAACATCAACTTACTTGAATATATTGATCTGATTCTCGATTGTGGTTCTTCATCATGCCCTTCACCTGCAAAAAAAATAGGCTTGCGTTGAACAAGAAATATTGTTACATAGCTGGAAATTTCTTCCAAACAGCGTGCGCTCTCATTGGTTACTTCGAGGTCACATGACATCTAACAATAAAACTGTTTCCCGCCAAAATCTCTAGGCGGGCAACGTTGCAAAATCTATGAAGTCAGAGGGTAACAGTGCACTGTTACCTGCGGATGTTGACCGACGACCGCAGTTACATCCACAGACGGAACTCTTAATCTCGTTTAGTCAGCCTTTCTTACGCTATCACGGTGCGAGCTCACAAGGTAGGCCTTGTTTGTATGTAATTAAAATAAAGTTGTGAAATGAGTTAATCAGCATGTTACGATTCAATCACTTTTTCAAGTGATCAAAGAGGCTATTTGAAGCTATTCAGTTTACTTTCCTTTTAAACAACTAAAACGTATATCAATTGAATTCCAATGGTGAAGTTTTGTTAATTAGGCAAAGAAACTGTGTGCTTCCTGTCACCTGTTGCTACTGACGGCAAGAATATACAGTGGAATCCCGCTTTACGGACACCTAGTTATTACGGACAGTTTTTCTTGTACCTAGCCCTTACATTTTCTCTAAATTCAACTCGCTTAAATAATACGGACACTTTTTATTGTCCCCTTAGCGTCCATAAAGGGGTATGGCTGTAAATGGATTGAAACTTTTGAAGTTTTAATGCTATGCATGCAAAAACCACCAAAAAATTATGGACAATGCTGCCAAATGGAATTTGGTGACAGAACCCCTTTAAGTTAGAAACGCAGATACCAACCTGTCTTCTTCGTTCTACCAGTTTTCTGATCTCCGTTGGAAGGATACCAGGCTCTAACTCTGGATCAGGTAACTCAACAACTTCATTCTCGTCGGCCTGTCGGAATAAAATTAACTACTTTTCAAAATTACCTCACTACAGAAAATCACAAGGCTTTTTGGAAAAATGGACCCCTAAGAGAGCATGTGCTTACTGTTAATTATCAGTAAACCGAGAAACATTGTCCGTGGGATTGTTAAAAAATTGTTTCTAATATTGTCAAAACCAAAATTGACAATAAATGTTGTGAGCGCTTTTTGAACCTATCAAAAAACAAGGTGGAAAGGGGTTTCGGGTGGTCTTACTTGACTTAGTAACTTACGCATTTATACACCCCATTACGATAAAGCGTTACCAAGCAAGAAAATTGCTGAAAATGTTTTCGGAATGTCACATTTAAAAGTTTCATCTACAGACTCAGAAGTCTGGAAAGGCAAAATAACTACTGACCAATACTTTTTAAATTTGAATGGGGCCAGCAAAGTATCATAGGTTCAAAAGTTATGCACGTCTTGGACGACACAATCAACAGCACCACAGAGAAGAACTGCTTAGTAACTTTCAGTTGTAACACTTTAGGATTTCATCCACAGACTTACAAGTAAGAACCATCTTGCACAGCGTAATACTCAATTCCACAGCGAGGTAGTGCTCAGCAGCTTTCATTTTAATGGTCACACATAAGGATTTCATTCAAAGACTCAAAAGTTAGAACCACCTTGCACAGCATAGCAAACAGTACCACAGGGAGGTACTGCCCAGCGGCTTTCGTTTGAATGAATAGTCACACTTAAGGATTTCAGGGAAGTACTGCTCAGCAGCTTTCATTTTAGTGGTCACACATTAGGATTTCATCCACAGACTCAAAAGTTAGAACCACCTTGTACAGCATAGTAAACAGTACCACAGCGAAGTACTGAGCAGTAGTTTGCATACCCCATAGATTTACAAGTTGAAACCACCATAACAATATAAATGACACCACAGGAAAGTACTGCTCAGTACCTTTCATTCAACCTTCACACTTCCTTAAAGTATTTCACCAGCTTATTCCTAAGAAAACCCATCCAACCATTTTTTGTGCAGCGACACAGTCTCGAAAGTTTAACCGACCACGGGACCTACCGTATTACCTGGGTCATGCTTCAACAATAACAACAAAGGGAACTAAAAGAACAGGAACTACTAAAATCAATGAACTCACTCCACTGGAGGAGGCAGAGGTTGTTCTACTGATCGTAGTGAAACAGATGTTGTATTCCTGAATGATGGACGGGTACAAACTGTTGAAATCAAGCAGCAAAATGTGTTTGTCGTAGAAACCTGAAAAAAAAAGTACATTATATGGGAAACGTGATTCACGCGACTAACATCACGACCTATTTAGAATTTGCTGCACACCTGTATGGTGATGGACATCCTGTGAAGTGATAACTATGATTTTTACAAACGTCCCACGCGATTTGTTACTTAACTATCGTGAAAAAAATATCTCAGTGGTCCACAGTTGCAGCAATGAATTTTAACATACTCATTCCAATAAGGGGGGGTTAACTCATGATGTTTAAATGCAAATTAAAAATAAGTAAATAAATTCACGATGACAACTTTGTCTCTTGCACCCGGCAGCCTCATTGTAGAGATAAGACGTCTGTTAGAAAGCCGCACTTTATTCCTCTTCAGTCCATCTGAACTGCCCCCCGACCCGGACTAATAACGGCACAAGTCAGATAGACCAAAAAACCCACTCTTTTTCAAATCGTGCAATGGTGCGTCTTTTCGTTTTCCCCACTAAGTAACTTGGAACCTGGAACAGACTAAGCTAAATACCTTTCTTGGGATCTAACACAAGACCACCGGCGTAAGCTGGTTTTCTTCTCCCTTTCTTTGCGCTTCGTGTCTGTTCCTCTTCATCGTGCTCTGCCTCAACCTACAAATGAACGGGAAACGTATTATGATTCGACCCCCACAAGAAAACTCTCTTTTTAAAAAGATTGTCAAAGCAAGCCGCGAGAGAACGCGCGAGTGAGCGGTATCCGTCTCGCGTGCCGCTCGCGCGTGACTTTTCACGAAAGCCGCCAAATGGAGTGCTTGTTCGCAGACTAGAGTTCAAGGTGCTTAATAGAAATAAGCCAGAATTTTTCTGGGAAAACGCAGGGACGCTTCGACAGTTTGTAAAATTAACAGCGGTACTGAATGTTGCCTTAATTCTCACCACTTGTTTTTTGCCGTAACTTTTGTCAGGGCAGATGAAATTCCTGTGGAATAAAATAAAAATATAAATCTGACTTAAAAGTTTTTTATACATCTCACTGATGCTTAATGTAACTTTACAACTGTGTTTTTCATGGCTGCGCTACGTGATCGACTGGAAAAAAAAATCATTTCAGGTTACCAACAGATCAGAACAAAACCAACCCCAACCGTAACTTACCCGTACAAGATTTCCCCAACCCTCGGTCACAGGGTCTTCTCCTTACTCGTGGGAACGAGGTCGAAGATGTCCAGCGCTTAGCGCCGATCACCATAATTTGGTTCGAGATTGTTGAAAACTGCCAACCTACCCCTCCCCCAACCAAAGATTTTGCCCTACGCAAGAAGTACGTGTTTACGCTGGATTAGGGGAGGGGTAGTTTCCCAAAATTTTTACTGCTCCCAAATTGAAATTTGATTATTTGCCTTTGTGGTGACGGGTTAGCGTGATCACTGTTGTTCTGGGTTTAGGACATTTGAAAAAGAACCTGCTTCGAAACTGAGCAGTAAAAAGTCTTACTTTTCGTTGAAGGCATGAAGTAAAAGAAATTCGTTTCTTTCTGATCGACCGCCAAGAAGAGTGCGCGCCTGAAAACAAGCAAGATTATTGGTCATTGACTGTAATTTCAAGTTTCAATATTTTCAAACGGTAATTATACATGGAAATTGAAGAGAATTTAAAGACTCACCATAACATTTCCAGCAATAGTCGTTATCTGTAGAGCCAGTGGTAGAACCTAGAAGTAAAAATGATGTTTAAAAAAAGTTGAAAAGGGGGCGGTGGCGCCCTTCCTCTCCGCAGTTTCCTCACGTTTATTTTTTTTCGTGTTCGCGCCTTTTCAATTTCGCAGACCCGACTATCACAAAACCAAACCGGAGAAAAAAATATATCCGTTTTGAAACAAACACGGACACGAGTGGACGGGGCTTTTATTTCAAATGGGGAACAAAGCGAAGAATTAAAATGACGGAAGTTCAGTTAGAAAAAAAATGATTATGTGACAGGAGGTCTAACGAGAGTGGAAATCACATTTTAAGGGGAAAAAAACCAAGACTTACGTTCAAATCGTACATGATCCTTAGAGACAGCAAAGCGTCCATCTGAAAAAAAAAAAAACAGGAAATGCATGAGATACACACACACACAATCACACGACCAAATGTGATCAATGACACATATCGATCAGCACTTACCGAAGTCAGTTCAAACATGTGAAGGAGTTCGTGAGAAGAACTGAAGAAAAAATAAAGAAAATTGAAATTAACTAAAAGGACTTCTTAAACAATTACTACCCAAAACGAACCATTTATCCACCAAAAAAAGGGTTGATCTGTTAGACATCAGTCAACATGGGGGAACACTTTCTGACATTCGTGAGCAAAAATGTGACGTACGATGCAAGAACATTTGGCTACGACTAAAGATTTTCCTTGATTACTTACTTAAACTTGTTTGGAATTTCATCTTGGTCAATTTCTTCTCTTCTGGACTGAAGGACGGCCCACGATAGTGCTAGGAAAAAATGGGAAAAAGAGAAGCGTGTATAAAACTCAGTAATTTGGATGTTAAAAAAGGGCGAGTCACGTTAAAACTGAGGGTGCGCTTGGTATTTTACGCGCGCGACAAGGCGTTTTACCCGCGGCTCGGGAAAAAGCAACAAGCTTACCTCGGGGAAAGATAAAAATAATCGTAGTTTACCCGCGTCAAATGTTGTCCTTACGGCGAGTGTTGTCCATCATACGAAAAAATAAACCGAGGAAACTTTAAAAAGTTCAAGAGAAGCAAACCACGATCGCTACCGAGTAGTTTATCATGGGTTTTTGTGTTCAACGATAAAATACCCGTCAAAGAGACGCTACGAAATTTCCCGCGTAAAAGATGCTTAGTACGCGGCGACGAAGTACCGCGGGAAACAAACATGAGTGTGCCCGCTTTTACCTCTTTATATATAACAACAAAGTGAGTGTAACCACGACCAATAAAAGCGCTGGTAATAGTAGGCCGATGCTAAGGTTTAACTAAGCCAAATGCGGAAGGCTCACTATTGAAAGCGCTGGTAGACGTAGTAGTAGACTCCTTGTGTGGTTTAACTAAGCTAAATGCAGAAGGCATACCTGTTAAATCATAACTCTTGCATCTGATAAGCTCCTTGGAGGAGATCTTGACATCGCAGACCATACGCCCACTGGTAATGCAGCGATCAAGATTACCACCCTTGACAAACCCGCCACTCTGGAAAAAAGATTGAAAGTATTGAAAAGAACGCGCTGTTATTCAGGCGTTTAACGGAGTATAGAACGTCTCTTAAGTTACATTTGGGTTTACAAATTGCATCTTTCAGTAAGAAATCTTTCGAGAAACTGAATCGATAATACCGAGGTTAAGTCTATGTTCAATCACACTGAACCAGAAAGCTTTTGCGCCGGCGCAGAAACCACACCTGATATGGCTTCTGTTTACACATAAGAACCGTTATTTCATCTCGATTTCTGTAACGGAGCGAAACTGTGCCGGGCCGACGATCTCTAAGGTGGAGAGTCACATATCGGTTAAGTGTTCCGGGTATACAGTCAACTCTCTCCAAGACGGACACCTTTGGGACCGGCACTAAGTGTCCGTCTTATAGAGAGTCAAATAAAGGGAGTAAAGAAAGGCAGGGACCAACTATCAGTGCCCGTTTTACAGAGGTGTCCGTCATATAGAGGTGTCCCTTAAGAGAGAGTCGACTGTATAAGTGTCCGTCTTATAGAGGTGTCCGTTCAGAGAGAGTCGACTGTAGTGTAAACACAGCCTAAACAACAGCGACGGCGACAGCGACGGCGAGGTCAACCAGAACGGCAGTAAAACAGCAACTTTGCACGTGCATCACGTTTATTTGTACATTTGTTTAGCAACAACGACGGCGACGAAAACGTCACTTAAAAAGTGAATTCGCGCTGCCTAAAACTTTATCGCGCTTATTCCATCTCGTTTAATTTGTCACATGTGGACAAATTTTTTGGGAGGTGAATTCTGAAGGACTGTATCAAAGTTCAACAACTTTCTTTTTCGGAAAAAGAAAGTTGTTGTCTTGTGTACAGGTCCTCGACAAAACCTGAAATTAGGCACTTTCACGTTGTAGTCGTGCAACGACGGCATAGAAATGTACGAAAAAGCGTGATGCACGTGCAAAGTTGTTGTTTTGCCAATCTAAATCTATTGCTGTTTTGACATTCTCATTGTCGTCGCTGTCGTTCTTGCTGGGACGTTTTGGGGGACGAATTGTGACCAAGTTTCCTGGGCAACCTCGTAATAGCCAATGAAAGAAGCGATAGCTTCCCCAAAACAGTCCCATAGTGCAATTCGACACAGCACGGACTCTGTCTCAAACGGAAATCAATATGCCAAATGTCAATGACATCGTCTAAAATCCCTGATGGCGGAAGACAAACAACTGGGCTTTTTCGAAGCTTCTTACCGAGAGTTTTGGCATTATGGTTCTTTTGAGTCGTCCAAGACGAGACCAGTGAGGTATCTATATGAAAAAAGGAAACGCGTTAGCATTGTTTAGCGTCGGAAGGAGCAAAAAAAGGAGATTTGCCATTTAATATATCAGAACTGCTTCAAGAACTCATTATTAAATTCGTTAACAATTAGAATCATTGTACTTACCTTACAAGCATTAATCCTGTGCAACAAAAGATCTAGATCGAATCCATAAATGTCATGACCCTATAATACCATAGAAACGTTTAATTAACAATTATTCCTCGAGCCCAAATGGGCTCTGAGCCAATAGCCCATGAGGCCGAAGGCCGAATGGGCTATTGACTCAAGAGGCCATGAGGGCGAGAGGAATAATTGTTTTAGTAAAATCCAACTAGTTGGTCAAAAATATCGAGAATAAAAAAAATAGCTACAGTCTCAGTCAAAATGGTTGGGACACTTTGGGGTCTCCTTGTCCCCTCAATGTTGGTGTACAAGATTTGGTGACCAAACCGCGATAAACAACTTTGAGAGGTACGAGGGGAACACGAGAACGGAAAAAACAGCGTTTGGTTAAGGTGTCCCAACTATTTTTGTCTGAGACTGTAGTTAAAGCTAGACTTTAATCCTTTTTTGCCGCCAAAAAGCCCGCGCTTTTCGCTGCTAGTGGGCTATTACATATATATAGAGTCGTGTCGTTTTAAGATGAAATGAAGATGAAATGCGAAGGAGAATAACTGAGAAAATCATCACTGAGGCAAACAAGAACAAGCTGCAAATAGACATACCACCAGCACGTCAGGGTCAATTTTGTGAATCTTTGCCATAAATAAGCCGAGAAGTGCTCTCTCTGATGCAGTGATCTCCATTTTAATTTGCTACGGAAAAAAAAAAACGAAAAGTGTTAACGCAGACACACAATTTCGTGAACCGTTGCAAAAGATAATCCGTGGGGTCAAAGTACCCGTGAAAATTAGTAATCTATCCAAAAAGTACCGTATTTATTCGATTAACCGTCCTGGGCGCTTATTAAATTTTTGGACCTTGAGAGTGGGCGCTTATTCGAGGCTGGGCGTTTATTAAATTTTCACCATTTTCAGCAAGTGAAGTATGTTTATTTTGCAACAAAACGCGAAGAAGTAACAAAGCAAGGTTTCTGTAAAATACTCCGAAGAAAACACCGTCCTCGGGGAAGTCTCTTATTAGAATTTATTCACTCAAGTGGGTGGGGTGAGCGCTTATTTGAGTTTGATTGGGAGGAGGAGGGGGTGGGCGCTTATTCGAGGCTGGGCGCTTATTAACTTTTTCTGCCTTTAGGATGGGCGCTTATTCGAGGTGGGCGCTAATTCTAGGTTGGGCGCTTATTCGAATAAATACGGTAGTTATGATCCTACAACTTTTTCTTTCTTTTTTTTTGTTGGCCAAAGGAACTGAAGAAAATGCATCAATGCGTATCACAGCCATGAATGCAACGTTAATGGTTTGCTACAAATAGGGTACATTATTTCGATATTAATCATAACTATAACAAAATTGTCAAATCTGATTGGCTCTCAACTGCCCTGATTTCAGCCTTAATTGGACAGTTTAATAGGACAGTACGCGTCATGCCTAAGTAATTGGACAGTACGCGCCATCACGCGCGCGCTTAAATGGTTTTTTTTTCACTGCTAGCAAAACAAAATGTCGAATTTCTTGTGTTTTGGTTTAAAAAATAGCCTATTGTATCACAAATTTTGTTAAAGTTATGATTAATTAATCACTCGTATGATTACAGACCGAATTGGACTCCACTCAGTCCTGTTACCATTACTTAGCGTCTTGAACACTGGGGTGTCTTTCTCGACTGGAAGCCTTGAACAGGGTGCGGACACTTGTGGTGAGTGGTCTACTTGAGCGGTAATAATGTTTTTTAAAAAAATCTTATTCATTAATTCAATGATGTCACTTTCTAAAAGAGATTGAATTCTGTATGCGAAGCAAAATGAATTAGGGTCACTAGGAAAAAAATGTATCTTTTCCTGAACAATGTAGTAAAATGAACGGTGTTTATCTTAAACAGGGTCAGGGATTGAAGGGCTTGGCATAAATCCCCACCTAAACCCTTCCCTTGAGGGACCCATGGGGGGATTGAGGGTATGCCTCTTCCCAATTTTGTTTTTTTAAAAGTTATGTTTTTCAATGCTGATTTTGCGCTTTGACTTAAATGTCTGTTGAATGACGGGTTTGGTAGAAACTGTAGTGCTTATGGTTATATCGGTGGAAAACACCAAATATTCTCTACCTCTTGCCTATTCAGAAGTCGACTTTACCTTTTTTCTGACAAGATCTTTAAAGTCATACGGGTACATCTGATCATTTGGCTTACAAACTCTCGCACAACTCGTAATTTAAAAAGGAGGCTTTCATTTTCATATCAGTAAGAGCCATTCATGACGCTAGACCTAACGAAAATACGGCGGCGACGGCAATAAAAACACGAAACACAATAGATTTAGAGAGCAAAACAACAACTTTGCACCTGATCACGCGTTTTTGTAAATTTCTTTGCCGTCATTGCACAACTACAATAATATTTTAAGTTGACTTGACAGCGGAAACGGCAAAACGATTAATTTTACCATCACTAGGGAGCTCAAGCAACAACGACGGTAATGCTACGAAAACGTCACTTAAAAAGTGAATTCGTGCTGCCTCAAACTTAATCGCGCTTTTTCCATCTCGTTCAGTTTGTCAAATGTTGGCAATTTTTGGGAGTTGAGTTCTGAAGGACTGTACCAAAGTTCAAGAAAAGAAAAAGAAAGTTGTTGTCCTGTGTTTCCGTCCTCGACAAAACGTGAAATTAGGCACTTTCACGTCGTAGTCGTGCAACGACGGCTAAGAAATGTACAAAAAAGCGTGATGCACGTGCCAAGTTGTTGTTTTCTTAGTCTAAACCTTTTGCTTTTTTGCCGTACTCGTTGCCGTCACCGTTGTCGTTGCTTAAGCTCCCCAGCTCTCTGAACTCGGACGCCGTCCATTCTCGTCATTTCCAACTTAGTTTCCCTACTTTCACTTGGTATGAGGGCGATTGTAATGGCACCTGAGCTAACCATGAGGTACTTCATTTAACTTACCACAAAAGTGATATTGGAATTTCTGTTTCGGAGCAGCCTTATCTAAGGACACGTCATGGTGAACCAGAGCTGACACAGCCAAGATCTAAAACACAACAGAGAATAAAAAGTCAAATGACCTGGAAATTCTTCTCACCAGAACGGGGAGGGGTTTCCCCGAGAGGAAGGACTCCCATACGAAAGGGGCGGGGATGCTCGTCGTCTCTCTTTGGGGTGTAAATTTCGGATTTTGGTCTCACTTAGGGAGTTCTGGACAAAACGCCATTATGATTAGCGGTAAAGGTCTCTGTTAGTGTCGTACGCGAAGAAATATTAAAAAATTAAATATTTTTAATTCTTTTTATTCCCTCGATTCATGTAATCAAAGTTTAAAATGGTCTCTTTTTGGGGTCCAAAAAAGGTTGGGCCACGCCCACATTGGTCTCCTTTAGGGGTGTAATTCAAAGTTTCCGACGAGCATCCTTTCATATGGGAGTCCCTCCCCCCCCTCCCCCCGCCGAGGCGTTGACCCTTGTTTTAGGAGAGGGGTAAGCCTGACTAGGACATCAAGTCCTAAATCATACTTTTCCCACTGAGATAAGGGGGTGGCAGGAATACGTTGTGGGTATTGAAGGCCGTCTTCAGTGAGAACCAGGTTCTTAAGCAGCACCTCTTCTCACAAAAAATGTTCACTATACAAGAACTTGTTGATTGTTAATCCCAAATCACAAGCCCTGGTGCAAAGTCAATTCATCTTCACAGGAAGCCCAACAATTGAGATTAATCCAACTTCACAGGCAGCCCATCTCTGGCATTGCTGAAGGTATTCATAACAGGCATACCATTAATGCATTTCAGAAAGTAAAACGTGACATTTTTAGTGCTTGATTTTACTCATTGCTTACCTCGTGGGTGTGAGTCTTGGTGTTTAACATGGTCCTAAAACTAAGGCTCATGACAACCTACACAAAACATAATAATGAGAATGATATTGATACTGATTATGATGATATTGATAATGATAATGATATTGGTAATGATAATGATAATAGTATAGTATAGTATATCTTTATTGCGCCTTACTCTCTAAAGGGAAGCATCGGTCTAGTTACAATAAAGGTTTCTTCAACTACAATAAATTTCAAAAGAAAGAAATATGAACGGAAACAACAAAATTATACGGCATATACCATTTCGATAATAATTATACTATAATTTAATTACCTAATCATTGGATTTTTGACTCAGGAACTGTTTTCGTTTTTGAAACATTAGATGGGCATATTTGGCTATAATATGTGAAGTTTTGTCATTGTCCAATCTGAGTAAATATAACGTTTTATCATGATCTGTTAAATTGATGAAGGATTCATCATTAATAAAGTTGCTGTCTAAGACTTTCATATTCAGTACAATCAATTAAGAAGTGTTTCTCGTCTTCTATGCAGTTTCTTTTCAATTTGCAAACCAAACAAAGCCTTTCCTCTACTGGTATAGATGCTCCTTTATTTTCATATTTCCCCGTTTGTATACGTAAAGTATGAACTCCCAATCGCAGTTTAGTTATACTGATTCTATGAGCTGGATTTCTAACTATCTTTACATATTCTTCCAAGCGATAATCTTTTTTAATTTCCTTGTTTGTATATTTTTGACTAGAGCTATCCGAAATGTCGTTTTGAGCTTTAAACCAATCTTGAGAAAATTTTTTCTCAAGATAATGATGTTGATAATGATATTGTTAATGATAATGGATAATAATAATGATATTGATATTGATAATGATATTGATAATGATATTGTTAATGATGATATTGATATTGATAATGATAATGATATTGATAATGATATTGTTAATGATGATATTGATATTGATAATGATAATGATATTGATATTGATAATGATATTGATAATGATAATGATATTGTTAATGATGATATTGATATTGATAATGATAATGATAATGATATTGATAATGATAATGATATTGTTAATGATAATGGATAATAATAATGATATTGATAATGATATTGTTAATGATGATATTGATATTGATATTGATAATGATAATGATATTGATAATGATAATTATAATGATAATGATATTGATAATGATAATGATAATGATATTGATAATGATATTGATAGTGATAATGATTTTGATAATGATAATGATAATGATATTGATAAATTATGACAATGAAAACCAGCAGCACTAGGTGTTAGCATGCACCCCTCTTCTTTACTTGCTCACTAATTTTGCTGTTACAATCTTACCATAGGCGGAGGAGGACTTTGTTCACTTGCTACTTCAACATGATCAGGTTTTGTGACTACAGCCTGCAAAATAGTAATAACGATGTTACACTTAATGAAAACAAAATCAGGAAAAAAAAAAGTATTGTCCAGATACTGAACAAAAAAATTCCTACCTCAACTTTACACCAACTAACAGGTTGCTGAGGGAGCTCTGATGAAGGCAAAAAATTATCTGTTTAATTTTTTTCCAGTCTTGTACATACAGTCAACAACAACATAAACCTCAGTACAAGGAAATCTTAGGGACAATAATAAAATATTAATTTTTTTATCGTTGAGTATTGACAATTATTGTGTTGAGGTGTGGGTATTTTATGAGTGCTTTTTATATTACATCATATGGTAATTCCCCCAAATGCAAAGAAACTGCTCACAACCATTTTAAGGCCGTCATCAGGGGCCAGGGACTGGGGATTTCCCCTGGCAACTATGAGCATGACACCTGGCTTCTTTCATAACAAACAAAAGGAAAAGAAAACCAAAAGAACTTCTGAGCTGTTCAATATCTGGCAACTTTTGACATCTACAGCTGTAGCCCCTGCCTATCTTTAAAACAAGTACCATTACTTGATATCACAAGTGTCAACAGTCTTTCCTATTACGCTAGTGGCTAGTTTGTACATCAATATTACAGTGCTGCATACTGAGGTTTTATTAACCATTTGCTAAGTAATGGTCAGTGAGAAGACTTACGAGGCATCTTAATATTGAGCCAACAAGGACCTTTCATCTTCCGACTCAGGAGAAGGAGTTCAAGGCTGAAATTAGAAGACGAAAAGATTCCTTTAAAGAGAAATAATTCCAGATCACAAAACCAAACTCCATTCAGATGAAATAATGTTTACCATTTTCAGAAACGCAAGAGAAGATTGCAAATCTAGGAAACAGTTCATTTCACGATAATGCCTTCTTTAATGTTTAAATCCTACAGCTTTCACATCTAAGCAGTTATATTTCATCATTATTTCTTTGTTGCTTTCCAACATTCACTATCTAATTATAACTTTGGCAAGTTCACTTCTGAAAGTCAACAAACATTAACCCTTTAAGTGCCAATAGTGACCAAGATCAATTTTCTCCTGACAATATCCACACACTGTCAACAGATAAGTTATGAGATTTAATAAAGTGATCACCCAAGAAAAAAATGCCTTGATCTTTTACCAAATTCTCTCAACTCATTCTTTAAGGAAATGTATGGAGATCAGTTTGGAGAACTTGTATGTGGATACTGGGGCTGAAAGGGTTAATTTTGAATCATTACCTTGATGTATTGGTACCAAACACATGACTGAATGTTTGACCAGTGAGATCAGATGGTAACTGAGGATAATCCGCCTGTCATGAACAATGTTGTCACAAATTAACTCCCTTTTCATCAATGCTGCAAATAACCCTCCTTCCCTTTCACTTTCACCCCCCTCCCCTTCCCCACACTCCCCTGGTACCCTTACTGGGGCAGCAGTGTGGCCAAGTGGTCCTCGCATCAGACTCCCAACCTGTCAGTCCCGAGGTTCGAGTCCAACTTTGGCCACTTGCTGGATTTGTTCTTGGTCCTCCCAAGTTCAAATCCTAAGCCACGCTTGTAAATAACCAACTGGTTGCCTCCTCCAAGTTTTTTTTTTATTCCTGTTATGTTCTATTTGCATTATTTGTTTCAGAATCATTTGAGTGGCGTGCCTGTAAACTAGCTGGATAAGCTAAGTGCACTTTCCACTATAAACAAACCCTTAAACCTCTTTTAAACCTTTACAGCTTAGAGCCCATCCTGGCACCTTCCCTTCTCAAGTCTATCCTTACTGTCTTAATCAAATTCAAAGAGCCAATATCTTTCAACAAGTGACCTTTGTTAAAAACACTTTCAGCAACCAAATTATCACCTACAAAATCACATGACCTTTTGGAGTTAGATTCAGGGAACACATTTCCAACACTAAGCAACAACAAAGACAGTGGGGGAAACCCCTCAAGTATTCAGGTCACGCCCTGGATATCGCCGCCTCCTCCTCCTCAATATTTGCAAGGGAAGATAACATGTTTAAATTAAGTGTCATGGACAACATTGAAATCAGTTGTTGGGTTCTAACATTGAATATGCCAGTTACAAGCTTCCATGATCTACAGAATCACCTGATTCACAGTATAAATCACTTGAAAAAAGAAAGAAAGATTAAAACTCCATCACTTGATAAAGATTCCAAGATGGAAAGGAAAGCTTGTGTGTCTTAAAAAAAATTAATATTTTCACAAGTCTAAAAACTGGTTTACCGGTATGTTTGTTTTGTTATAACCTTAAATTTATCATCTCTCACCGAATATTTGACCTCCAAGTACTCTGATGTCACAGGCACATCTTGAATCTCAAATGCATAAGCCTTTTGGACTTTCTAGGGACATAAGTCACACACACTCATCAACAGAACTGCATAAAAGTGACAACAATCAAAATTATTTAAACAATCTGAATTACCCTAGATATGAACTTCATGATCTTGTGCTTTGTTGCAATCTTATCATTAAACTCCTGAAAAAGAAATAACAAGAAAGTGATGAAATTTAGCTCCCTCAATGTCATGGTTATTGTACTATGATCACCATGGGAAGACTAAAAAGTGACCAACATGAATTTTCTCCTAACGAGATCATTGCACCATAAAGAGAAAATGTCAAGATAATTAATAACTTCCTAAGGTAAAACCCTTTTATCTTTTACTCTCTCCCTCTCAAGTAATTCTTTGATGGAATATGTGGAGATCGGTAGAGAGAATTTTGTATGAGGAGATTGGTGAACCTCAATACCCATTTTAATATGTGGAAGTTAGCCACCAAGGGTGGGGTGGGGGTTTTGGTGGGGATGGGTATTAGTCAAGAGAGCACCATGCTTTACTAGTAAAATTTAAAGGAGGGGGCTTAAATATCAGGGGAGGAGTTATTAGCAGGAATACAGCAGCAGATCCAGAAAATTCAGAAAGGAGTGGGCGGGACACTTAACAGCTCTATTCTAGATACTTTTTATTTTTCTGAGACGAATTTCTACAAAAATAATATTAATTTTCAAAGGAAAAGGGGTGGTCGCGGCCCCCTTGGCCCACCCCTCAATCTGCCCATGGAATACAGTAATCAAAATTACTATGATTAAAATCAAATCATTATTTTTTTTACCTGGTAAACATCAATAAACCCAACAGGCTCATCAGTTTCAGAACCATCAACTTCAAGCTTCTAAATAATATAAAGTAAAAACCATCAATTAATTTTAGAACACTGTTGGAACAGGTACAGATAATATTTGAAAAGACATGCAAGAAGAACTCAACAACTGCAGCAATGTTTTTACATTCATTCTCTCACCTTTTCTCTTGGGAGAATAAATATTTGTCTCTCAATGTTCTTGACTGCTACTGAACAGCTAATACAAAAAAAGATAAATTTTTAATTAGCAGTTGCAAGTCCACTAAGTGGTCCTTCTGGTTTCCCATGGGGGATTTCCGAGCTTAGTTAAAGAGAAAAACAAAATGCAGATAAACCGTAATTACCTCACATATGCTTTTGCAGCTTCAATCCAAACCTTGCCAAAAAGGTATACAGTACCTGTAGGATAGAGAATTCAAAACTTACAGTGAAGCTAGTGATGTTCTTAATAATTCAACTGTCAAGCAACCTTGTCCAACTCTACCTGGTTGTTTGAATCTGTCCTCATAAGCATCAAACCAGTAGAATTTAAGGAATTTTTCCCCTAAGAGGAGAAAGAAAAGATGATCTTTACAAGAACATGGAATGGGCAACATATTTAGTACTTCAAAATTTGGCCAGAAATGGCATCACTAATCAAACATCCTTGCAAGGTTCCCTAGTTCCTTTCTGTGTCCCCTTTACATGTTGGCCTTTATCAAGCCTTTCTATCTAAATGTTAGCTCTAGCAGAGATTTTTGCACTGTGGATGAAATCCTATCTGACTGTTCAACCTCTTAAGCAGTACTTTTACATAGGGTTGCTAGTTTTTCAGCTTTCTGTAAAATGAAATGTTAGGAGTCTTCTTGAATTTTGATTTTGCACATCACGAAAGCAGAACTGGTTGAGGCCTATATTTTCATTTTTAGTAATTTCAAGCTTGAAACTTGTTGATTGCTGATATGTTCACTAACCATCTACTTCTTTGAGTGGAAGAGAAGATGAATCCACATTAACATCCATCAAAACCTACAGTAGCACATAAAAAGAAAAAAAAACTTAAGCAGTCAAACCCTGTTAATATGGATACTGAGGGGCCATAGAAAGTGACAGGTTGAAATTAGAGAAGATGTAAGGGCTTTCATTCCCCAGGGGCAAAATAAACTGTCCGTAATAGCGAGGTGTCGTCGTTAAGCGGGTGTCCATATTTCAGTGTTTGACTGTATGCAACTTAAACAAAATTTGTTTAAAACAAACAGGAAAGAAATTAAAGCTACACCATACTTTTCTCTGTGCTGTGATGAAGTGGAACAGAGAGGTATTTCTCATTCCAGAGAAAGAGATATGATGAAATTTTTATATAATTCAAAAAGATGCTTGACTTCTTGTACAATGAAAGGCAGGGAGGTGACTAAGAAGAAAACACATTTACAAGAATCTTTTGACACTTTTATACCTCTTGTTGTTGTGAATCTTCATTTCCTAAGATAGTTTCCCATCCTGAATCACCAGGAAGTTCTGTTGTTCTGCAAAGATCCATGTACTTATTATTACTAAATTAAATTTTTTTGTAATATCAATATATTTGGAGGGCTAAACTGCAGAACAAACATAATCTTTCTGCATTTTTTAGGCAAGGAAAGGTAAGGGTGAGGCAGGTGCGGAATGTGAAGCCTTCCCCCATCACATATGTGTCTTGCCTTTTCTTGTTTTCGTGACAAATTTATCTAAAACAATGTAATGATCTTAACTGTAATTTATCGCGTATTGTAAACTAACTTTCTATGCAAGGCTGTGCTCTATCAGAGCCCAGTGGCCAGTGTGGCGACTAACTTTTGTTCTTGGGTGACTAGAAAATCTTAGCTTTTTCATAGAAATCATATTCTGGGCACACTGGATTTCGCAAGTTCAGAGCACTGGGCTCCCTTCAATTTTTTTTAAGAGCACAGCCTTACTATGACTCAAGCTCTAACGTTTGTCTGTAATTTACTCGTGTACTAAATATCATGTTATGGAAAATAAAAATAAAATAAAATGAAAATGTATCTTGCTTTTCATGCCTGCCTCACTTGCCTTCACTTGTCTGATGTAATTATTATTACTTTATTACAGATAATTAATAAAAAGGAAATCATTACTAATTAGCAATCTGTGAATATCCAAAAATGCCCAGTAGTGCAGTGGACAGTAGTTTTGTCTGACCGTGCCCAAAACACAAGATAACAGCCCCTAAATGAGCCAGTCATTGCCAAATGGTAAAAAGGTATCAGCTCAACTAGCTGTAACATAATCGTTTCTTTGTTCAACAAACATCATTTACTGAGAAGATCCAGAAAGGTCCAGTGACTTTGCTTCAAAGCGAAAGTGACCACACCCTTCCCTTGACTTCAAAACGCAAACATGACAATTATTACCTCCAGCCCCAACAAGGTTAAAAAGTCATATGATAATAATATGTTATTGTTTCTCAGACATATTTAAATTGTTTAGTGATGTGACTTGTCAATGAATTTCAAAATAAATATCATAGTAGAATTGCATACTTCTGTGGCATAGCGCATCTTCTGTCATTTGGTTTCTCACTGGCCTCAACCTGAGAGGATAATTAAAGGAAAGCATATGAAGTATTTCTGATGGTTACTGGTAGCTTCCCCAAAAATAAATAATGTTGAATAGATAGAGAAGTGAGTCAAGAGATCAACAAAGTTTCATATTGTAAAATAAAGGTGATCTTGAAAAGTTGGTCAGAGACTGAGAAGAACAATTTTTAATTTTACAATTTCTTGGAAAACATGAATTCAGTGACTTAAAAAGTTCTTGGTTTAAGTTTAAGGGACTCTAAAGTAAATTGTAGGAAAACAAAGGTTGCCTGAACCTGCTTCTTAGATTACTTGGAACAGCTTGGTCCTACAAAACAAGGCTAACCTGGTATTGAATCAATATTGAATCAATATAGTAAAGTACCTTGACGTGAGGTTTTACATCATGATTCTTTTCTGCATTTGATAAAGCCTGGATAGCTTCTTCATTGCCAAGATCATCGTCATTATCAAAGTCATCAAAACCAGCATCGTACTCTGGCATGTCATCATATGAAGCAGGAACATCTAGCAGAGATTTTTCTGTTATTTACACATGTATGATTACATTTAAACTAAACCATGTTTTATGACAGCTCAGAAAAAGTTTTTAGTATTGGCTGACATAATGGCCAATACTCGGTCAGTGTAATGGTTGACTATCTGTTGACATGTCTGTTAAGTCTTGGCTAATAATTATGTTGGTTGACATAGGTTACACCCATTCATCAGACAGGTTGACATATCAGCCGACGCACAGCAGACACTCAGTCAACATGTTGGATGACACACCAGCTGACATGTGCGCAACGAATCGGCAAACCACATTGGCTGAGTGTTGGTTCATATGTGCACAACATGTCTATGTTGGTGACAAGTCTAAAGAATGTCAGCAGATAGTGATGACCAATACTCTTCCTAATTGTGCCCAAAGATCCAATTTTACTTGCCCAGAGCAGTTTCATGGTTGTCTTAGTCTCCTTCTTTATGCAAAGAGGACTTGACTGGGCTGCCCATGAGGCAGGTCAACAAGGAAAGTTACTTAACTAGCAGGACTAATTTCCAGCCCTGCGAGTGTACACTTTGCCTTTAATAATCTGATGACAAAATTCTATCTTTTTACCTTCCATCCCTGTATCCATATCTGTCATTTCAAGTTTTTCCTCTTTGATTTTTTCTCCAACCAAGCCACCATACTTGCTTTCTGTTCTGTCACATGGCTCAGTTTTTACAGCCGCCGGAGATCTTATCTTTGCTGTAATGTGACTAGGTTTTGGTGGGGAAGTAGGCTCCTGTTTGAAAAGGGGTGCTCTTGGGTTAGATGATTCCTGTTGAATGAATTTATTAGCAAAATCACTGGAGGGAGTAATACAGTGGACTTTCTAAAAAGCTCAGCACTCTGCTTTCAAATGGCATCTGCCTTGCAGAGGGTTTAGGTGTGGATAATTAGCGTGACAAGTAGAAACTGTGCCATTCATCTTATAAGAGACCTTGGAGGTTGTGGGAGGCAGACTACAAAGTATAAACAAAACAAGATGCTTTGGGTCATTATAAGTATAAAGCCAGAACATTTCTATTATCTATTTTCTTCAAAACCAGGTATTACCTGAAGCCTTCTGGGAGTGTAATGATTTGAAGAAGATGTTGGAGTTCTTTGAATGAAACAAAACAAAGCATCATTAACCTAAATAAAGGACTTTGTAGGGTCGTCACTAAGGGTTGAAGGCTGAGGATTTCCCCTGGCCAGGGTTTTTATTAAGAATTCTAGTAGCAGGAGGAAGGTGTAACATACTTACAGGAGAATATTTTGAAAGAGGCTCTATCTCTGAATAAAAAAAAAGGCTAGCGAAAGTTAGCCAGAGAATTCTGTGTAGTAAATGAAGAATTCTCCTTTCTCCGATGCCTAACAAAAACCCTGCCTGGCTACTATGAGCTTGACCCCAGGATACTTTTATAGTAAACAAGAGAAAAATAAAACCAAAAAAACTTCCGAGCAGTTCATTTCCCCCCACCCTCTTATTGCATATAACTGGCACCTTAAAATCATAGCGACAGCCCTGACTTTGAGGACTCTGAGTTTTGAAGCAAAAAACTATTACCATAACAATAAAAATCAACAAAATTGATTTATCTTTTTACTAGACATGATTCTTAATCTAATTTTCTGCTTAGCTTACTGTCATACCAAAATGACTGAGGTGTGTGTTCTCACTGCCTCTAAAATCAATATACTTTACTTTAACTCAGACTATTATTCTATTTTTTCTGTAGCAATAACTTGTTTACAATACCTTAACACTTGCCCCTTGCCCTTTGACATCTTTACTGGAGCTGGTCTTGGATGCTTAAAATGTCAAAAATAACAAAAACAATCATTAAGACAGTGACAAAAGATGGATCGAAACACACCAATCACGTTTTAGAGTCTTCAAAGCAGATCACTGGGTTTTGGGGCTAGTTGAAATGACTTGTGGGCTAGTACATGCTAGCTACAGCTTGCCCGAATGGCAGGCTGTAAAACTGACTTTCTTTGCACCCTGCAAGAGTTCAAAAATTCAGTTCAAGCCTGAATTTGTTCAGGATTTCTTTTTAGAACTGCAAAAGTTGTAGTCACAACTGTGATGATTTTCTTTACATTTAACGGTTCCCCATAGCACTCTAGAACAAAACACTACACCAACAAAAACACAAGGAATAATAATCTAACTTTTAATTTCTGTGCATACCTCTACTTCTTTCAAAAGGTCATTGAGGAGATCGTCATCCCCAAGAGATGTAACTTCCTTCTAACAAAGGGAGCATGAGAAAGAACTTAGTTAAGTTCCTTTTGGGTCAAAAGAGAGAGAGAAATATTAAGCTACTGTAAGCAACAACTCAGGGCTGTGCTCTAGCAGAGCCCACTGGCCCCTGGCGCCTAACTTGTGCTCTCGGGCGACTAGAAAATCTTAGACTTTTCATACAAATCATATGCTGCGCACCCTAGATTTTACAGTTTCAGGGCACTGGGCTCCCTTCAATTTTCCTTCGCGCACAGCCTTGACAACTACATGTAAGAAGCTGTTTTCTCAATAAAGTCTTTCCTTGGTTTGTTCTAGTTTATCTGTGGCGGCATGCGTGTGGCCGAGTGGATCTGGAGGACCGGGCTTCAAGCCTCGCCTGTCGCAAGGGGGAAATCTCTATTCCTTATAAGCTTGGCTTCTCGGAGATTTCCCTTCTACAGGCAAAATAATAAATAAATAAATGAATTGTTTTCTTAGACAAGGAACTTTAGTCCACTGTTTTAAATGGGCACCGGCGACATACTGCTGGGGGTAACCCTGCGATAGACTAGCATCCCGTCCAGGGGGGAGTAGCAATACTCCGAGGCATGCTTCATGCTAAGCAAACCGAGATAAACTCTGGCCATTTGGGACTTTGGCATGTTTTCGCCTCTACCTTACCCCATTTTAGTTCTCAAACCTCACCTTTGGTTTCTTAGCTTTGGCACTTGCCGCAAGTAACATTTTATTGATTGACTTTGGCTTTGCTACTGGTTTCTTTACATTCTACAATTTTGAAGCAAATACATGTAACACATTAATGAGCGATTAATTTGTTCAAAGTATATAGAAATTTGAAACAATAAGCCTTTCCAACAAAAGTACTTACTGGTTTTTTAGGCTTGAATTTAGGAACATTTTTCCCTGAAACGGTGAATGAAGATTTTTATTGAGTACAGATTTTTCTGTTTCCTAGCAGCCTATGTAAAACTGTAACCCATTTTTTCACCAAATACAGCTAATAAATCCACTAACCATTTGAAGGTTCCTCATCAAGGTCATCATCAAAAATCTCTCTTCCATCATCCACATAGCCAGTCCCATCTGAAATTTAAGATTTGTTAACATATAATTTACAGTGGTGGCCTGGCCAATGGGTAGAGTAGGAGTTGCTCGTAAGGTCTCTCCTAATTGGTCGCAGGAAACAATAACATATCATTCTTCCAATTATTTTAGTATTGTTTGGGATCAGGGAAACGCACCATGGCTTCTCTTCCAAGCAGCTGCTACATGACCCTGGCCAATAGCAATACCAGAGACTAATTTTCACTAAGTTTAAGATCATGTGTTACTAGCCACCACAATGCAGTCTGGCTGCTTATTAGACGTGTTTAGTCATAAGAGGTGCCTAGTAAGAAGGTTCTGACAGTATCACAGTGTAGGTGTGGCTGGTTCTAGTTAGATGAGTAGCAGCACCACTCCCCCCTGAAGGAACAGCCAAATAAAGAGATACCACTTGGGGTAAAACTGCAGTGATCTGCAGGCTCACAAGTTATTGCTTGCCAACATTAACTTTTACTTTATGCTAAAACATCATTTTTACATGTGGCATTATTGTTATATTTACTGAACAAATTCTCTTAAAATCAGTCTTCACTGGGTATTTGTACTCTCAGATTCTTGTTATCAGTAAATTAAGAATTATAGTGGAGCTCCATGCATGAGTGACCGTAGTCTTTTACAGTAAGTGAAAAGACATGGTAATCTATACCTTCGAGACATTTTGGTAGTTAAATGACCCTATATCCGCCCCTCCAACCGTTTGTCTACACCACAGGGCAACTAATGTGAAACATCACAATTTCTAGCTAGTGTAGGAGCTCACAACCCGTGTTTAACTTGATATCTTTATAAAAATACCGTAAAATTTCGAATATAAGCCCCTCCAAATATAAGCCCCCCAAACTCATAACGCAAAAAACCTTCCATTAAATCGCCCCTCCGAATATAAGCCCCCCTGGGGGCTGTACTTTGAAGTTGCCATACAAAGCAAAACAAAGCAAAAACGTTAAATTTCTTTCCAACTATATATGATTTTGAAACGCAAATTTCCCTCCGTAGATAAGCCTCTCCGAATATAAGTCCCTCTAACAATAAACCCCTCAAAAAGGACCTTTGAAAAATATAAGCCCTGGGACTTATTTTCGGAATTTTACACTGTAGTAGAGGTACAATGATAGGAGTGCACTTTTGCTGTTAATGCTCGCGACTGAAGTTTACGCGCAAAGCTTCTCACCATCATCAATAACCCAGTCCTCTTCCTGTCGCTTACGGACAATGTCCGAGTATTCATCTTCATTTACCACCTGATAAACATCAGCCACTTCACCAACCTTGAATAAAAGAATGAAAGCACAGTCTATAGCTACATGCATACATCAATTTATTATATAAACATCAATGAAATACCAGGTGAGCTTTCGGGGCGAAAACATGATATCTTCACCTGTGAAAATACAGTAACATGTTATCTTCACATGGGAAGAGATCACCACTACTGTGGCTACATGATAAATTGTGCCTTTCAAAGCAAAAAAATATTAAAGTGAAATGGTTTGGTATTTCATTGATGTTTAATTAATAAACAGAACATTAGATGGCCGCTTGGAGATACAAAATTTCTTTTCTCGTGTTGAAAAAGTATTTCACTTTTCACGCTTTTCAACACTTGAAGAGAACTTTTTCATCTCCGCACGGCCATGTAACATCCTCTAGTTATTAAATCTGTCTAGGCATTTTATAACTCATTGGCACTACCTGGAGTTGTATCCATAAAAGAGGAAAATTATGTTTTACAAATATATCTAAAATTATGGATAAAATTATTTTTGTAAACTTTCAGCTAGTATTTCATAAAGTCTTAAATCCTAGTGAGGTTTATTAGTATTTATGTATAATACTAATTATTTAATACTTAGCTTCTGAGAATCCAGCAACTTTATTTAATTCTTAATTTAGAAGGATAAAGCTAAATTAATACTCAAGCAACTGTAATGTTGTAAGAACAATTTTTCCTTTCTCTTTTAGTTATATAATTACAGTCACAGTGAAGCTCCTTGAAACTTATGATAGAGTTTTAAATAAGAGACTTTCAAAGCCGTTTAAAGACATTTCGTTTAAGCTTATTAAGAAAGAAATATAGAACTTCGAAGCGTGTTTGGAACTTCAGATCCATAGTTTTTTTACCTCAAACTTTGCTCGCTCGCCTGTCTCACGAAATTTCCTAGAACATGAATAAATTGGTCGTTAGATTCATAAGCGATCGGCAAAAAATTAAAAATAATAAACTTGCATATCTGAAAGAAGTTTACTTCAAACCTGATTTTATCGAGGGCAGAAGTAGCTCCAGCATTACGTTTCACAGATCGCTTCGATCGCCTTGTGGACTGAGAATCTACAAAAGGCACAAGACACTGGGCTCAGAAATGTCCTTCTTTGTACGAATTCACCTTAAAATAGCCTTTTAAAACATAAATAAAAAGCATATACCGTCTTGAGAAGTTGTCGCTCCGTCTTCAGTAGATGTAGGCGCCATTTTGAAATGGATTGTTGAAAAATGGCGCGAAAATCCGCCAAATTTTGCTCCAAGAGATAACCTTGTTCAGCGGTCAGCAATGGGAGGAGGTTGCTGTGTTGTGTATACGACATTAAAGTGACTCGATGCAAACACTGATGTCGCGTGGCGAAAGCGAAAATCTTTAGCGACTGAAGGTCAATTAACCATTTCATTTAACCATTTCATTTTGTGGGTGAGTAAATTTGATTTTTTTGTGTCTCATTTTCGTATTTTAATGTTCAGGAAACAAGGATGTTCAAAAATCGCGTGATCGTCATGTTTCCGTACAGGGTGTCTGAAGATATTTTTAACATCCAATCACATCATAATCACATGCAGCAGCAAGCAACTTAACTCCGCAGATAGCTCTCTTTTTTTTTCGCAATATCATTGATCATACGACCTTTTCCTTGGGATGGATTAGCTTAATAGCCAGAACGTAGGCGAAAAATTCAGTTCTAGCTGCAGCTGCTTGTTTTGCGGAGGTCTGACCTATCTTGTTGAATTCTAAATTAAGTGTTCTTTCTCCTCCCACACACCCACAGCACAGTTCACCAAGGCTGGCAAGAAGACTTTTTACTTCCATTTGAATAATCAGTAAGTACACTGTACAAGTCACTCACATGACTGGCAAATGCACACCCTGTGTTAAGGAAAATTATTCTGTAAAATTAATTAGCCTGCAAGCAAGCCCTCCAGGGTGTTCTGGCAGCGGGGTGAAAAGGAGGAAGAGCTTGCACAATGCAGTCACATCTCAGGAATTTGAATTCTGCTTTCAGTGCCTCCTGTCGCTATCCGTCAACTTAGCTGTCAGATTCTTGTAAGCAATCAACTCCGGCTTACAACAGGTTCAACTGTCTTGTTTTCTTACCCAAACACCGAGAACAATAAAGGTTAGCTATTACTCTGTTGCTTAGGTAAGACAATATTTACTTCATGTGAAAAAAGGTTACATTATTTTAGTTTTGCAGAGTTGTGACAATCCTCCATCAAGTGGGTGTCCAGTGGCATGTATATGTGATGTGATGTGTGTGGCTATTTTTATTTTGCAGGAAGATGAATAATTATTCAGAATATGACATTGCTGTCATTGGTGCAGGAATTTCAGGGATTGTTACTGCAAAATGCCTGTTAGATGACAAGTTCAATATTATTGTTTATGAGAAGACTGACCATGTTGGAGGACTGTGGCAGTTCACAGAGGATGGCTATGGAGTGATGCGATTCACTCACATGTAAGAACTCTGAAATAAAGTGTTACAGTGGGACCCTGTTAATACGGTCACTTATGGGCCAAAAAAATTTGGCCGTGTTAACAGGGTGGCCATATTACTAGGGCTGGCTCAAATTTCATGCCTTGAGGGCGGCAATGACAGATACGCCATACGTCACATTCACCTTACTGTTCTCATTAATAAACAACCAGAATGTAGATATCATGTATTATTGAAAAAAACTACTTAAAATTTTCCTTCAGTACATGAATCTCTTTTAAAATTCAGCTATAAATCGCCACAAGTGCATTTTAAGTGTACTCTCGTCTAAAAACAGTACAAGAATAAGGTAAGATTACTAGGTCAATAAAACTGACATGTCACAGGTTTTCTAAATTTTGAACAAGTGGCTTTATTAATGAGGCGAAATTATAAGAGATTCTGCTGTTTAGGATTTTAAAATGTGACCCTTGGCTGTATTAACAGGTGACTGCATTAACAGTTTTTTTTTTTTGTAAGGAAATGTATGGCCATTTTGCCAGGCCGAAAAAAACTGGCCATAATATCAAGGTGACCGTCTTATCGAGGTGGGGTTCCACTGTACTTCTGATTTAAACTAACTATAACCTCTAATAATATTCAAAAAGTGGAAGTTCCAGAGGCCTAGGGGCCCCCGGGGGGGTGCGGGGTGGTTGGTGGTAACTTGGGTTAATTTTTGCCCCTACCCCATTATAGTCTTTTCTGCGGCCAATTATAGACCCCATCTTAGTCACTTTTGGGCAAATACATAATTTTCATGATGCCAACTTAGTCACTTTCTATTTTTATGAATTGACCAATTTTTTAGCTTGAATTGAAGAACACTTTACTTTTCATCTTCAGTACAAACATTCTGGGACGTTTGCTAACCGTAAAATCCAAAAATGTGTGACCCCCTTCTAGTAAATCTAAGGCCATTTGCCCAATGGCGTCATTTAACTACTATGACCAGAATTCTTTTCGTTTTTCTTTTATATTGAAATTTGGTAATGCCAGCGAGCTTTAAATAACAAAAGCCCTAATTTGCACAAGAAAGCAAAACCCTGAAGTATATATTCTGGTCATAGGAGTGAAATGACGCCAACATGCAAATGGCCTATTGAAAAAGCAACCCCATTATAGTCAATCCAGTCGTGAAAATGCGACCCCATCCAGCGATACATCCCCACTAGCCTCTTATAAGGAAGTACACCCACGGGCTGTATTGTTGGGCGACTGTTGACTAGCAATTTCACGATTTTTTACCTTGTCTTGTTATTCTTTTGCCAGCAATGTCTCCAAACACAACTACTGTTTCTCAGACTTCCCATTCCCTGATCATGTTCCTGATTACCCAAGCCACACACAAATGGCAGAATACATCAAAAGTTACACCAAGCATTTTGGTTTGGAGAAGCACATCTGCTTTAACACCAAGGTGGTCAAAATTGAAAAAGCAACAGGAGGATGGAAAATAGTTACAGTCCAAGTAGACAACCAAGGAAAGCATCAGTCTAAATACAAGGAGACATTTGTCAAGTTTGTTGCTATAGCAACAGGACATCATGCGAAACCAAGCATGCCACACTTTGAAGGCCAGGAAACATTTAATGGAAGAATGTTTCACAGCATGGATTATAAAGATGCCATAACTAATGATTTAGTAGGAAAGAAAGTAGTTGTTGTAGGAATTGGTAATAGCGCTGTAGATGTAGCTGTGAATGTAACAGAATTAGGAGGGGAAAAGCCCATTAACATTTCCACGAGATCGGGTGCATGGATTGTTCCCAATTACATACTCGGGTACCCTGCTGATCATTATGCGACCCGCCTATTCTTCTGGCTTCCTTGGAGCATTTCCAATTTTATCTTTGAGCTAATGATCCAATGTGTGACCGGCAGCCAATGGCGGTGGAACCTGAATCCAAAAATGCATGCTCGCCAAACACAACCCACAGTCAGCCCAACATTGATTCATCATCTCCAGAGGAGAAACATTGTTGTTAGACCTAACATTGCGGCATTTAAGAAAGATAAAGTGATCTTTACTGATGGATCTGAAACTGTTGCAGATGCAGTGGTTTGTTGTACTGGTTACCACATAGATTTACCGTTTTTAGAGAGTGATATAAAAGATTTAGTTATTGATGAAAGCACCAATCAAATCAAACTCTTCAAAAATGTTTTTACCCCGGAAATTGGCCATTCTTTAGCATTCATAGGATTTGTCCAGCCAGCATCTGGTGGTTTGCTATCAGTTTCTGAAACTCAGGCCAGATGGTTCTCAGAGCTGTGTAAAGGTACCATCAAACTTCCCCTAGCAGAGAAGATGCACCAGGAATTTGAGAAAGACAAACAAAGCAGGGAGGGTATTTACTATGCTTCACCCAGACATACAATTCAACAAGACCCGATGACTTACAATGACGAGATTGCATCATATTTTGGTGCCAAGCCACAACTATGGAAGCACCCTTCCTTGGCATGGAATTTAGTTGTCGGCAGTGGAGGAGCTGGGCAGTATAGATTGCAAGGCCCTCATAGGTGGAATAGAGCTAAGGAAGTGGTGCGCTCTGTTCCGATAACACCCCTGTTACATTACGTTACACTGTTTTTGTTTCTAGTATTACTTTTTATCATAGTGTTCATTTTCTATAAAGTATGGTTTTAGTCACTTCGACTTTCATTTTACATTTTATTTTAACAATCATGATCTTTTTCATTTTAGTGATAATTTCTTTCATGTTTCTGTCTGATTGCAGCTGTGTCATTTTTGGGAAAAAATTGTTGGTAGACATGGAATTAACACTCACAAATGAGCAGAAATGCACACAACAACAAACATTTTGTTGAATTCACCACTTCACAATGTACATGGCGGGTGCCTCTTGACATCTCATTTGAATTTTTGCCAACGCTCTGGTGATTTTTTTGCCAGACCATTTTCGCTGTCGGGTGCATTTCTGGATCTAAGTTAAATCCCTTCCACGGGTAAGGTAGTAAAGGTTACAAAATTATGCAAACTGAGACCATAATCACAAGATTAAAGTAAATTAGCTTATTATTGATTCAGCACTGAACTTGATCCAACATAGTTCTTAGCCCTTTAAGCCCCAGTATCCACATACAAATTCTCCAAACTGGTCTCCATACATTTCCTTTAAGAATTAGTTGGGAGAATTTGATCAAAGATCAAAGCATTTTCCTATATTTGATTATTATATTTATTTTCATAACCTGCTCTCTTGGACACTATTGGGACAAGAATATTGCTGTTATGCTTTACTTTTTTTTCAATCTTAGAATAGCCAGCTCTTTTGCAGTGGCCTCTGAGCTGTAAAGCTTCAAAAAGCGCATTGACAGTTACTGGTGTATTAGTTTTAAATTTTTTTTAGTCAAATTTATTATTCTGCAGAAATGTTATTTAGATAAAGTTTATATAATATAAATATAATAATATAATAAATTTATTTGTTCAGACACTGTTTAAATGTTCTGTGCAACGGCTCAATCTGTTTTGATGCATTTCAAACTACATGAAAAATACCAATTTTCTTCTATAAGTCATGTTGTTATGTTGATTATTCATACATACATACATTTATTTGATAAGTAGGTTGGAAATAAGCAACTGTACAGCTGATGTGGACCTACTATTACTAAGTCTAGATAAGAGAACAAAGATTTACAATACAATTATTTAAGATAAAAAGACTAAACAAATAATTTAAAAATATGAAAATTCAGGGTTCTTGTTGCAATTTACTGAGCATTCCTTTTGAAAACTGATGTCCCTAACATAGGTCTTGATCGATTTTAGCTTTCTTTTAAAAGAGTGAGGGTTTTCGCAACATTCGCCTCATGTTGGGGAATCTTAATCTGAATCTTATATTCTGGATTCCACGCCTTGGTTCCTGGATTCTTTGTCAGTGAAACTTGGATTCCGGATCGTTGGTTAGTGAGATTCCAGATTCCTTGAGCTGTATTCCAGATTCCAAAGCCCAGAATTCTCGATTCTGAAAGCAAAAATTTTCCGGATTCCGAATGCACTGTAGTTTTTTTTCAGACGCGATATTTTATGTAGAAATAGCTCTTTACAAACGGTTAATAAATGTATTCTTTAAGGTTTTATGCTGTCCTCTGAACATTTCAAAAATATGAAAAAGCTCCTTTTCACATCTGGTTGTACTGAGAGAAAAAAGACTTCTAAGTCATGAGCGTTGTGCTTTAGTACTGAAGTGCTATAGGCATGTGGCCGTAAAGGGCTTTTAACAGACTTTATAAAATAACTAAGATAGTACGCGCCTTCTGATTGGTTAAAAGTCTATGGCTTATTGTGCTGGTAAACTCATAGAAAACTGAAACATTTTCCGTTTTACTTAAAGTTATTTTATAAAGGCAGTAGACCACACTTTCTATGGGTTTACCGGCGTGATAACCCACTTGGGATGCTGGGAGAATACTCGAAAAGCTTGTAAATCACTCGCCTTCGGCTCGTAATTGACAAGCTTTTCTCGTGTTCTCCCAACATCCCGCGTGGGTTATCACGCCGGTAAACCCATAAAAAGTGTGGTCTGTTGCTTAAGTAAACTTCCCCCCAGGAACGGAGAAATTTGCGAGGTTTCTGAATTCAACACCGGGTCTATGGCTTGGGAAGAGGGCCAAAAAAACATAGCATATCGTGTCCTGGATTACTCTTAGTTTCTCTCTTGTCGTAAGAGGCAACTTAAGACTTTGCCAAATAACCGTTTTGTTTCTGAGTCGAATACTAAACCGTTTCAAAAACTCTCTCGTAAGCAACCACCTCTGAGATATACGACCGCGACCACTTTTAACACGTTTTATGGCCAGAATTTTGACATATTCTCCAGTAAGCGACCACTCGGCAATTATCACCTATAATAACTGTAAAAAACCACTGCTCAACTGTCACAAAAGTTCAGTTTTTAATAGCGCTGACAAAGCTTCCTTACAGATTGTAGCAGTTGACTTACGAAAAAGATGGCGATAATACAATCTGTGTAAAAAAGTGGATTGTTAAATTGATGTGAAATGTTTTGTACAAAGTGTCAAAAGTTCCAACCGCTATTCGATGTGAAACATTATTGCCAGTTGTCTAGTTGCCTAATTTTAGCTGGTAGGCTAATAGCTTTCTGTAATTACGTTAATCAGTCATACGGGAGAGTTGACTTGTATGTGCGGCGGTACCCTGCTAGCAGAGTCGCTTCGATCTTTCCTAGCAAGATCGAAGGAGACTCTGTTCGCAGGGTAGTGCGGCCGTGGTGTTCATTTTCTCTTGATTTCGTTTACTTCCCTGCATAAATTTGCGATTACGTTTTAATATGCTACTGGACACGGCCCATCCGGACTTACATAAGCAGTTCCTACATTCAACGCCAGTATTACTCAAGGCTACGCAGTTTCACAATCACAGATATCTCGCTCATTCGGTTGGCCTACGCTCCAGTTCCGCCGTACCCTGCGAGCAGTGGTTTCTCCAGGCCGGACGCTACGGGAGAGAAACCGTGGTTTCTCTCCCGTAGCGTCCGGCCTGGAGAAACCGCTACTCGCGGGGTAGTTCCGCCGGGACTATCTAAAGTGCATGCTAGTGTTTAAGAGCCTTCATGGCCTGGTTCAGGTAACTTCCCCTAAACAACGAGTTGACAGAAATATTCAAAAATATTGAACGCAAAGATCATATTAAGTACTTAGCCTAACTTAGCCTAAGTACTAGGTGTGTTCATTGATAAGCTCTTGAGCTAGAGTTGCCAAAAACATTGGCATAATACTGAAACAAACTCAGATATTATGTAGACCTAAAAACAATGAGGCAGTTACATTGTACGTTAATGTTTTCTTACCTCAACTATGGCATTCTGAGTTGGGGAAATAATAACTAGACAAGACTGAATAAGCTCCGTACAAAGCAAAATAAATGCATGTGCAATATATTTTTTGCTGATAGTAGAGAACATTCAACACCATATTTATATTTACTAGAAATTCTTAATTTTGATAACATTGTAAAATTTAAGACTGCTGTATTTACACATAAAATTCTCAAAAAAAAAGAAATTCCAGCTATATTCTCTGACTTCATCATCCCAGCAGTAGATATACACTCTCATAAAACTCGATATACTACCCAAGAAAATTTGTTTTGAACAAACATTCGATTCGCAAATTTATGTTTAGGTATAAGGCAGTTCACGAGCAAGTGTGGGAAAGTGTCCCATCACACGTAAAGTCCCTTACTGAACCTGCTTTTAGAAAACAATGTAAAACAGTTCTTCTTTCCAATCAGTGATATATAGGTAGATGTCACAGTATGCCCTTTGTTAATTGTGCGTGGGCGCGTGAATGCGCGCCAAGGTTAAGCTATGCTTCAGTTAGTATAATATTTACTACAAGTATTAACCATAAAGGGCTGCAAAGGACCGCAAACGAATATGCCGAGGAACGTAGGATCTATAAAGACCTGATCAGCAAAAATAATAATGTAGACATATTAAATTCTGCAAGCAGAATACTGCAATGCTATACCTGCCAACTTTTTCTGAGATATAAGCGTGAGATTTTTATCCTGGGAGTGCTGGGATTTTTGAAGACGACTCGATCATTTCCGAAGATTCCCGAAGAAGTCCGAAGTCTTCCGAAGACGTCCGAAGCCTGCCGAAGTCTGCCAAAGGCGAGCTCGCTCCCAGCGCTTTTCACTTCAAAAATCAGAGATCGCGAGGAAGGTATTGCCATTTATTCATTTTACACATGGTTTTCGTTCCTTACATGGGTCTGAGTTAACATATTTTTGGAAATTGTTTCAAGCAGGACGGCAACAACTCACATTTTTCAATCAGGCGTGAGAAATTGGCCCGCAGGCGTGAGCCGGCATGAGATCGAAGTTTTCAACCCGCAGGCGTGAGAGTTGGCAGGTATACAATGCTGATCGTACTACGTGAAAATATTTTCACGTAGTACGATCAGCATTGCAGTATTCTGCTTGCAGAATTTAACATGTCTATAATATTTACTGTAGATTATGCTAGTAATGTGCCCGTTAAAATTAACGAACATAAATGTTGGCTTTTTCTCATTATATTTCAAACATGACAGTGACAGTGACAGTGACCAACTCGAAAGCCTCGCCTCCTTTGGCCACTGTGCACTTCCTCTCTCTCGATTCTATTTATTGGTATTTGCATAGTATATTTCTGAAAGAAAATTATATATTCTGTATGTGTAAGAGTAATTCATCTAAACAGTGCAAATAAAGTTGAAGTTGCCCGGCTCCAGCATATTTACTTAATAGATTTAGCCACTCGCGTGTTTTCCTTTCATATAATACGCGCCATTGAGATTTGCTCCGTCTGCCAGCTAGGACAACTAAGTACCAGGGCTCCTTCAGGTTCACCGGAGGCAAGATCTGTAACACGCTTCCTCTTGATCTGAGGAGCGAACATTATATCATTAAGTTAAAAAAGGCAGTTTAGATCCAAGCCAAACTGAGAGTCTCCTACTCCTGTTATAGTTAGTTGTAACGTTTTTTGTCTTTATTCATATGGTCTTATGTGTTGTTTTTTTTTTCCTTTTCATCCGGGCTCCATTCAAACCAGCGTCGCTGAACTGGGCACCCCTGACTAAAAAATAAAATAAAATTCAACACAATGCCGGCCTTTCCCCCAGGCGCTCGCGGTCGTTTATAATAAAAGAAAGAGAAAAAGAGGCTATTTTACCTTCCTATCACTCCCCGCTTGCGCTCTGCACTCGTTCATATTATCTCCGACTTGTGCTTCTCGCTGGCTACTCCGTGCTCCACGCTCACCCGTGGTAAGGCCTGCGGAGAAAGCAGATGCAATGTATGACCCACGATCAACGACCTCGCACGAAGCGCACGTCTTACAACCCACCCTAGATAGCTAAATAAATGAGAGATTTTGAGTCACGTTTACGGCAAACTGCAAACGTCAGATCCAAAATAGAAAACGTGCAAATAAAAACAGTCCAAAACAACTGTTATAGACAAAACTTACGCTAAGCTACTAATTTTGGGGAGTAAAAGTAATGAGCATTAAAGCAAACGTTAAGGGAAAACTTGGTCATGCATGTGGTACAAATTCAAAATTCAAAATTCGTAATCTCTCCCATTATTATCTCGCTTCCATAAATGGATAACAAATATAAGAGAAGTGATGGTTCACGTAATCCCCGGGTAAGCGAGGCGTACGATCGTTTTGCGGTTCAATCTTGCTGCTTGCAAGAACGCTTCAAGCTGAGAGTCCTTTACAATATGTTGGTCATTCTTTTCATTTAAAAAGAAGATTAAATTTTAAGTCAATACAAAAGGTAAGCGAGAACTTGTTATAAAGCCACTACTTATTGGAATCTCATAGTAGAACTGGAACATCACCCGATCTCACCCCCTTTAGTCTCTGACCCAGTCTAAGTCAATTGTGTTTAATATTGATTATCCCTATTTCATTTCGTCGAGAGTCGCATTCTTTTTTCAAGTATTCAGGCATCAATGCGGGTTGGGGATTGCGTACTTATCTTATTTAAGAGGCAATGATATTGTATTTAAAATCAATCTGTAAATCTTCAGTCCTAGTACCGAAGCCAAAGGCTTGTTTCGCAATGTTAGATAAGCGGGTGGACTAATTTACGCATTACTTAGCAATTTACAAAATCTTAATTAGACTTGACTCTTCTAATTGCAAAACTGTATTACGTTTTTGGTATTGTACTAAAATTCCAGAAAACTTTCACTATCGCTTTTTCAACATTTGATTGGTCGAATATCAGTTTTGTTTTTCAAGGGTTTCTATCCACGCTAGTTCAAATTGACCGTAATTGCGTGCTTTATACAATGACTTGCGGCTTCATTGGAAGGAGGAACTCGACCGTGGGTTGGTTTGAGTCACTAGAATATATTCTAAGCAGAGCGCTGTTAAGTTTGTATCTGTTTGGACATGTTCTAGGGCAACTTGAATCTTTTCGAAATTACAAGGGCTTTAACGCTTTACGAAGGTTAGTATTCTTCTGTTTCCACTCTCCATTTTCTTCAAAATGTAGCTTAACCTTCTGAGATAAATTTCGAAAATCGTACGTGAATGGAACGGTCGCCTAGATTTTATAGCCTACCTCAACCTACAGAAAAATTCCAGGTAGTATTGCTTCTTAGAGGAGATAGTACTTTGCAGAGTTGGATGCTCCTGCTTTTAGGGTAGTGAATGAATGAATGATGAATTCACACAACGTCAAATACTACTGACACAACTGGACTTAAGCCTTTGAAATAGCCTGCTCCAGGCTCTCACCATGAATCATGTCCATCTAACGAACTTTACTGACTATTTTGTAAACATTTCGAGACATTCAATTCATTTCATCAATTAATTTCATCATGCTTCGAAAGGAGAGACAAACTTGTCTCTGGAATAACTAATCCGACCGAATGAAAAGTTAAAAATATTTAAGTAATATTGTTGTTGTTGTTATTATTATTATTATTATTATTATTATTATTAATTTTATTTTATTTTATTGTTTTCTTGTCTCTTTTTTTAGAAGCGTTATTTTAAATAAAAAAAATCAAGAATTGGATAACTCGAACCTTCAAGGGAAATCGAAAAAAGTTCGAGTTATCGGGAGCTAGAAGAAAATAGCCGAGAGTAAGGTAAAAAACAGTTTTTACTGCACAGTGAACATTTTAATCATATTTAATTGTAGAAATGTCAAGTGAAAATTAAAAGATACTTCTAGATTATAAATCAGAACGTAACGCAACAAAACATAGCCTAAATAGAGCATGCGTTTTACTGTTTTGAGAAGTAAAGCTGCTTCACGTTAGCCTGTGACAATCAACATCAGCCTCCACTACTATACTTCTACAACACGTTAATAGGAAATCCAAAATTCATTGTTTCGGACAACAGAAGAAGGCTTTTTTCCCGATTTTTTAAGGGCTCAAAACACGGTTCGAGTTATCGAGGGTAAAATTATATAGAAAATGACCTGAGGGGAAACGAAAATTGGTTCGAGTTAGCGGGAGTTCGAGTTACCGAGGGTAAAATTACAGTAAATGTATGACGGAAATCCAGGGGAAATCGATTTTGGTTCGAGTTAGCGCGAGGTTCGAGTTAGCGAGGGTTCGAGTTACCTGGAGTCGACTGTATATTTAATAACAAGCTCTAGTTTCATCAGACGCAAGGTAGATGTTGTGGTTCAATTTTTTCTACGGTTTAAATTTTATTTCCCTTTGTTACAAACTCATTATTATGCATTACCATACCCCAAAACGAAGGGAAATAAGATTTAAACCAAGGATAAAATTAAACCACAACATAAAGATTCTTACGAGAGGCCTCCGCTGCAGCGGCAGTTTTCACGGTTCTTTTGTGACACACGGCGTTAACATTCATCAAGTGGGTGTCCTGTGGCATGCTTGTGATGCTTAGCGTTCTATTTTATGTTTACCAGATGAATCATTCTCCAGAATATGACGTTGCAGTTATTGGTGCTGGGATTTCTGGGATTGTTACTGCAAAGTGCCTTTTAGATGACAAGTTCAATATTATTGTTTATGAGATGAGTGACCACGTTGGAGGACTGTGGCAGTTTACGGAGGATGGCTATGGAGTGATGAGATTTACCACGATGTAAGAAGTAATCATAAGTTAAAGATTTACCTTTAATTTTTGAAACGTTATAGGGACAGGTTGTTCTGAGCCGATTCACAACTTTGTTTTTAACTTGCAAAAGTTGCCTCTTCCTTGCTGTGATCAAAAGAAATAGAGAAAGAAATAGAAAATAAATTTTGAAAACTCGTTTGTAAACACTCAGGACTGAAAAGATAAAATTCTCGGATGTTCACCATTTGTCATGCATTTATTTGATACAAGAGCCCTTCCTGGATCACAGCACAATAGAGTTGCAAGGCAGTCTCGTTCCCAGTCGTCCACGGCGATTTCGGATGTGACGTCACCTGACGTCACCTGTCAACCTGTCGGTCCAATCCTCCTCCTCAATCGGCTCGGATAGCGCTAACTGGCCTGGGGACGAGGACTAGTTTCAGGCTTTTTATTTCAGTCTACTGAAGGATTTTTCGCTTCGAAAAGATCTCAGCCAATCATAGCACCGCTAATCTCCCTCTCAGCCATTCTTTGCGTCGTCACGCAATCCTTCTGAAGGAAAAGCGCTTTGCGTAAATACAAAGAACTGTTGCGTAGAGTAGGATTTCCAGTAATGATAGCAAAAAAATTTCAAGATATTGGTCGGAAAGTCGCTCAACTTCATCTTCGAGTGGAGAGTCATTATAGAAACTGGAAGAAGTGATACCTCACTTGAGATTCCAGCAGTGAAGATCACATCACAAAAGCGTTTGGCTGCAAATGATAATTAAAGGAGTTAAAAGAAATAAATGACATCGAAAGATCGAGATTGGGTGAATAAGTGAAATTCATGTATTCACCATTTGAGTTGAAAGTCTAACTCGTTGACATACGTAATCGTGGCGGGACTAGGTGGCGCCGAGGGTCTGAATGGGGGTAACTGGATAACGCTTATTTTGTTTGGCTCTGTCGCATGACACTAGCAGCAAAAAATTCGCTGTAACAGTTAATTTTTTCCAGAAAGAGGTACAAACGCCTCCAAAAAGGCCAATATTACTTTGTTTAGAATATCAAGGAATTTCTGCCATGCTCCTACAATTCTGGATTATTTCAGAAGATTCTCGAAGACTGCCAAAGATTTCCGAAGGCTACCGAAGAGGTACGAAGATTGCCGAAGATGTCCAAAGAACCCTCCGGAAACTTTCTCCGGAAACGGTAAATGTTAAAATTGGCCAATTTAATAGCGAACACTGAAAATTATGAGCAAATAACACTAAACACTAAACCCTATTCAGACCCTTGGAGCCTCCAGGATGATGACAGGACGGTTGTTTTATAACTTATTACTCAGCCTACTAATGTTGAATGTTCATATATCACTTGAAATGATTAGGAATCCTTTTAACAGGGTTGCCTCCAAACAGAACGACTGCTTTTCCGACTTTCCATTCCCTGATCATGTTCCTGATTACCCAAGCCACACACACATGGCAGAATATATCAAAAGTTACACCAAGCAGTTTGGTTTGGAGAAGCACATCTGTTTTAACACCAAGGTGGTCAAGATTGAAAAAGTAGCAGAGGGATGGAAAATGATTACAGTCGAAGTCGACAACAAAGGCAAGCATAAGTCCGAATACAAGGAGACATTTGTGAAGTTTGTAGCCATAGCATCTGGTCATCACGCAAAGCCAAGCATCCCACAGTTTGAAGGCCAGGAAACATTTGATGGAAGAATTTTTCACAGCAGAACTTATAAAGATGCCATAACTAATGATCTAGTAGGGAAAAAAGTAGTTGTAGTAGGAATCGGTAATAGCGCTGTAGATGTAGCGGTGAATGTAACAGAGTTGGGAGGGGAAAAGCCCGTTAACATTTCCTCGAGATCGGGTGCATGGATTGTTCCTAATTACATATTCGGGTTCCCTGCTGATCATTATGCGACCCGCCTATTTTTCTGGCTTCCTCGGAGCATTTCCAGTTTTCTCTTTGAGTTTATGATTCAATGTGTGACCGGCAGCCCATGGCAGTGGAAACTAAATCCCAAAATGCATGCTCGCCAAACACAACCCACTATTAACTCGACATTGATTTATCATATACAAAGACAAAATATTGTAGTAAGACCTAACATTGCAGCACTTAAGAAAGATAAAGTGATCTTCACTGATGGATCTCAAACCACTGCAGATGCAGTGGTTTGTTGCACTGGTTATCAAATCGATTTGCCCTTTTTTGACAGCGACATCAAAGATCTAGTTGTCGATGAAAGCACCAACCAAATCAAACTTTTCAAAAATGTTTTTGCACCAGACATCGGCCCCTCCTTAGCATTTATAGGTTTGGTACAGCCCTCATCTGGTGGTTTGCTATCAATTTCTGAAATCCAGGCAAGGTGGTTCTCGGAGCTGTGTAAAGGCTCTGTCAAACTCCCCTCAGCAGAGAAGATGCGCCAAAAATTTGCGAGGGACAAACAGAGCAGTGAGGGTATTTACTATGCTTCACCAAGGCATACAATTCAACAAGACCCGATGACTTACAATGACGAGATTGCATCATATTTTGGTGCTAAGCCACAACTATGGAAGCACCCTTCCTTAGCATGGAATTTAGTCGTTGGCAGCTGTGGGGCGGCCCAGTATAGATTGCAGGGGCCTCATAAGTGGAAGAGGGCTAGAGAAGTTGTACGCTCTGTCCCGGTAACGCCCGTGATGCACTACACCGCATTGTTTTTGCTTTTGGGGTTACTTTTCATCACAGTGTTCGTTTTCTATAAAACATTGTTTTAACTGGCAGCTTTAGTGCCATCTACACCGCAAAAAATCGGGTGCGGAGCCCGTAAATTGATGTAAACCGGACCTATTTTCTTCGTTTTAATCTCTTTCCCAGAATCAAATCCTCGATCATACTTGTAAATGGCTAACTCGTTGCTTCCTGCCAGTTCCGGTTTTTAATTCTGTCATTCTATATTTGAATTATTTGTTTAACCCATTCGCCCCTGGTTTACATGTTCTTTTTTGAGTATTTCTCCGGTGTCCTTGACTGAATTGTGCTCATTCTGGTATGGTTTGAAAGATCTCTTCACTCTGCACAAGTTAGCGGACAAAGTTGTCCTTGACCATTAAAACTGATGACGTTACAAGCGGTAGAAGGACGTGGATCCGCACGGGCGGCTCAGCGGCGAATGGGTTAAAATTATTTGCGAGGACTGTCTGTGAACTAGCTAAGTGCAATTCCGCAAAAAACTGAGCATTTACCTTCTAACCGCGTAGGACACAAAGAAAAAACCACAACCAACGCAAAAAAGAAGACAAGGTTGTTTGTACAACTTGTACATATAGTTTATTGGTTCATCTGAAGTTTTCTCACTATAAAATTATATTTAATGTATTTAGTTATTTGAGACTGTATGCAAGTTAATGATAGCAAATAATTTGTAATGTATTTCATTTTCCTTCAAAATAAATACGTTTTTTCACCTACGTTGCATGGTTCTGTACAATCATGAATACATTTTTCAAATGGAAAAAAAATGAACGAAATTTAACATATTTTTCTTTTGACGGCCCCATCTGTGAAAACTGATCTTTCGCGAATACACTCATTACATTGACTAACCTCTCCACAAACGGGTTGGTTCACGGTTCACTTTTGGAACAACTGGGTCCAGAAAAATATCTATCCAGCGGATGAGTATATATGAACCAATAGTGCTATGCACTGAACACAGTTTTATCCAGTGATAGCGTTATCCACGTTTTGAACAAGTGAGGCATGACTTTCACTTTTAAGGAGTACAGAATCTAGCCCAACTTATACTCAACTTTAAAAATTTCACAAAATTTCCAAATTTCACAACTTGTAACGGGTTTAAATAATTCATTTGCAGAAAAGCACTATTTCACTAAAACTTCCAAAACTCGTCAGTTTTCTCTGTTGTGCAAATTGTGGCGTTTGTTACGTAAGCCTAAATGAGATAACCAATGAAACTGTAAATCAAGAAAAAGGAAAAAAAACAAATTCAAATCTAGTGGTTGTACGAAAGAGACAGTTTTAATCTGAAGAGTGGACACTAGCCTATTTAACTGCATGCCAACCTGAGCAGCAATAAACAGCCAATTTCTAACAATGCTCCACTTGATCTACCTTAATCAATGCCTTTGGTCGGAATTTAGCGAGTTCCTCAACACAAGAATAGTGACTGTTATCATCATCTTATGTCAAAATAATTTTACACTTTACAATTAACTCCCCAAAAAACAGACTGCCGTACACCACTTACCCTTTCAGCTCCAATTATATCCAAATTCTCCGGTCTAATCTACATAATTACATTCTTTGAAAAAACAGCCAAGAGAATTTGCTAGAAAATCAAGAAATTTCCCTTTTGTTTATCATTTTATACATTCTTCTAACCTTTCCCCTTTTTTATGTATTGACATTGTGATGAGAAAATAGATGTTGATCACGCTTGGGATGAAGGTCAGAGAAGTCCTAGCCTCCCACGCAGACGTTCTTAGGGGCAGGAACGCGTGACGAACCCCTAAGTACGTCTGCGTGGGAGGCTAGAGATGTACTTTCTTTATGTTTTTTTTTCTAGGCCTGGGCCGAGTTGTTCAAAGCTGGGTTAAGATAACCCAGGGTTAGTGCGAGATTTGAATTCAGATTTGAAAGCTTAAAAGGCATTTCAGTTTTAGTTCTTGTTGTCTACAAGTTGATGATTGGAAGCTCTAAAAATAGCACAGAAAATTATCCGAGAAAATGCTTTTGAACACAAGAAAAAGAAACCCGGGTTAAATTTAACCCCGGGTTAGGCGCTAATCGGCCTTCGAACAACTGGGCCCAGTTCTTTATTAAATTTGATTTAAAATCATTCCTAGTAAAGAAACCCTATGGAAGCCTTAGGCTATCTTTACACCATAATGGATAGCTTTTTTGCTGGCTTGAAAACCATACCGCATAAGGCTTCGGTCCATACAGAAGAACAGTGATTTTGGCATGATTTCTATTACGGAGTGAAGCTGCGTGCGCCAATCTCTCAAGTGGAGAGTCACATATTGGATAGGTGTTCACACTATACTACCGGATAGCTTTTGGTGTAGGACAGTGTTTGTCACGGAGTTTTGTGTTACATTTCGCGCGTGACATTTTTCGATCTTGGATGTAGCCGATCACGTTTCGAACACGTGATCTCCCTAAATTTTAGCTCAGCAGGTAAGGGGTCATTCTTGACTGGTAAGGCAAAAAATGTGCCCCTGAGGTGCACCTTCCTGGAGGGGAGGGGAGGGGGTAGTGGAGTGAGGACACAGCCCCACCCCCCTAGGAGGAGCTAAGTTCTTTGAAACGTCATTCCCTCATTTTAAGACCTCTTTTACACAAACGGCCTTTGTTACAACAATTTAAAACGTTTGATCCCAATAATTTTACTCTGTCTTCAATGTTCTCTTTCTAAAATGCATGGCCGATAAGAAGAAAAGCTGTGTATACTTAAGTGCTTTTCCATATACTCATTCATTTCTTTGATCAGATCGGATCACAACTTGCGTATTTTTTAAAACTACTTATTTAATTTTAGTAAACGTTTAAGCCGTTGCAGGCTGTAAGAAGTGTTGCTTCACGCTGTAAATTTTACTGGTTACCGCCAGATAAGGAGAACACTGTTGGAACAAAACCCTTTCCGGTATAGTGTCAACATACTCATTGCATCAAACTCTCTAACTTCATTAATTTCTTTGCTGGACACCTTCTGTTGAGGCCATACCCATGAATTACCCTCCCGTGCAACTTCGTTTAACAATCGCTCTGTGATTTCAGATAGAGCAATACAATCAATTCCAACAATAGATAAAAAAATATCTTAGAAAGTAGAACTAACGGCCTCTCTAATCTCCTTGCCTTGTTCATCTTCTTCATCATCACTGATTTCAGGGTCAAAGGAAAGCCGAGGAACCTTGGGTGATCTCGTTGGAGAACCATACGGATCATAGTCATCAAGATCTGCGTGTCGTCCTGGAGATAGCGCTCTCTTAATGCGTGCCCCCGCATCAAATATTCTATCTTTTCCTTTCCCAATGAGCTGGTTCTGTAATATAAAATAATAAATAATTCATTTTCTTAAAAGATTTAAATAGTATTTTCAAGCCAAGAGTGTGTCACACAGAGAAACAATTTTAGTCTTAGACAAGATTTTCACCTATGATCTCTCTACACACCAGGTGGGTGCCACAGGTTCCCCAACCACTGAGATATTGATAGACACATGCACAGCAAGACCATTCACTCATATAGGGACTATTTTTAGGTTGCACATAAGAATGGTTTTAGATTGTGTCCAATGGGGCTATGGGACTGTTTCGGGGGATAAATATTGGGACCCAGTTTCCTTCACAACTTTGTGCTGTGGAACCTTGTTAAAATGAACGTCTGTAATAATTAAAGAGGTTCGTTTTAGCAAGGTTAATTATTATAATTACTATAATAATATAATTATAATAACTGTTATAATTATTACAATATATAATAATTATAATATTATTATAGCAAAGTCCTTGGTATAAGAAACAATTTTCTTTACCCCAGTAACAGTAAAATATATGGAAAAGGACCTTGATATAACAAAAACTCCTTAGAGTGAAAATAATTTACCAGTCCCTTGGTCCTTTGTTATATCAAGGTTTCACTGTAATAGCATTCCTAGAGTCCCATAATGGGATTCAAAACCACACTGACTCAGGCAAAAGCGATGTATATGCTCCTTGACTTTCATAATGCTAAGATTGGTAATGTCCAGTGCATCTTGATTGATGATAACCAAACAGAGTTGGTTGTTTCAGGATACAACAAAATTATTGCAAAATTTCATTCTCCTTATTCCACATTACAACGCTCCACTAACCTTTTGCCAAAACCTAACCGACATCTTGTATTGACTAACTTTCTTATCAACATGTTGAAAAATATTACTGTTTCTTTACTAGCATAATCTTGTTAATATTATGTTAGTGTTAATTGCTTAAGAAAAGAAATTTATTCCTGTTTGTCACAAAGTTAATCAATCTGGTTGTATGTTACTGACAGGTTATATTATATAATCACAATTTAGGCTTTTTTGACTTATGACTTGCTTATATTTATTCCTTATTTGAGGTTACAAAGACCAAAAAAAACTTGGGTTATTAAAACAGAAATTAAACGAAATAATAATAATTTTATAGTATTAATATTATAAAAGTAAAAAGTACCTTTCAATCTGAGAGGTAAAGACTTGGTTGTTGAAAGCACATCTCTGCGCAGTAAAGCATCAATGACTCACATGAAGAGTAGACTGAAGTTATGTTTACATTTTGATCTCAATAAAAATTATTCTGAAGGTTTATTTAAACTATATTTTTTATTGCACAGTAAAGGATAGATTATTGTATACGTCAGTGATCATATGTTGAAGTGATTTGTTATATGAACATATTTTAGCATGTGTTAGGTGTTAAAAAAAATGAAACTTAAAGTTCATATGAAGGTAAAACTATCCATTTAAGAAAGTTCTTTATTTTGTAATATCACATTTAAAGTTTCAAGGTTAAACAAAGCGACATCCATTTTTAGTCTTTTTCTGAATATTGATAAAAAATTTCTTTTCTTTGTTACTTTAAGTAACTTTGAAAATTGAATAAGTATCAGGTATTTAATACTTAAATGCATTTAGTGCAATAATATATGATGGCGGTTTAGGGTAAGTCTTAACTTTTTATTGCAAAATTTAATTCACTCCAAGCGACAAGGAAATTTTAAAATTATCATTTATTAATCAAAAGAAGGTTTAAGCAGGACTGTACAATATGTGGGAGGTTTAGGTTAAAATCATTCTAAACTTTAAACCTTATCAAAGTTACACTCAGTTAACAGGGCTATGCTTTAGTTAAGTTATTTTAAAATCAAAAGCCACTTATTGCTTCCGCATGACTAATCAATTTACCTTTATTACATGAAAGGATTTCATTTACTTAAAAGTTAGAACATATACTACTTTGTGTAAAAAAGATAAAAGTCTAATAATTAAACTTAATTAAAGCAATAGTAAAAATTAATATTTACGTCATTTCTTTGTGTACAGTGTTACCTTAAAATGCTTTTGCATGTGAATTTTCATAGTTCAAAACTATCATCAAGCAGTGCAAATTAATATGTTAGTCATGATTCTTTGATTTGCACTGACTAGTACATCAGAATGCATGATGCATTTCTAATCAATAAAAAACCCACTTCAAGTAGAAGCTCACAGTCTACAGTGTGAACTGGCAAGCTTCTATTTGCACAGCAGTTTACACTGCGACAATGTCAAATCTGGTTGCAGGGTAGACCCACTAATGATTATTATCAATATACCATCTTAATCTTTACCAGTTTTGTTATTGTTTTCATCTTGAAAAAGGTTTGAGGTAGAAAATGATCTCATTAAGCTTACCAATCGACCTTCCCTGCCAAACATATCAATAAAGCTGCCTATAAAGTCACGTGACTTTTCTTCCCATTTAGTGAGGATTTCCTGGGATTTGTCTGTCAGTCGACCTTTAATTTCATCCATTTTTTGCCGCACTTGAACTTCTTTTTCCTATAAAATAATGAGATAAACAGAGGTTATGAGCTTTATTAATGTGCCTGTACATTAGCAAAGACAACCAAACCTAAATCAGTAGATAATAAATTCCTGGTTCGTAAACTCTTTCCCACTAATTTTTTAACCTGCCAAATTGTTTTATTTACATTGACTTCTAAAACTTGGCCACATTGATCCTGTGTCAGGTTATAAGTTAATATGGTTTTAATTTGTGGAAACACAAATTGCTTAATTTTCCTTGTAGTAACTCATATGGTGCCAAGCTGTGGACCTGACGAAAGAAGACGTGCAAAGACTGAAGACCTGTAAGATGTGGCTTTGGAGGAAGGTCTTCAACATTTCTTGGTCTGACAAAGTCTGTAATGAAGATGTATTGAGGTGTGTTGGTGAGGAGAGGGCCATCATATCTGTTATCAAAATACAGCATGGTGATCTTGTCCAATTAGTTATTGAAGGAAGAGTAATAGAAAAGAGGCTACCTGGAGGACCTCCAGTGGGAATGAATGAATGAATGAATGAATGACACTTTATTTCATTTATAGGGTGCCTAATTACAGTCACACTGTAGTCTCCCTTACGGCCCTATGAAATTTAAACACAACTATTACTAACACTAAAATCCTTTTAAATACTAAATACTAAGGACCATACAATGATACTAAATCCTTGGAATATCAAGTTAAAAAAGTTTCTATCTATAAAGCTCTCAGGCGTGAATTTACTCGAATTTACACATAAATACTAAAGTACTAAGATAATAAATAAAGTGAACGGATAGAGTGAAGGATGGCGACCCTTGTGCAGCATTCAAGAGGCGTGCCTTAGATGGGGAACTATAGGGAAGGACCTGCCTATGGGCAGAATACACACACAAATTTTACGCCCAACAATTTAATGAGTAAAGTCAATTTGCAGTAACCTCAAACACAGAAGAAATATGCCTTGCTGTATCTCCTAATGGAACCACTGCTAGAGTTAAGAAAGGATACTCACCTTAATAAAACTGACATTCAGCTCTTTAGCTGTATAGCCTCTGGCCAAGTTTCTCCTGATATACATATCATAATCTCTAACCACTCTTGCAATGAGGTCTGAAGTGGAAATTCCTTCCGTTCTTTGTGTGGCTACAAATTTACCCATAGCTTTCACCTCTTTGTAAATGTCTTCCGATCCTGCACTGTTGTAAGGTAGGTCGTCATGAGCGACAAAATCAATCTAAAAGAAATAAAACCAAACTGATAAATCTTGGCAACATAGGGACCGCAGAGCTTTCTATGGATTGGAGGGGCTGGCATATTGTAAATGACCTTATAAACGCCCACTTCCAATAATAAATGCCTCTATTTAGTAAACACCCCCTCTATGCTAATAAAAATTGTGTGAGATGCCCCTGTCTAATAAATACCCCCAATGAGAATTACTCCAAAACACCAGGAATTAGCAAAATCATCTGATTCAATCAGTTTTTAAATTTATTTCTATTTCGTGCTGATGTCAACTGGCTGCCTGGTGCCGCTACTAGCCCTACGGTTATTCCAGGTAGCCAGTACTCTAATTTTATTTCCATTGTCTTTTTAATATATTTTTTTTTGAGCAGGGGAGTGAGTACAAAATTAATAAAGATTGTTGTTTCTTGCTTGACTAACCAAGGTTTGCATATTTCACCTCGTTCAATGTCAAGTTCATAGTAAGGATAGTCTAACGATGGCAACACAATTATAAACCCTGAGCGAGGATTCTGACAATGATGTTAAGATTTGAGAAAGCTCTATGGATCTCTAGGCCTAGACATCAATTATTGATAAAGAGAATATTCCACTTTTTTTAAACTTTCTTTATATCTTCAGTTTTGTTGAGCTTGTCACAATTATGAGAATGTACTCCTCTCTCTTTTTCGCACCTCCTATCTATTTAATGCCCCCACTTGGACTTCAAAAAGTAAATAGACGCCCCTGGCACTTATTAGGTCATTTACAGCATGTGTGGCCCAAGCTCAACAACTGCTAAATGTGTGAGCTTATAAGGCCATAATGTTAACTATGATAAAAAATCATAAACTTCTGTTGAAACAATAATTTGTTTCGCCCAACAAAGTTGATGACTAATATTATGGGAAGGGTCCAGGGACATGCTTCCCTAAAAAATCTAAGCTAGTGCACTTAGTGCGCGCTCAACAAGCACCAAGCGTGTGAGCTTATTTGGGCCACAATGTAAACTATTGTAAACTGTTGTTTTAATAGTAATTTGCATTCACCTAATAGAAGTTGTAATCATGACTTACAACAACATTCTCAAATCTGATTGGCTATCAACTGTCCTGATTTCAGTACTAATGGGACAGTGTAATAGGACAGTACGCTTCATGCCTAAGTAATTGCATAGCACAGGCCATCGCACACGCGCACTTAAATGGCTTTTTTCACTGCTAACAAAAAAACCCTTAGAATTTCCAGCCTAAAATATCACAAATTTTGTTATGGTTATGATTAATTAGTAACAGAACTTTGTGTTGTCCAATTCCATCTGTAATCATACTTGTGCCTAAATAAATCGGACCATCACTAAGTCTTGTTATTTTTAAAGGAGGGTCCAGGGGAATGTTTTCCTGGAAAATTTCAAAATTCAGTGCTTCCAAAAATCATCGGAAGTACATTAATTTCTATCAATCCTGAGATACTTTTTTCCAAGCTTTAACAACACTCTGTCAGTTTTCTACAAGAAAACGTACAAGCACAGTTCATTATTATTAAGATGCCACATGAGATGTAGAGTGTTAGCTATAAAAAAATGAGTTCAATAATTGAACTCATTTTATTTTCTCTAAGCTTCTATTTTGTACACTACTTTTATAGCATACCTTGTGAAGATCAATGAAATCAGGAGTTACGACCCAGGGTGCATCACTAATAACCTCGTCTACATAACGGCAGTGCCTAAGAGACTCATAACGCTCAGTCTCTGTCATGACAGTGTTACCTTTGTACTTGTGTGTTAACTCATCATTGGAAACTGCAAACATCCAAACAAACGAACAACAAAACATTTCAACACCTTGCCATACCATGTCTTGAACGGAATGCAGAAAGACACAATCTTGTGCTTGCTCAACAGAACAAGTACTTTCAAGGTAACTGTTGTTTACCCAGGGGCCCCACTCACATATTTTAATGACGGGGGGGTCCGACAGAGGTTCATATTTTATACCCAAAAAAATCCCTCAGTGTTTTTGCATCAGCAAATTTTATTATTTATCTTCTGGGAAGCTAAAACATGCTAACTTCAACAAATTAATTAATTATTTTTCACATAGATTACAATCTCAGAAATATCCCGTAATACCACACAAGCAGTAAATTGCGCTTATGTTATTGTTGATTTGAGCTGATAAAAAATACAATACCCAAAAAAATCCCTGTGTTGTTTTCGCGACCCAAAAAACTCCCGGCCTCTTTCATAGACCCAAAAAAATCCCTTTTGGCCAAAATGTCAGACCAAAAAAAATCCTTCGGACCCCCCGTCATTAAAATATGTGAGTCGGGCCCCTGGGGTTGTTTAACTATTAGAACTCGGTAGAACATTTTACGCCACTGACTCAGTGACATTCTCTAAGTGCCTGTTACATTTTACAGCAAAGAGTTTGTTTTCCTGTGCACTCTGAGTGGTTAATACTCAGCAACCCGACTTTTTGCACCCCATAATAATAACAGTAATAATATTATAATAATAATAACACTATTACTAATAATAATTACTACTAGTAATAATAATTGTTTTAATATTCATTCAAAATAATTCCTAGTTTAAAAACAAGCTAAAACGTGCTTACCTCCATCAATGTTAAGTTCATCTTTGATAGTGCATGTTAACTGCCAAGTTTAGCAGATAAAGGGCTGTTTAGCTCCACAAATAATCTCCAAACAGGAGAAGTCGTCTGTCGAGTTGTCTTCTTGTTATGTTTTTAACAAATAGTTCACCTGTTTATTCCTCGTGAAACGAGTGAAAAGTTTCGCCATTTTTTAACTCACTACCAAACAACTCAACCTCGTCCCCAGGTCTTCTTGGTTAACGGTTCAATAATCTGGCAATTTGCTGCACGACTGATGTCATTTTTCACATATTGCAAAATTCTTCCAAATTTGGTCCACAATAGCTGGTTATGATAAATTACGGGATTTTAGCCAATCAGAAATGGCCAAATATTTTGAATGAATGAATAATAAAAAATTAATGAAAATAAAAATGGTAGTAAACTTTTAAAAATTTTAGGGCCAGAGCCATCTCCACTGCTTCATCATTAAGCAGTCATTCAAGCTATTATTAACAGCAGAAATGTGTTGAATAGCAGAAGGTCAGACTTTTATTAATATGCCCATAATATTAATTCACCTATAAACTCAATCATTTAATTTATTCACTTTTGAATTAAATCAAGTAAAAATAATAATTATTTGGGCACCACAATATTTTTTTTTTACTTTTGTAAAGGTTTATGTTGTAAATAAAAATTCCTGTAAAAACTAATGCTGAAAATAAAGTACTGTATTCTTACCCAGAAGAAATTGCCCAACCCCCTCCCCGCCCCTCTTCAAAAATTAAATCGTCTGACAGTGGAATTAAAATCAGTAATCTCATCTGTGTTGGCATGTAAGAGATGCAGTTGGACTTCAGACTTATGGATTTATAAAAATCAGCTGATCTTGACTTTTCAAACTTTCAAGGTCAACCGTAAAAATTTAGGTTGCTGTTAGCATACTAACATGTTATAACAAAAGACAAACTGCAAATGAAGGTCATATCTACCAATTTATATGTATAAGCAAACTGAAAATTCATTAAAAATTTATCCTTACCTCCAACCATCAAATAAACTTCAGTTGGAAAAGCATTTTTAGCCTGCATTAGAGATCTTGCATGTCCAAAATGGTATACATCATAAACACCATCTGCATAGACACGAATAGGTCTTGTTGCTACAAAAAATAGGATTCGGATTTAAGTTTTCCCTTTATGTTCAGACATACAGTATTTCATTGCATTAATTTATTGCATTAAATTTTAAAATCGTTGGTATAAGCTAAAAACCAAACAGTTGGCATTGTGTACTTTCTCAAGACTTTTTTTCTTGCATACATGTATTTACCTTTTCCATTTTTGGCATCCTCTAAAGAAATCGGCTCAAATTCTTCAACGGGTTCATCTGAGGGAGAAATGGTCAAATCTGGCTCATACATCCGTGCCGGCTCACGCGGTGACTGTGCAAAGTGGAAACAAATTAATTCCAAGTTAAGATTTAATTTGAATCAGTTGAAATTATTTTAAACATTCTTGCTATTGTTTTCTAGCCTTAATTGCCGGAAATAATTTTCGAGGACAACCGAATGAAAACATGGGGCATCACGCCAAAGTAGAAACTGTATTTAAAGCGTTCAAAAGGCAACAAAACAATAGAGCTTCTTTTCAACGATGCGTCTTTTGTTGTCTTGTGCCCCGCGGGAACCGGCGAGCGGTGCAAATGTAATGTGGTTTGTGCATTAACCAGTAGTGCAGAGCAATGGTATTATTCAAGATGACTGGAATTGCAAGATCTAAATCAGACAACAATAAATTGAAAGAGAAACAAAATGATGAAACACTGAGTGTTAAGTTTAGCTCCAACGTGGAGTAAGCTGAGCTAGTAATAAGCTTGTACGTGAACATTTCTTACCACGCGTATTGATTTGTGTTTCGTTGCTCCATTTATATCTGAATCCTGGGAGCTGGGCCGTTTTCTTTTACGTGAGCCATTCTGTTTTCTAGCTTCTCCAGGTGAGCCGTTCTTTGGAGAGGACATTTTGCCGGAAATTTCTTGTGCTCGTCCCTCAAAGCGTCATCATCAACTGTAACTATTTGTAGAAGACTGGTACCTAATATACGAAGATTTCCGAGTAGAGTGGAATCGAACTTCGCAAATCGTCGTAAAATTTACGTCGTGCTCGTCATCAATGGTTCCCATGGAGATAAACGAAGCGCTCACATCCAGGAAAGTGATCCTGAAATGGCGACCGCAAGTCAACAAAGGCCTCTGCCTCTTTTACGGCGGCCTTTGCCACCAAAACAAGAACCGCCAGCGTCTTCATTCCGCCCTGGATCAGAAGCTAAATACTCTCAGACCGACGGTAATTACAAGGTGTCGGCAAAATCGCCGGATGTGTTAAGCGCCAAACGACTTGTTAATGTGAAGTCAACTAAAGTCGTCGACTCCACGTTGCGGGAAGTCAGATTTCATGGAGACGTTCCACTACCTGTATCTTCCGTCGTAAAACCGTATAAAACAAAGGGACCCGATCCGTTACCGCCAAGACCTCCGAGAAAACCAAGAGAATTGCCCACAGAGGCATTCATAAAAGATTCATACACAAGACCGCCTCCAGAATTCACGTTAAAACACTTTCTGAGAAGATTGCCTTCCCGCGCTAATCCGGACGACGATGTAGAGCCAATGGTTTCAGAACAAAATTATGAAAAATTAACAAGCTGGTTTGCAGCCAATAAGCCCCATCAGGCAACGGTTCATAGTCTTGAAATAGACAGTAAGTAATTCATTTCAGGTTCTTTTATTTATAGGTTAATAATTAAGTTAACATATTGAAATCAGAGCGATTGCATATGTTTCCATGTCCCAAGAAATGAAATGTTTCCTTTCCAATAAACAATAAATGCTCTTTCTTTTTGTTAACGAAACCTAGTAAATCACGGATAATTAATGTTAAAAGGTAAGAGTTTGATAATTAAGCTGATTAAAAGTTAGGACTGCGCCGGGGGACTGCGCCTTTCGGACACCAAAAGTTCAGACAACTTTTTGGAAGAATTCAATAGCAATTACTTTCCCTTAGAATCCAAGATCACTCAAAAGTATGAGAATCTATTATGACTTTTTAGTCTTCATGTTACGCAAAATTTCTCTCCACACAGATGATATTCATGTTCCAGATGTATCCCCAAGAGTTCCAGCAAGACAGCTGCTGATAGGTTAGTACAGACCGTTTGTGAGGACAAGGTTTCAGTCAGAGCAAATACAACATAAAATGTACTTTAAACAACCCAAGCAACCCCACCACAGTTGACTTTCTTTATAACAGCAGCGGTGGCAGAGCGTTTTGAAACGTGGGGTGGAAGGGCTCATCTTTCACTCAGCTATGCACGTACCCTTTCTCAAATTTTCCAAAATACCCTTTGCGTTTTTCCTCGATACAAGCAAACTTCTTTGCAATCCTCACAGTATTGTAAATACTTTTGTTCATGGGCCATCATAGCTTGATAAGTTTATCACCGCTGTTGGTGTTCTATTTCTTATCAATCTTCTAGTGCATTGGTAACTGATTTGAGACAATACGTCAGTAGGCAGTTGTTCAGGTGGTCCTGCTTTAGGCAGTTTTTGTGTCACCTAAGGGCAGAAAATGAGTGCTCTGATGTTGCTGATGCCACAGGTAATTCTGCTTGTGATAATTACTGTTGGCATCAAAAGGTGGGGGCTGCACCCCCTCAAATTTTTGTTTGGGAGGGCTACACCTCCAACCCCGCCACCCCCATGCCTCCTACTCTAACACCTACGTTCAGACACAAAATGGTGATTTTAAGGTTTCTCACTAAAGCAGGTCAGGTTATAACTGTCATAGTAATCATGTGTGTAAAAGAAGAAAAAAAATTAGAAAAGACAGTCATCATGCCTTGTTTTTCCATTCAGAGATGCAGTTTCAGGGAATGGAGACATCATTCTCTCCAGATCAAGACTTTCCCTTCATTCAAGAACGTTCATCAACAGTATTCCCAGTCACACCTGCAGCCTCCAAACTGACAATACCTGCCTCAAGATTTGCACTGCTGCCGCCAATAGAACCTGATACCGATGAGGATGGAGAGACTCCACATACAGCCATAAAAACCTTTGGTCAAACAACGGCTGCAGATACTATACCTACTTCACAAGAGAAGAGAGCAGAGAGACTTTCATTGTCACGTGACGAAGCGATGGACAGATCTAAGGAGTTGAGAGCTAGATTTGATCAGTCACATATACCAGAGAGCAAAAACAACTGTACAACTTTCTCAAAAGGCAGGAATGATGAATCAATGTCAGATAACAAGAAGGCAGTTGTTAAGGAGAGAATAATTAATTTTGATGACGTGTAAGTTTATTCTTGGCTGATTGTTTTTGGGTCTATTGTTTACTGTCATGGGATAGTTTACTGGGCTTAATATAACTTACTGGAAATAATCCTAGCATCCTGATCTTCTCAAAGCTGCAACTGCGTTTTACAAGGTTAGGCTAAATGTAATTTAGGTGAGGTTAAACACAAGACAGTGCTGGCCAGTGGTCTCCGTCTCTTGTCGTAGGAAGAGTAATCCAAGGGCATTTGCTGTGCCTCAGTAGTTATAATTATTATAACTATAAACTTCAGTCAATAAATATTATTATTGACGAGGTTTATGAGAATGCTAACAGGAATGAGTGAAATAAGTTATTTATTTCATTTTTTCCTGTTTGCAGTCTGATAACCCTTAAGAGAGAATCGAGATGAGTAGTGTAGATTCCCTTAACAAAATTTCTACCCTGTAACAGCTCTGTAGCATCACTGGAACAGGGTTGTAAAACTAACCTGTAACAACCCTGTTACAGCTCGTCATTTGGCACAGTTAGCAAGGCTGTTTCTACACTGTAGCAGCCTTGGAACAGCCCTGTCACGTTTAATGCAAAATTTCTTAGTAGACACCCTGTAACAGCCATGTTACAACCCTGTTTCCACCCTGTGATGGACATCCCTGCCACAGCTCGTGAATTGGCACAGTTAGCAAGGCTGTTTTTACACTGTGGCATTCCTTTAACAGCCTTGGTACAGGTTTCATGCATCACAACCCTGTTACAACTGGTTAAGTGGCAGTTAACAAGGTTGTTTTTTTTTTACCAGGTGCCAATGTTGTGATACTCCCTCTCACAAAATCTGCACTTTAGACAGCAGCCGTTTAACTTCTATACAGTAGGATTATAGTACTATCAGAACATGATTTTTTAGAACTTCATATCTATTAAAGATGAAACTTCATGTTTTTTAGGCATATTTGAACTCATGAAAATTCCTGAAGCAAAGGAACGATTTGTGCCACAAAACGCTTCAAAGTTGAACCACCAACGGCTGGTTTAGTCCGTTTAGTCACTTAAGTAACAAAAGCGATGCATTTCAACAAACATGCATTGAAAGAACACTTTCAATAACGGAAAACAGTAAATACAGTCAATTAAGAACTTAACGTTACTTTATTTTTCACGTGCCCATGTTACAGTGTGTAAAAATATAAACAGAACAAAATTTGAACTGCATGCAACATTCTGATCTGGCTTGTAAACATCTTGTCATAGTTGCTCTATTTAATGTACAACTAGCACGTCAAAATGCCGACTTTACAATAACTGTCTCAAAAAAAAAAAAAGATTTTTGTCAGCAATTATAAGAGATGAAACGCGGAATTGTTCCATTGGAACAACGGTTCCGATTTTGACAGTTTATAATAATTCTTTTGTTTGGTTACGTCGTAACAAGGCTTAATTTGAAATCGCTCACCTCGATCGTCTTTCCTTCATGATCCACAATGTGTTACATTTCCTCATGAAAAGAGCCGATCCATTTGTGTTTCAGTTGTTGCTGCATTATTTCTAGGAAGGGCAAACAATCTTTGAATCTTGCAAGTGCCGCGGAATGTTTTCTGTCGACTAGATCGATCTGTTTCCCATTCGTTGAGAGCTGGTCAAAGCACAGTTATTTTTTTGCTAATACGTTTTCACTCTCTGCTTCAAAAGCAGCAAAAAACGCTCTACAGCCTTTTTGAATCCAAACTGGATGCAGAAAACGTTTGAATATTTTCGCCTTGATTCAAATGATCGTGAGTCGTTTCAGGAATGGAGATGTGTAATGCGATCTTCCGGTAACAGTGCTGACCAATAAGATTAAGGTCTTGGATTTCTCCAGGGAATTACCCATGGCGTGTCTGTCACGGAATGAAAATATTGAAGTTCCCTCGATCTCTAAGGAAAGAATTTAATTCCATGCTTGCAGAGGTCTCTCACGCAGGAAAACGAATTGAAGTGATCTAAAAGTCTTTCATTTTTAGTGCTGTAAAAAATTAATTAAGTTTCAGCGTTTTTTTTTATTCAAAAGAACAGGAAAAACAGGAGCTGATGAGATAGGTGTTGATCATAGGAAGGTCTTCGTTTTTAACATGAGATAAAAGTGTTATAAAATATAAAGAAAGCAACTTCAAACTACAAAGGTAGCCACAAAATCGGTAATTAATTAATGTTAGTATCAATGAAAAAAAAAAAAGAAAAAACGAAGCAAATCCAAGCAAAACCAAAAACAGCATATTAAATGGTGTACAATAATCGTGTTTGATGATTTAGCGATACCATTTTCACCAAGTTCTTTTTCGTTTTATTTGTTATTAATGATCTAGCTGACCCTCGCACCTTTTACACTTTTAGACTTTGAAAAATATTGCCATCTTTCTATTAATTTATGGAGTTTAGCGTACTTGGCTACATTGTTACTGCCCTTTGATTATTATCCATTGTGTGAACAGAAATAGACATCTCACAGCTCTGCAGTAACCCGGTTACTGTCAAATGTACCCAACACAGCCATTCTACATCCCTGTCCTAGTTCTTCTGCATTACTAGGTAGCCCTGTCTTAACCCTGTTACGGTAACTGGATATTTTCACAGCCATGTAACAGGCTTGTTACACTTAACTATGTACACTTTTACAGCCCTGTCACAGCTCCACTTGTTTTAACTCAAGTAAGTTGCAGCTGCGTCACATCCCTGTTACAGCCAGTTTACAGCCCTGAAATAACACAAACAGGGCTGGAAACAGGATTTTACAGGGCTCTCACAGGGTTTTTGCAGGGTAGAATTTTTTCTAAGGGTTATGTAAAAAAAAATTTTTCATCACCGTCCAAGGTGAAAACCTGCGAGGAGGAAGACTTATTTCTAAGGTTGTGATTCTTGTTTTTCTCATTTGACAGATCATTCAACCAACAACCCACCACTTTCCCAGGAATGGAGGTCATTCTGCCTAGCTCCCAACCAGAATACTTCCAAGGAGAGGAATTACCAAGAACATCCTCACCATTTGGTGTGTATTCACATGTTTTTTAAGTATAAGACCATTTATATCCAGTTGTAGTTTGTGGGTGTGGAGGAAGCAGGAAAGGGTAAGAGCACTAAAGGGAATTTTTCTGGTGGTGGACAAAACAGCCTGCTTTCGTTACCTTCAGGGACCGTTGCTCTAAAGAGGAAAACAAGTAATTGAGTTAGCCTACGAAAACATCCGTTTCTCTTCGCTCCTCGCCGCTGGGGACGTTTCGCACAGAGGAACGTCTGCGACTCAGCGACAGAAATTCCATACTGATGACATAAAATTTGTCCGGAATCTGGTCAGAAGTGCTGATTGGTCGACGGAGTAGTTACATTGTTTTAGCCATTCTTTACGAATGACAGACAAAAGACAAAAAGCCACAAAGGTCAAATGTAAACGTGAAGAATCTCTAACAAAACAGTCAATGTTTGTGGAATATAGTCTTCGCTAGATAAAGTAATTGAGATTTGCTGGCACTCGTTGGCAGATGAACACAACACTTCACCAAAATCGACCAGAAGACAGGTAAAATTTGGACAAATTTATATTTGGAACCCCATGACCACCGGATTTATTATGTAAACATTGATTTGTGTCATCAGTATGGAATTTCTGTCGCTGAGTCGCAGACGTTACACCGCGCAAAACGTCCCCAGCGGCGAAGAGGAGAAACGGATGTTTTTGCAGGCTATAATTGAGTAAGAAAAATGACAAATTTAATGAAACAGAAAAAAATTAGCAATTATTGAATGAGGCTGAGTGTTATATGAATAATTATGCAGATTGAGGAGGGTTAGTCAAAACAGGGTAGTCCATGCACTGGGGTCAGTGTTTTGTCCACCACCAATTTAATTAAAAGCAGGATAATTTTAATTCTGAATCTCATCCATAGACAAAGTTAGACCAAGGATGCTTACCATTTGTCAGAACTGCCCAGCCAGACCAGTCCAGTTGTAAGGAGAATTTCACTATTAATCTGGAATGTCCTGCCAGATCAATGTTGTAATATGCATGGTAGTGATGTTTTTGGTAAAAATATCTAGAAAGGCTTATATTTCAATTTCAAAATGACCAGTGTGGCTGGCCTGTCTCCATAACTTATAATTCACCTATTCATCCCTGGACAATTCAGAGACAAAACACTGTGTGAAGCTGCTTAAGCTGTATCCTGGTCACCATTTAGACAGAGAGGACAATTTCCTCAAAACGGTTTGTCCTAAAATACAACTGTTTGAAATTCCAATGGCCCTTACAGAGTCGGGGCTGCTTGTGATAACAGCTGGTTGTTTTCTTCTCTCCATGACAAGTTAGAAAAAATTTTCCAGGAATCTCATTTTCCTATTATTCTTACTTTCTTTCTTGTTTTCTTCTTCAGTGAGTGCTGATGTTTATGATGGACAAATGTCACCTTTGGAAGCTGTCGTTTTGAATGCGATGATGACAGGTTCATCAGTGCTTAATCTCCGTGCTCACTTCCTTAATCGTCTCCCAGATCTCAGCAGTCTGGCAGGAATGCTTACGCACTTAAACCTCTCATTCAATGATCTCTGGGTAAGCATGAAACTTGTCACTACTTGGTGCTTTCCAACGTGAGAAAACAGCCGAAATTTCGCGATGCCCCACCACTGATTTGCCCCACGAAATGACGTCTGAGAATTCCATACTGATGACGCGTCACTATTCAGATCTGGGTAGTGCTTCTGATTGGTTGTGCTGTGCCAATAAGCCAATCAGAAGCACTTCCCATATCTAGGCGGTGACACATCGTAAGTATGGAATTTTTACGCTCATTAATCAGACGTCATTTTGCCAGGAAACCAGTTGTGGCGTCACGAGAAGTCGGCTGTTTTCTCAGGAAAAGTATTTTCCAACTAACAATTTTGAAACCAAAGAGTATGCAAAGCCCAATCTTAAAGACGCTACATCACTGTTTTTGTATCTTGAAATTTTTGCGTAAACTTTTCAGATAAGTCATTTTTTGTAAACTTCCCCCACAACCAACCTTAATCTTAAATAGTTAACTGTTAAAATTTCCCTGAACCGGAACCCCCGCCATACCCTTTGGTCACCTCAATACAACTTTCTTCGCTAAGATCAAGAGATTTTCAAACCATACCAGAATGAGCACAATTCAGTCAAGGACACCGGAAAAAAGTCCACGTGACATTGACCTGAAAATCTCCACTTGTCCCATTGCCCACCTTTTTTTCTGAAAGATCCTGTTTTCTTAAAAACTACCAAAATGAAGTGCCCAGCAAGAGCCAAAGCGAAAAAGCGTGAAGACTTTTTTAAACCCGAATCTCGAAATTTTGCCCGCATGCCTCACCTGTTTTTGCATCTGGATCAGAAGGCCGCCAAGTGTACGACCTGTAAACCGGTTTTGTTTTTACTTTTATAGCACGACAGTGACCAGAAAACCACTTTCTTCAAAACGCGTTTTTCGGCAAAATCAGGCTGTTTTTGGATCCCCGCCATTTCACCTAATCTACAACCTTTATTGTCCCTAAAAACGACCGACTCTTAAAATTTTTAAAGGGGAAGAGTTTTTGCCTCACCTGTTTTCACTTCGTTTTTTTGTTCGTATATACGGCCTTGTTGAATCATTGTCAATCCGACCGCTCTTTAAAATTTACAGACTGAAGAGTCAATTTTCTTTTTGTTCGTACCGTTACAAACTCCAACGGGCATGGTTTCAATCCCAGCAAAATTTACAGACAGACGTGGCTGTCGTTATAAACTTTTCTCACTACGAGAAGAATCACAGACCATGGAACCTCAAACATTGAACATTAAAAAGTGATTTTACAAACTGCTCTGATATTTATCAACTGATATATCTCAATTCTGACGAGATCTCAATGTAACTATATATATTTTCTTCACAGATCTTTCCTTCAGAAATATTTCAGCTTGTGAATCTGGTTTCTCTTAAGTTGAGAAACAACCCCGTTAAAGAAATTCCTCATGGTATGTCAAATAATGAGTCTATGATTTTGATTTTTTTCAATGAACATTTATACAAGAGAAATCACTAGAAATTAACTGCAGATTTAAACAGGTTTGCATCGTCCTCTGGAAAATGGTCCGATTTTTTGAAACAAAAATGGCTCTGCATTCGCTCTCGCACTTCTTCCATCTCCTTCAATTTGTCAACTGTTTGCGAATTTTTCCCGGGAGTTGAGTTCTTAAGGGCCCGGTTCCTCGAAAGATGGTTAAGTTTAACCCCGGATTGAGCCAAATTTCAAGCACGGTTTTCTCGTCTAACAACATGCAACTCGAGGTTACAGAATACTGTTAAGCCTTTACTTGACGAGATACAGAAATGAGAACACAAAACGTTACCCTAAGCGATACATAGGAATGCATAAAATACAAAAACGGAACGAAATTTAAATCCTGGATTTATGCTAATCGGCCTTTCAGTAACCGGGCCGAGGTCTGTATCTAAGTTGACAAAAAGTTATAGAAAACCGTTGTTATGTGTTCACGTTCTCCATAAAACGTTAAACGACTGAAATTAGAAAGTTCCACGTCGTAGTCGTGCAATGACGTCAAAGAAATGTACAAAAATGGGTGATGCACGTGCGAAGTTGTTGTTTTTCTAAATCTAGGCCTATTGCTTTTTGCCGTTGTTGTTCGGCGCTGTCATTGTCGTCGTTGCTTAACCCTTCAAGCCCTAAGAGTGATCAGCATTAAATTTCTCCTTGTAATATCAATGCTTTGTAAAACAGAGTGGTCATGAGAATTACGGACATGATCACACAAGATGAATCTGCTTGATATTTTGTCAACCTCTCCCCACTACTTCTGTAGAAAATGAATAGGGACAACAAATGAGAATTCAAATTTTGATCTTAGGGTGCAAAGGTTTAAGCTTCTGCGGACGACACAGCAGAAAGTTGCCTCTGCCCATTTGATACTTCACTTTCTTAGAACATCGGTGGCTGAAAATATGAGGTTTAAATTGTAACGTACAGTTCATTCGGCAAAGAATTAAATACATCGTCCAAATTTTAAAGTCGCCGCAATGCCAAATCCGAGTCACATTTTTTTACAAGTAAATTAGTTTAAATCCTACGAAACTGAAGTTAGTAGAACTTAGCGCATTACAATTGTACTTTGATCCGTTAGAAAAAAGAAAACAGAACGAGACTATAACGGTTCTCTCAATCCAAACTAGAGAGACTGAACTATTTGAAATCTTTTGAGCAGAGTAAATGAACGTCACTGATGTTTTCCTTTGTTATCATTTACAGATATAAAAAAGCTCAGGAGACTGATAGTGTTCGACATTTCTTTCAATCTTCTTACCTCGTTACCGAAAAGGTAAGCTCTTCAGTTGCAATACATATACTCGACGCGCTTGCGCCCTTCCTCTAAATAAATTACTGAATTTAGGGCGCTATCTGGAAGCTCAGTTTAAACATTACACGTTCATTCCTGACTAGCGAACGTGATTATTTCTTGTCAGTTAGCCTACAGCCTCAGTCTAAATTGTCGGGACACTTTGCTGTCTTCTTGCCCTCCCAATGTTGGTGTGCAAGATTTGGTGAGTCAACTGCGATAAACAACATTGGGAGGACGAGGAGACGGGCCAGGGGCCCGTTTCTCGAAAGTCCCGGTAACTTTACGGGCCCGAAATCAAATATTCAAATCGAAATATAAAGAATAAGAGCGCGGGCCCTGGCTAGCAAACTACTCCATTTTGTTTCATTAACTGACAGTTTTATCGTGTCAGATAAAAAACTATTGAAACCTCGATCTTTAATGTAAACGGAGACAGCTTACCGGGCCCGTTAATTATTGGGACTTTCGAGAAACGGGCCCCAGAAGAGAAAAAAATGTGTTGGGTGGCAGAGTAGTTAAGCTCCTACGTTGAATATATTTATATGTTTTTAATTCAAAGCACAATGGAACTTCTTTCCCTATGAACTCCTCTCTGTTGTAGAAAGTTGTTTGTGTCCCAAAGATAGTAAACTTCGTTCTCCTTCAGGTATTTTGACTGATAATTGCTATTTCTTTAGTCTCTTTCAGTTAAAACATCTTGAAATTTTAGATCTGGCTTACAATCGTCTCTCATTTATCCCTTCAAACATTGGAAAACTAAGGTAATGTGAATGAAATGGCTGCACAACATTTCTTGTCAAGTATAAAAAGTCCATCGAAGAACAATTTAAGCACATGCATAGTGTTAAAGCTAGACTACGAGCTTTCTCTCTTTTTTCTTGGTCCGTCGAGCAGAACGCCCGAGACACGTAAGCCGCCCTCGTTTCTCGCGTCTCGCGGCTTCGTCAATCAACGCTCGCGCGCACGTGCACTCCCCTTACTAAATCTGACGAAAGAGAGAGACTGCTCGCAGTCTATGTTAAAGACAAACAACTAGAAAGTTGGGGTTGATTTTAAGGTACACACTAGGCGACATGTCGCTGCAACACGTCTCGGTGACAGACAACTTCATGTGAACGGATCTGGCGACAAATCGCTTCGTTTCTACTGGAGAATTTTTGTGAAAATGTAGCTTCCCCCTTTTTGATTATGTTACTGCTAAAGTTAGTATCGATTTAACTTAAAACTACATTTTAACAAACTCGCAATCCATAGTTACTTAGTGCTAAAAATCTCGTGGCGAGCGGAGGAGGATGAAATCACTTTTAGGGCGATTGAAAAATATCGGTATGGTCTCCGTAATAATCATATCCAATTAGCCTTGCAAAAACCAGTGGAGGAGATAGACTCTGATATTTGAATGTATTATGTTTCGTTACAGCTGTCTTAGAGAATTAAACCTTGAAGGAAATCAGCTTGGTGCCATGCCAGTAGGAGCTCTGTATCTTAATATCAAGTACCTTAGAATAAACAACAATTTTACACATCCTCTTCTGTGGCGAGAAACAGCAACAAACCAACCACAGGTGAGAAGAATGGCTAAGGCTGCGTGCAAATGGACGCAACAACTGCCAACATTGTTGGGCCAACAATGTTGGGAGTTGTTGCGTACATGTTGGCAGTGGTGTGCAAACGGATGCAACAACTCCCAACAATGTTGGGACCTGCAGTCCATCGTGGGAAGGATGCAACCCATAAGTCTTTGTAAACCATGCGTAATGAGCGTGCGTGGCCCCAACAATGTTGGAAGAGCTGTGCAAACGGATCCAACATTGTTGCGCTACGCTTCGGCGATCACGGAACAAAAGAAATGCTGGGAGTTGTTGGCTGAAAAGTTTGACCGGTTTCAAACGTTGCGCAACAACACGCAACAACATCCAACAACATGCAACATGGGAGTTGTTGGCCAACAATGTTGCGTCCGTTTGCACGGGGCTTAAGATGACTTAATAAACCTTTAGTCACGTGCTTGGATACCACTTAGCAACGGCTTGATGGATGGCACACATCCAAGCGTTCATTCCGATTATAAGGCTTTGAGTGCAAAGAGCGAAGCATTCCTTTTTCTGTTAAAAATTAAGCGAAATGACTGGACTACGAAACTTAAAAGACGTTTGAATCAACCTGGGAAAGCTTTGCCCGATCGCACTTCAATCTGAATAAACACCCGGAGGGTTTGCTATCCAGCGAGCCGTTGCTAAGTGATATCTAAGCGCGTGACCAAGTTCTGCAAAGGAATAATTTGGCTCACAATGCGTTCTAGATTTTCTTATTTGATGGATCAGCAATGCCACTGTTTTGATAATTAGCCTTGCTTAACGGCAGAATATCCTGCCGTTTTGAAGCAACCCCTAAGAGTAGGTGGATACTCGTATCCACGTATTCGCGTATGCATTATGGTGATTCGAAAATAGAAAACTGACAAAAATAACGCATGTGTTAACCGATTCCAGTCCACCGGTAGGCTGATTTCATACAGAAACGAGGGTTGTTCTTCGTTTAGATGATACTATTGCGAAATTTCGCACGGAAATGAAATTGTTGCCCTGGTAGAGCAACCAGGGTGAACTCACACCGGTGTGACATTTTTTGGTGGTATCCGGGAGGAGTATTCGAAAAATGTTTATACGGGGAGACTCTGCCCCGAGGTCCAACCCCTTACCCTTTTATATACCATTTTTCACGAAAAAGGTACCCCTTTCATATACCTTCTATTGACAAATGGTACCCCTTTCACATACCTTGTTTAGAACTTTGCATCCCTTTTTACTTTTAACTTTTGGGCCCTTTTACAGACCCAGATGACAGATTTCCTTACCTTTTAATATACTTCAACCAGTAAAATCCCTACCCATAGATACACTTGAAGCTTGAAAAAGGTCCCCCTTTCGGGGGAGCCTCCCCATATAGGCCATTATAGGGAGTACCCACTGGGGGTATGCATGTAAACGAATACAGAACCACCAGAGGCGTAGAAATGAGCCGAAACTGGGGCCCGTTTTTCAAAAGGCCAGCTAACGTTACGGTTCCGGAGGCAAATTTTTTTAAATCAAAAGTTGTTGAATAGTGGCAAGGTTCCTAGCTCACAAACCGGTCAATTTTGCCTCGTTAACTGATACTGTTATTGTATCAGTTTAAAATTATTGAAACTTTCATCTTTAATGCAAACATGGCAAACTAAAAAAACAGCTTTTCGGGCCCGAAAAGTTGTCGGGACCTTGGGGCCACCGGTAGGAAAGTCGCCTCGGTACCATGTGAACACCACCGTGTATTGTTGCCCTCAGAGAGAAAGTTGACGTATTTTAAAAAGGGCGAATCATTCGTTCACAAACTGTGTTCATGTTTTTTTATGGTACCTTAATGGTTTTTAACTGGCAACCGAGCCCGACCCCCAGTATTCATTATCGAGTTGCAAAAAGGATGTTTTAAATCTGAGTTTTCTTTGATAAGGTAAAAAAGTGTGGGAGGTTGCTCAGTGCCCCTTTACGGAAATTTCTTGGACTTTGGGAGAATTTGAATCTTGACATGTTATTTTTATGAAGCAGTATAAGAAGAGTATCTATGTCTAATCTGAGTCTATATTTTATTATTGTGTTTAGCGACTTGGTGACCTGTCAGCTCTAGCTGTGTTCAAGGAGGGAATTCACTTTAAAAATAAAAATTTACCAGGAGCAATTAAAAACATTATGGAAAGGTGAGTACTTCATGCTATTTCCTCTCTCTACTCAGATGTAAGTGAATGAATAAGTGAATTAATAAATCAGTAAATAACGTTTGGAGCTCCAGACCGAGTTCGATCGAAGGATTAGGTCTCGAAATTTCTGTCAATCCACGACCTACCGTGTATTTGTTGCACAAAGTATCTGACAAAAATATCCAGTGTTGCGTGAATGTTGCTCGTTGTGTTGTATGAAATGTTGTGTGCTGCGAGAGATGTACAAGCGATATTGCGCGCATTGGTTCGTGCGATTTGGCAAATGATGCTACGCGCAACAATTGCTTGCATTGGTGTTTTCGATGTTGCAAATGATGCAGCGCGCAAGAATTGCGTGCGAGTTTGCAACTGAATCTGCGCGAGGTGTTTTCCGTTCATTGTTGCTTGCGATATTGGTAATGATGCTGGGTGCAACCAGCTATACAGCGTTCAAAAAGCATATATTGCTGCGGTGTCGCACGATGCCGACTGTGTGAGCTGTTGGACGCTATGCTGCGTTCGATGGCAACAAGCGTCATGGTGCGTGCTGTGTTCCACACGTTTTATACACTTGACAAAATCTCTTCTTTTCTTTCTCGATCTAGTTACACTCGTTGCGATTGCTGTGATGGTCCAATGTTTGGCCCAGGAGTACGGGTCATCAAAGCTCCTCCAGAAATGTTTGGTATCAAGAATCTCCCCTTTCTCTTCAATGCCTGCACACAAACTTGCAGAAGACAGTTCAGTAAAAGTCCCCAGTCACTACAGGAGTGGATGAAAAGAAATGTACCGCTAAACACAACCTTTTAATAGAGAGCTTTAGATTTGAAGACAAGTACGAGTACGAGAGTTAACTTAAATTTTAGCGCGTGTTCTCACAAAAAAGACACCCCGGAAAACTTCATTATACTTTCTTTCACCAACAAAGTTAGTAGGGTTATTTATACTGAAGGAGGTTAAGCCCTCTCCCGATGGCAAAATGATTAAACTTCTTACATTTGATAACTTGTTCCCGAGACATTCTCGCTAAAACCTCGTAGTAGAATGACGACGGCTATCACGTTTTCCCGCCAAAAATGACGCTTGTTCACGCGCAAGGAATACTCAGTATTGAGAAATCTCATACTCGTAGTGGTCCTTGTCGCAGAATCTAAAGCTCTCTAATTGCAGCGTCTATAGTCAACCCAGGATAAACCAATAAATATTAGTGGGCATAATATATGACGGCGCAGTGAAGGGAAAATGGCCACCCCTAAAGATGTCACGAGAGAACCGTTTGGTGGGTTTTAACGCCCTACAGAGCAATAGGTTTCACCCGACAGGAGATGAGCAAAAGGCCCATATCATTGATTTACGATTCTACCAAGACAAGAAACGTCAGCGAAGATAAATACACAGAGGAACTGATATATTTTAGTACAAGAAATAACACAGAGGTAACTTTCTCTGTCTAATGGATAAATTTGTTTCAAAAATTGCTATATTTTTGTGAGGTAAATTTGTAACAACATATATTAAAATGTATTTATACAAAAAAGGGGGCATAACGTATTTCTTTGCTACGTCTTTTGGTTGCTTGACATATGTTAAACACACGTGACTGTCAGACTGTTCTAAACCAGTTCCGGGTAACCTGGTCTCGATCTTCCCACTGCATTTTCCTGTCAATCTCAGTCAATCTGGTTAGAAAATAGTTATTGCTGAGTTTATTTCGTGTTCTAAAATCAACTCGACCTAATGTAGGTTGAACAGCGATACTGAGTCAGCTCACGATTCAGCTTGTCAACGCGTTTATCTCTTCTTCAAAATAATTTATTTATAATGACTAACTTGCGAATACACTTAAGCATTCCAATTATTTCTTCTGATAAACAGCTATTTCTTTTGATAAAATGTACAATTCATGTTATTTACAATGTGTTTCTTAAACTCTTAAACGCACGTTTTAGCACTAGGAGATATATTATTTAGAAAGGATGCCTAGAAACAGTGAAAGACATGAACAACACAGGGGTTTAAAAAATCCCATTTTGAACACAACTTGCTAAACGGCAAGGAGAGTCCTTGAATGAAGATCATCGCCAGGGAACTGGAACCTAGTTTACGATCACTGTCGTTTCCCGCTGACTGCTGGGGGTAGAGCCTTGTAGCCTCGCCTTCCTTGCTGCATCCTTTACTCTTTGAAGGTGAAGCGGAAGTGGAATTTTGTCCAGTCGAGGGTAGTTGGGAAGGCGCACGGCATTCTGGTAACGATCTAGAACAATACTAGAAGAAAATGAAATACGGATTTTACAGTTTGGAATTTTTATCACATATCCTTTGTTGCTAAATATCTAGACTGAGAATACAGCCGTCGCTCCTCGTCGCTAGGCTAGGGGCGTTTACGAGCGGCAGGAAGCGAGGAAAGAAGGCTGTACTCACAGGTTGGTAAATATCTGGGTAGTGCATGATTCTTCAGCAAAAGAGAAAAACTAACCCTCTTGAACAGTCCTTTTACATGTGGCTGAATGCAATTTATGCAAAGTTAAAGGAGCTGTGTCACGAAATTCAGCCAAATTAGGAAATTACAAAATGTCCGTTAAATTAAGAGAAACAAAAACATAAGCGCTTAAAACTTTAAAGGAAAGTTAAAATAACATAAAAGAAACAACAGATGCCACGGATGGGCAAAACTGAAGAAGACTGAAACGGATTGAAATTCGGGTTTTTGAAAACTGTTCAGCCTAACAGTTTTTCAAACTTTATCCCTGCTGCTTGCAACTTCAAAAATAACGCTCAGGAGACATATTTGTTTGTCTCGGATCTCTGATTTTGTCATTTAAATGTAATTTCTTTGCTTACTTTAATTTTCATAGCGATTGAGGGCGAGTAATTGGCAAAATTAAACAAAATGAACTGGACTGCTGTGACACAGCCCCTTTACAGTCGAGACAATGCTGGCCAGCTGCCTTTCCCCAGAATTGGCAGGAGCGGCCGTGGGCCTTTCACAGGGGCGTCTGAGATTTTACAGCTATCACGTTGAGGTCACCTCATTTCGCTTGTGTTTATTTCTGCTCCCTTCCCAGCCCTCCCTTTGGTAAGTATGTGGTAAGTATAGAGCGTTTTCACTCACGTGGCCAGCATCTATGCAAATTTATTGGAAAAAACGAAGACTTTTGCATAAGAAAAGAGTTCAACTTCCACAGGATTGGTTTGGCCTTGGGACACCAACATGGCCGCCGTGAAGTCATATGAAAACACTCAATATTTAGTTTCCACTGGTTAGCAGTGTGAAGGTGCCTGGGTGGTTGCCACTCACAGTGTTGTCATGGTTACTCGCTGCACTCGGCTGCAGTTTCTGGGCTCCACCAGCTTCTCAGGCACCTTCCCCCCGCTCCCCACCCATGAGTTTAACATAAAGTATAAGATTTAGTATCATAGTACTTACTTCACAAACTGCTTGACCTCTAAGAGATGTGTCTCGTAATTGTCTTTGTTTGTTGGTGGTTTTGCTTTGGCGACAGCCTTAAAGTAACATCAAAAACAATATTTACTTTATTTTAATACCTAAACTAAATGCCAGCCCTGTTAAAACACCTCTTTCGCAGGCTTCTGTACAAAGCGAACGGATAAAATTCGCCACTTTAAAAACGAGAAGGAACTGGGCCGAGTTGACTTTCGCCAAGACTTCTGGGACTGTCACTATGGACAGAACCAGTAACCATGCCAACAGCTGATCGACGCGTGCCCAGTAACAATCCCAGAAACAATTGCGGGACGCACTTCGGCTCCAGTTTTTTCTCCCTTCTAGAGTTGCGAATAAATCAAAGTGACTAACGGTAAGAACTGTAAGTTAACAAAATGCGTTTCGTAGACTCCTACCTTGAGTTTGGATCCAACGTTAAAACGAGCTGTGTGCTTTCCGTGATTAAAGGTGAGAACCGTTTTATTCTGAAATAGGAAAAATACTTATTGAAACTCTATAAACTCTCCGGATCATTATACGTTTCTGGGAAACTGCCCACCTACCCCTTCCCTAAGCCAATTAACATTAACACTTACTTTTCACTAACGGCAAAATGTTGGCTTAGGGGAGGGGTAGGTGGGCAGGTTACGATTTTGGGAATTCATAAGTTAATCTTGTCACTAAAATCACGACAATAAACACTCCGCGCATTCCTGGAACAACCGTGAACAAAGGCACCAAAGGAGCCCATCACTATAAAATCACTGTAAAATACGATGATTTGTATGAAATTGTCCACCCAAACATCAAACATACTGTATGCTCTCGCTGAAGTGAAACGCGGCAAAAGTCAAGTAACCATGCCAACTAGCTCAATGAACCAATCAGAGCTCATTATACATATCTATGTAACTGTTAAAAAGCACGGGAAAACGCCGAAAGTAACTCACGCTGTTTAGCTTATCTGATTAAATGAGAGGGTGGCACTTTGAAGTTTTAGCCAACAAAGCGAGCAGTGCATAATCAATGCAATTGTTATGGTGTTTTCGCGATAACCGACAGAATACTGCTCCTTTAAAATACTCTTATGCCACAACTGGGGATGGGAATTTCTACCAATAATTGCAAAATTTAAGTGCGTGGTTACTTCTACCTAAGAAAAGGACATCGCTTCAGTTTAGATAAAAGTGGATAATCATAGTACAGGAAATAGAACCGTTGTCAAATTAGAAGGCATTGCCCAACCCCTTATTGTGAGGTCACAATAGAAAAAAAGATAATCTGCGCGTACAATCTTAGGGTGCGTTCCTTTGAGATGATTCGGATCAGGATCAGTGATCTGACATTACTTGGATCATGGTAGATCAAATGAACCGACAATCTACTCTGCGGCACAAGGATTCATCGGTTTATTTGATCTACCATGATCCGAGTGATCTCGGATCACTGATCCTGATCCAGATCATCTGAAAGGAACGCACCCTTAGTCTATTAAAAAGAGTGAGCAACATCAATGTTCTGCTTACAATATCAATACATAATCAAGAGAAGAGGTCAGGAGAGTTAACAAAATTATCACAAAGAGGGAATGCTATGGTTTTTTCACAAATTCTCTCAACTCATTCTTTAAGGATATGCATAAAGATCGGTTTGGAGAATTTGCACGCGGATGTTGGGGTTTAAAGGACTGACAAAAGCATCGACACCAGTACCTGAGATAAGCATCTGATTGACAGCTGCTTGGTGATCATGAATGTGATTGGTTGAAAAGGTGGGGCGTGCACGTGCTCTTTCAAATTATGCCAAAGCCATTTCTTCTTCCGGGCACCTTTGTTATCCAGCAGAACGCCATAGAATGGATTTAACACTAACCTAAAAAAAAAAAAAACAAATGCGATACATCGTCAAGATGCTACTACTACTAGGGAGATGAAAGGGAGATTTCTTTTATTGTCTTTTTATAGGCCTTCAACAGTATTCATCTTGCCCTGTATCGATCCATAGAAATTGGTTGAATAGTGCTTCTTCATCGATAACTGTATTACAGAGAAAATAAGAAATTCACTCAGAGTTGAGTCTTTTTCTTACTAAATCGGTCATTTTTCGAACAAACTACACTAAACAGTGCTTTTTTATTTAAGCCTGAATACACATGGCACGAAAGCACTAACAGAAGAAACTGTTTTATGCCCCCTACTGTAGCCTGCGTGGCCGGCGGTTTTGTCTGACGAGCGCGCAAATGAGCGAGGAAGCTGCGAAAGCGCGCGCGAACGAACGGCGAAGCGTTGTTTCCGCTTGGCCGTTCGCCATTGACCCTACGCTACAAAATCGCCACCTACGCAGGCTACTCCTACTGGAGTGTGGATTACCATTTTTACATGGCCACCCAATTCACTCCAAGGTTTTCCTTCTGCAAGGCAGAGGCAGTACCTCCAGATATGGAATAAATTTGCACAATTTCTCTAGCCTGCATTGAAATGTTGGTTTAGGGTAGGGGTAGGTGGGCAGTTTCCCAGGAACGTATGATGAACCTTATTTTCCTTTGGAGCTAAAATGTAATGTTCTTTCACATAATACGCTTAGGAATAAATAAAGAGTTGCATGTTTTGATTTGCACCACAGCAACCGAAATGACTGTGTATGTCTGCTCATATGGCCGGTCAAGAGAAAATAATCGTCTTCTCGCCCACACAAAATATTTCACTCCAACTAAATACCTACCTGACTCCACCATCTCTAAAGTAACATGTTCCATGACCAGACGGCTCGAATATTGCTAACATCCTGGATGGGTTGGATTCGTTCTCTTCATCGTCCTAATCCAGGAACAAGAGTATTAAAAGCATTAAAAGGTTAAACTAAATCGATTGCCTTCACCACGTGTGGAAATACCGTAAACGTCCGCTTACAAGACCCCCTAATAAGCTTCCTCAGTTATCGACCCGAGCAGTATCCCACAACAATAATTATCTAAAAAATTTAATCCGCAAGGTTTTCATCAAGGTGAATCCACTCATCGTCACGTTGAAAACTGCATACGGCAAACGCCAAATACAATGAATGACATGAAATATGGCCACGTGATCATCATTACCGCTTGACAGAAAAGGGGTATTTTTGGCGCGAAGCTTATTCTGCCTGCAGTTAGAAGCATGCTTCTGCAGCAACACAAGCTATGTTTAGCTTCTTTTCACTTGTCACACAAATCTTATCTCTGAAGTCTCTCTATATTTGCCGGTTAGTTAGCAATATGACGGGAGTTCTCATGAGTTCTGAGCGGGATAACTGCCTCAAAATTTCAAAGTAGTTCGCGTGTTCCGAGCCGAAATTTGAAGATGGGTATTTAGGACATTAGTCGTAGAGTGCGAAGTCAGCTACTTACATCGAACACTATGTACGTGAACTTCCCTTTTTCTTTAGCAGTTATCATGACTGCAATATTACCACTAGGATAACTGAACAATGACGTCAAGAAAATTCAACAGATTTAATAGTTATACAGAGTAGCAAATGAAAGAAAAACAACAAACTTTCTAGCCTGATAAAAAACACATTTCGCAACGCTACCACTGGAACGTCTGAGGTTCGAGCGCAGAAATTCCATACTGATGACCTGACACTACCCAGATCGAAGTTGTGTTTCTGATTGGTTGTGCCGGAATGGAAATTTGCTTCAACCAATCAGAAGCACTACCCAGACCTACGTAGTGACACGTCATCAGTATGGAATTTCTGCCCTCGTTCTTCAAACGTCAGTTTGCTGGGAAACCAGCGGTGGTATCAAAAAATTGTGGCTGTTTTCTCAAGTTACAAACTTTCGCGAAAAGCGATTTTCCGCGCACTTATGCCTGAGAGTGGCAGGTGAGTGAGAACTTTATGTCTATGGATGATTTCAAGTTTGAAATTAATCCCAGAGTTTGGAGCTTCTAATCAAACGCGAAACCGAAATACAGATACACTAGTATCTAACGGGGAAATTTTAAGAAACGGACTCTAATATCCAGCTCCAATCGAAAGCACCTTATGATTGGGGGTACGGACGATGAGGAAACAATCTAGTTGAGAATGCAACAAGGATACTAGCAAGTCCCAGTTCCATCTGGGAGCAGAAGAAGAAACCTTCGCTTGTTTTCGTAGAATCTCTCCAGAAATGCCTGCTTCCTCTGTGATGAAAAAATGAAAATAACAAATGTACTTGTTACCGTCTTCAATTTACCTGTCTCTCGTAAAATGGATAACATAAACACCTACGAATGAACACAGTTTAAAAGTATTTAATAATTTAATATACATATGATAGTGGTCACATACCGTCGGAAGAACCATTTTCTCCCGTATTTTTCTTACGTTATATTTATAGTTTTGTTTTCTTTACTGAGGAAAAAGCGGGTCACACTAGATTTGTTTCCCGCGGGACTAGCTGTGTGCAGTGCGCCATTTAGGCGGGAAATTTCTTGCTCGTTCATCTGATTGGTTGAAACATGTTTTCGTGGTTATGGACTATGAACTGTGCTAAAATTGTCTCGGGAAAAACTGGTCGGACGCGCAGTTTTATTTTTGCCAAAATAATGGACTTTCTTTAATCCTGCGGGAAAAAAACTCAACGGAACATAGACTGTGATCTTCTAGCCTTCTACGAAAAAGAGGGAGTTAAAGATACCACAACGCTGACGGCGGCAAAAACGTCAGTAGGAAATTAAAGTGACTTCGCCTTTTTTGAAACGTGATTATTCCAACTCGCTCTCTTTATCAATTGTAGGCGAACCCTCCTGGAGTTGAATTCCTAAGAAAAGTATTCAAGTTCAAAAAGGGAAAGAGAAATTTGTCGTCGTTTGTTTACGCTCTCCACAAAACTTGAAAGTTGGCAACTTCACGTTGCAGTCCTGCCGTGAAGAAGTGTACAAAAAAGCGTTATGCACGTGCAAAGTTGTTGTTTGCTAATCTTGTTTTTTTTTTTATGTTCTCGTTGCCGTCGGCCGTTTTTCTATTTTGCGTCTCATGACAGTTGCCCCGGACTTCACAACAGTTCATTTCAATTTCATGCCATGTACTTACAAGCTGGAGAGGATTGACTTCAATAACAAATGGATCCTGAATTTGTTCACCGTCTGACAGTGACGGAGACTCTGGACGAACCGTCCATCCCTCCTCCATGCACTTGGTAGAAGCCAAGGAATAAGTGATAGTTTTCATCTGACGAGTTACTATGGAAAAAGTGAAAAAAAAAACCTGTTAGATTGCATTACAATAAGGGTGTTAGGAGGAAGAACACGTAAAGGACGAACTCAAAATCCTTCGAAACCACTCAGAATACCTCTTTTGAGACAAAAGGACGACAATACACCGCAGGTAAGATAACACAATGTATATTTAGAGCGGTTCGCATGCATTTTCTCGCGCTTTGCGTCAGCCACATGTAATTACTTCGAGTTTTGATTGGTTCAATGTATTGACTGTATCCTATGTGATTGGCCAGAGTAATTACTTTGGTTTTGGTTTTACGACACTCAAACGAAAACCACTCTAACACTAATCCATACACATATTTAGCGATATATTGCCATAGACGAAGCAAACGGTAATTCCAATACATTTACATAAAATTACAAACGGTTACACAGTAGACAGATTGTGTGGACCCCTAGTGCTTTAGCCAAGCAAAGCGCGAGGCATCAAGGGGATCCGTTCCGACATCCTTTGCGAATAAGTTAAATATATCGCGAGAGAGACGCGTGGAGTCTTAACTGAGTCAACTCACATGCATAGAAGTTCGTAGGATTAGCACCGGCAGCCCGCTGTCTCTCCATTTCACGTTCTCTGGCGCGTTCTGCTGCTCGCTCCTTGGCTGCTCTCCTCGCGGCTTTGGTGCCATAAGGTGGGTGGGGCTTAATGTCAATCATTTCATCAACCAAATGAGCAGTGTCTGATCTCTGGGCAAGCTCAAATTTCACGAAGCGTTCATACTGAGGACAGCAGTAAAGCTGAAAGCAAAAGTAACTGTTTGTATGGTATACAAAATTACTCAGATGTGAGATGCCAGATTTGTACGCTTAAATAGTTGGATATCATCATATTTTTGCATAACAACACTCCTGAAGCTGGTAGATGATCCTTTTTGGTAAAATTTTACCATTGAAGTCACATCCAAAAACGGATAATTTATTAATTTCCAAGTTGTGTTTTAGAAGTACCCTGTGCTTCCCAACAACTTACGTTTGGCTTTGGGTGACAAAAACATCTTAGGGCTCAGTGTTTAAGAGTTCAGTGCTCAGTGTTTAACAAAACTGCATATCCTAACCATTTTAAACTTGTGCAACCTTCAAATGGCCTCGCACACCAGACGTTCTTAGGGCTTCCATCACGTGTTCAAACCCCCGCCCCACCAAGCCACCGAAAGGAAAGCCCTAAGAACATCTAAATGGGAGTATAACCGTCACATCGTCACAATTCAAGCTAAAAAAAGGCTTACAAAACCAAGCTCAAGAGCTATTTATATACTTAAAATTAGCCTGTGAGCAAGCTCTCCATTTGAGGGTGTTGAAAGAAGTCATGTGAGAGCAGCACGCAAAAGGAGATGCAATTATGAGGGATGGAGAAAGGAAACCCCCTGGATTGCACGTTCTGTCACAGCTCGCTTAGCAAGCAATTAATGAGGAAAGCTTGCTCACAGGTTAACTTGAAATAAAAACCTTACAAAAAGATATGTTGAGTCTCTTGAACCACAGTCAAAGTAAGAGCCCATTTAAACATTTATAACCAACCTATTATTGCAACTTATTTAAGTGCTGAGGACCTTGGATTTCACAGTTAAATATCTGTAATCCCTGCAAACTTTCTTAATGACCCAACATGTCAAAACATATTATTTGATTCATGCAACAATAACTAATAATGATGTTTTGAAAATCACCTGATCAGGGGTCAATCTCTCCAATTCTTCAATGGTTGGAAACGGCAATATCTCCTCATGACAAAACATGCACGGACCACTATACATACTCTTCTTCAGCATTTCACTCTTGGCAAGTTCTTCTCTATCTTCAACCTCTTCATTAGACAATGGGGGATGTTGGGACTCTTTCATGTACTGAAGGATAGCGGGAGGACCAATACTTGGTAGCATATACTCTTGTTCTGCAACATAACCTTCGTAATCAGCCTCCGAAGTACTGTCAGAGTCTGGTTCCACTGTGGGAGGGCGGAACAGAACATCCTCACCCTTGGGGGTACGTGGCAGTGAAGACACGACTGATTGGCGAGATCTGGGGACTCCCCCAGATGATTTGGACTTGCTTCTCCCATTGCTTCCTGGAGACATAAATAAAAAGCAAATCATCAGAATTAGAGACCTTTAGGTTCTAAGACGAATACGACAACAAGAACAAGATTTTTTCAATACTAAGTAATGCTTGTGAGTGAACCAGTGTCATTTTGGTAGCCATTGTCACTCTAATACAAGTTATCAAGTGTTAGAAGTGTTATCATTTTGTGATCGGTAGAGGGTGTAACCTCCTTCACTAAAGGTAACTGCTAACAGTGCTAACTTTTCTAGTTAAAAATGGTAAATGAAGCTTTCTGGGGAGTCTCTATTTTGAGAATACACAAAAAAACTTTAAGTCAAATCTCATACTCGTAGTTGTCCTTGTCCTCGACTCTAAAGGTCTCTAAAGCCCGAACTCAAAAACACGAGTTTTTCTCTAATAATTTTCCAGCTGTCACACTTTTCCATAGAAAGCTTAATTTTCATAATTTACTCAGAACAAAGGTTTACAGATTTTGGGATTTTCCAAGACACTGCAGTCCTGTCAAGTTTGCTTTTAAAGTGACAATTAAGGTGTGTGGAAAAGGGTTCCAGTGACTTGTGATCTCAACTTAAATTCTCCCTTTGATCAAGACTAAACATAAGGCAATTTAATGCAGGGGGAGGATCTAAATTTCATCAAAAGTCACCTGAGCTTTTTTTCAAAGTATCTTTTGAAGAGTAAGTTTATTTGACCCTTTAAGCCCCAGCATCAACATGCATCTTCTCCACACTAGCACTGTTCTTCATACATTCCTTATGGTACTGCTGGAGAGAATTTGTTCTAACATCACAGCATTTCATCTTTGGTGATCATTTCCTTAATTCTCATGACCTGTCTTTTTGATCAGACAGTGTTATTATTGGGAAAAATTGGGTATGGGTCACTATTGGAGCTTAAAGGGTTAAGTAATGACCTTCCTCTTGTCCAGTGTAGCCCTTCTTTGTCTCAGTTCCTTCCTCCACCTCAGGAAGTGAGAAACTCTCTTCATCTTTCACAGGTGCACCTTTGTCACTGCTGACTGATGTTCTTCTTCCAACAGATTTTTTCTTCCTTCTTTTGATGGAGCCAGCATGGCCGTTGGCTAAAAGAGCAAACCACAGTTATCAACATTCGGCCACCGAGATCTTAAGATGAGATGACTTCACCTTTCCCACCAAAGCACTCACACAGGCAAAAACGATTCTGCTAGCTACCCAGGCTATTTTCAGTCTACTCACGGGAATTTCAGAAGTTTCAAAGTAGGCCGGTGGCTTTATAATTGAAGAAGGTGGCTAATGTTGCTATTCTTTATTTAACATTTATTCGTCAAGCCCGAATGGGCTCTGAGTCAAAAGCCCACGAGGCCGAAGGCTGAATGAGCTATTGACTCAGAGGCCATGAGGGCGAGAGGAATAATTGTTTCAGTAAAATCCAACTAGTTGGTCAAAAATATTGAGAATAAAAAGTTTTAAGCTAGTTAAAGCTAGACCTTAATCCTTTTGTGCTGCCAAAAAGCCCACGCTTTTTGCTACTAGTAGGCTATAACATATAGCCTAGTAGTAGCTCAACCAATCAGAACGCAGCATTGATAATAGACCACTAGTTGGATTTTACTAATAAGAAATATAGATAAGGAAAAGCCCTGTACAGTAGCTGGCCAAATTAGGTGTTGATTTTTTCCAGCTGCCAGCTGTTTTTGACAACCCTGTTCTCATTGTGAACCATTGTTTCTCTCTATTTTTTGCAGCCTTCATGTTGCCACCTCCTACCCCATGAAGAGGGAAAATGGAAGCTACATGTAGGCTTATATTATTTTGAGAGGCAAAGTATTTTTATCAACTTGTGTGCATGTCGAGTTTTCACGTTACCTGATGGTGACGACATTTTCCTTTCTTTTCTGTTTGCCCACTCAGGTTTAGATTTATTTGTTATTTCCTGGTATAATTCCATATCCTTCAACCAGCTCCACTCAGTCTGGGTACAAGTTGAAACAACCTCAACTGTGGTATTACCAGCATGAGATATGAAACTCCTCTCTTTTTCCACAGCTTGGAAAGAAGATTCTTTTTTCTCTGCTCCTTCTGCTGTTGATGAAGAAGAACTTGCTGATGATGGCCGGCTATTTGATGAGTCTTTGTTGAAAGAAAGAATATCATGGGCTACTCGATCATGATCTTCCCTTGACGAATTCACTGCATTCTTGTCCAAGTTTTCACTTTTGATACTCTGTGAAGTAACATCCTCTGCTTTTTGACTTTTTTCTGACTCATCTGTTGCAACCTCACACGCAGCTATTAACATTCCACGCATCCCAGTTTGCGCTAACGTTCCTAAAGGCTTCTTAGGGGATACAATCCCTCTAGCAGCTACATCAGCAGAAATTTTTTCGGGATCTAATTGATCTTGTTGTTTTCCCACACTCGCAAATACATCACCTTCAAGATGCTCTGGAGAGCTAGTTCTACTTATAACCGATGATGAGCTTGAATCCGGTCTTGGCGGTTGTTCGTCTCTAGTTTTTGAGTCCTTTAGACCCCTTTCGTCTTCACTCATTTCACGGTAAGGCTATTATGTTGAGGAATTCGGAATAAAGTAAATGGCACAAATTTACAAAAATACCTCCTGCAGCTGACAAACCGGCTAGAAAGTGACAGCTTTCTTTCAGCTCAATCAGGCATAAACTAAGAATACGCTAGTGACGGCTTTTGTACTATCTAATTTGCCTTGTCACATTCCAATCCGATCTAGAAAAAGAGTAGGAAATAAGTTAAGAAGCCCCATGTCTTCTTCACTTTATAGCTTTATGACTTCGTGAAGAAGCAAATCAATTTTGGTTGCTACTAGTAGCGAGCCTCGGACTCAGGATGACAAAATCTACTCTCCGGGTAGGGGTAATGTTTCCAAACCTTCGAGGAAAAACGAAGTTTGGCGATTGCTAACGACATTACACCGATAGTTGTCGCCGCGCACCGAAATTGAATTGATCTCGTCCCTTCCGGGGGTAAGTAGACCGCAGAGGAACCGCAAACAAATAACTTTCCAGAGTGGCTTGAAATCGTCAATTGTGCATGTCGTTGGACATGTGCCTTGGATGTTCGGGTGTAGGAAGTGAAATTATTGAAATCTAAGGGTCTTCCGGCGTTTAACAAGTTCTCTTGACTTGTTCCTGTGTGGTAAATAAGCGTCTAAATGGCTGGGGATATTGTGGAGGACGAGGCGTTTGTGAGCCTTGTCACTAACAACGGTTATGCAAATGGCGCGCTTGTTCTCGGGTACTCCCTACGACGTGTCAATACAACGAGAAAACTGGTGCTGCTCGTTACAAGGGAGGTGCTAGAGCCAACGAGGTAAGGATCAAGATGCCTTAAAGTTAAGCTTTCGTTTTCAACTCTTGTGATGAAGTTTTTATCTAGGAAACATGGAGCACACGATCAAGACGATCAACATATATGGCGACGAGTCAAAGCGTTAAAGATCTATTTTGAAACAGGCAGATTGGCCCGTGTGTTCTCCATTCGTTACTGTTCCAGATTATTGTTCTGTTACAGTACAAAAGTAGAAGCACCAATTTAGAGATGTATCGAAACAAAAATCGAGTTACGCCCAAGTCTCCTCATGCAAGCATGCACTTGGGCAATTCAATAAGCAATTCAAGTGCACTTTGTCCAGAGGCCATGCTAATTTTTAAGTTAGATTGATTTGCTACACTTTAATGTTTTGATTTTAAATTGATTGGAGGAATTTGGTGACATGTCAAGTACTAGATTACGGAAGTTATGCGTCAGTAGACTGCTCTTGCATGAGTTCATGATGGTTGGTCAGGGACCAAGATGGTGGGAAATTCAAAGATTGTTATGGAAAATAAGGGCTTCTGTGTCTCCAAGATTTAGTGCTACTTGTAAATCCAATGTGTCTGTTTGTAATTGATGTTCTATGGTAGTCTAGCCTTGCTAAAATTCACTAAACTAGGACTTCGAATAGGAAATGAAGGATAAGCCAAGTTTACCCAAGCATGCATGTAAGTCTGCCCATTTACAAGTTACATTATTTAGCTTAGTTTATTTTACCACAAAACAGCATGTCTAATGTAACACCTCGGTATAGAACAGTTTAACCTTGATATACATGTAACAAACCTCTATATAAAGAAGTCTTTGGTATAATGAGTGATTTTCTTTACCCCAATATTAGTAAAATATATGAAAAAGAACCTTGATATAACTAAACCTCATTATAGCTCGAACACATTTTACCGGGTACTTGGCCATTTGTTATATAGAGGTTCCACTGTACACCCAGGTATAGTAGTCATGCTATCCACTAGTTTTGTCATTGCTGGAAATAAATTGCAGAGAAAAGCAATGTAGACTAATGAAACAACACAGCAAATTAAATGAAACTTTGTCTTGCATCTGCGGGGATTTGCAAGAACTTGGTAAGCATGATCACCCATTGTACAATCAAGAGCATGAACTGGTCAAGTTTTTGCTCTAGTTGGTGTGCGTATTTCCCTGGTTTGAATTTCAAATACGGTCGTTTCGCATTTTGAGGAGTATGCCATGACCCTGTTGGTATTTAACCCATCTTTATGTCATTTGTTGCCATTTAAACTCATCACCAATAGATGAGCTTGGGTGTTGGTGCCTACAAAGTTGGTGGAGCTGGGCAATGCTCTAGCATGAGGAGGAGGTATCCATGGCAACCCTGCGAGCGGCCCCCACCAGGCACTGTCACACTGAACAATTCAGTAGAATACTTACTAACCCAATACTTACCTAGCCCACACCAAGAGAGAGGGAGGGATGGGAAAAACCAAAGCACAAACTGGCATGCAAACAGCAAGCAATTGCAATAACACTTTGCGAAGAACGGCAAGCAAGCAACTGCGTATATAAGTCACGAGGTGCCCCTGCTAGAGGCATCGGACCACCCCTACTATAGCTGGGGAAACAGCTGACCAGCATTGCCTCAAGGTTAACTTTGCCTAAATTACATTTAGCCACATTTCACCTAGTCTTATGTCACTGTTTCAAGGCCATGTTCCTTGTCGGACTTTTACACTAACAGGGACATGTTAATAACTCAATATATTTTTGCTAGCTATGGATAAGTTATGTAACTAGCATTCTTGCTCTTTTTTTTTTATTCAAACATATGCAAATTATCAAATTCTCAGCATTTTTTCTTGCATCTGTCTTGTTTATAAATATTTTGTTATAGAGAGAGACTGGCAAGAGTATGGGATCATCTAGAGATTGTTGATTTGCTGGACAGTGAGGATACAACTAACTTGGCACTTTTGACAAGGCCAGAGCTGGGAATTACATTCACAAAAATCCATTGCTGGAACTTGACTCAGTATAGAAAATGTGTGTTCTTGGATGCTGATACTCTTATTATTCAGAACTGTGATGAACTTTTTGAAAGAGATGAGTTGTCTGCCGTTCCAGACATTGGCTGGCCAGATTGTTTTAATTCTGGTGTGTTTGTATTTGAGCCATCCAGAGCAACGTATGAAGCCATTTTAGAATATGCTATTCAAAATGGGAGTTTTGATGGTGAGATCTTTTTTTCTGTAGTGTCAGTACAGTAACTTGGCCTTACTGTAGGTCTTTGCCATTCTTAGACCCCAACATATTCCACATACTCACGTCTCCATTATACAGGGCTTCTGATAGGTTTGGATGAAAGTTAAATTTTGCGGGATTTTCAGAGACAGATTCACAGAAAAATTGGCAGATTTTGCGGAAATTTTCAGGACTAACTACACCAAAAAACAAATTTCTTGGGAATTTTTTGGGCAAATTTCTCTAGAAGTGGATTGATTTTGCACTGATTTGATCAGCATGTTTGAATGTTTCTTAACAGAGATAATCATTTGCTATTTTAACAACAAAGCTCTCTAGAAGTGAGCCAGTGGCAAAGCTTTTAACATCATGACTAGTCCCCAGTTTTTCGCAACATAATTTATGCCTGGTAGTTTTGGGAAATTGTTCGCTTGTTGTGGGGATAAAAATTCAAGATACATTTGCAAGTTTACAGCAATTATGATTCAACCCCATTGGCTGAGATAAGTTTCAAATATGTTGTATTGACATGTATTTAATAAGATTTCTAATGAATTTTGCAATATTTAGTGTGCTGTCATGAATTTTGCAGGATTTCGCAGATTTACCTCAATCTTGCGGCTCCACGAAATATCAGAAAACTGATTGTAATTTATTATTTCCCATGAAACTGATCTAGGCCAAGTTGTTCAAAGCTTGGTTAAGATAACCCAGGGTTAGTGCGAGATTTGAATTCAGATTTGATAGCTTAAAAAGCATTTCAGTTTTAATTCTTTTTGTCTACAAGTTGATTATTGGAAGCTCTAAAAATAACAGAGAAAATTATCCGAGAAAATGATTTTGAAGACAAGAAAAAGAAACCAGCGTTAAATTTCACCCCGGGTTAAGTGCTAATCAGCCTTCGAACAACTGGGCCCTGGAGAATCGGCCACTTCCGAGTTCTCCCGGGCCTCTGTATCAAAACAAGGTTACGTGCTCAGCCTTTGATATGGAAATGATTTTTCATTCTCATGCAAATGAAACTCATTTTCACAAGAAAGGTTGTGCACTTGGCCTCTTTTTGAAAGTGAGGGTTTCTGGAACTCGGAAATGGCCTATTGAACAGTTTTACTTTAAGATAGTTTCATTTCTTTACTCTCATGACTTTTGTGTTTGATTAAGCAGTGTTATTTAAGGAGAACTTAGATGCTGACCTTGATTGAAGGGCCAAGCTTCACATTATAAAGGGAATAGCAGACATTACTGTGGGCATTATCTTTGAGTTATGTAACCCTTTGAAAATTTTTTTAAAAGCCTACACGTGTGCCCTTTGAGCTGCAAAAGTTTTCATAAATCCAAAATGCTTATGTAATTTAGAATGCCCAAGTTTGCTATTCCCTTGAACAATAGAGTTCTAAAATGGTGCCGTCATAAAAATTAAATTTGTGAAATTATGGGAGTTGTCAAGATTTTCTGAAAGAACAACGTCCAAGACGCCTACTTGCCAAAAATTAGCATTTTGGGGCAAATTGTCTCTGAGATATTAGCCCAGTTATGCTCTGATGACTCCATACAAATCCTTCTAAATTTGACTTGGGTCTAAACGTTTAGACCCAAATGCTAATTTTTGGCAAGTGGGTGTCTTGGACATTGTTCTTTCAGATTATCTTGACAAATCCCATAATTTCACAAATTTAATTTTTTGTGACGTCACACTTTAGTACTCTATGTCAAAAGGCTTGAACCTGTGTGCACCAGTGATTGAGGCTATGAAAATTGTAACGTAACAAGGTATCCCTGATGTATACATAGAGCCCTTGACGTGTCAATGTGATGACAATGAACCAAAGCCACAACAATATTGACATTTGGTCAGATCTTACAATTATGTCAAACTGAAACTTGCCTATTAACTCCAAATAGAGTTTTGGGGGAACAGTTTTAAGGACTTGAATCAACAGTGAAACGAGTGGTTCTGAGCGGGGTATGTTCAAAAATGAGTGCTGAAAGCGCAAACGTATGGGGGCATCTTCCGGGGGCGTGGTCAATACCCAGAGTTGCATTTACTGACATGATACAACTCACTTTGACTCTGAAGGTGACTACCACACAGGTTGTCAAAACGTCAGTCACTGTCAACAATAGTCCTATTCAGGACTATATTCACCCGGACGATCATGCTCCACTGACTTATGAAATGATTCCTGGGTTCAAACCTTTCACAATAATTAGTTTATTACAATTCAATTCAGTACTGTGTTTGTTTGTTTGTTTGTTTGTTTGTGCATTGAGCTTCCTTCCATTTAAATGTTAAAGCACAGCATTTTAGCTCAGAAACTATTTTTTTTATGGCATTCTTTCAGGTGGAGACCAAGGACTACTTAATTCATTCTTCAGTGATTGGAGAACATCTGACATCTCCCGACATTTGTCATTTATCTACAACATGAACTCCAATGCTAGTTATACCTATGCTCCAGCTTTCCAACAGTAAGATCAGTAGTATTAGTATTTTTCTTCTTGTGGATTGTTTTATTCCTGTACTGAGGGGCTTTAAAAAAAAAACATCACAAACCTATGACAGTGGCAAGCCCTTTTGTCTTGATCTTTCATGTGTGCAACTGAGATTGTGTATGGACACATCTGGGGGGACCTTTGAGTGCTATTTGCACCAATCCCTACTAAGTTAGAATGAGTTGTACTTCCCATTTTATTTTACTGATTGATGTTCAGCTAAATCGGTCAATGAAATTTCTTTTTTAAAAATTTGTATAGTCAGTGACCTCCTGTTACTTTTAATCTTTGTACTGAAGCACTTTAATATTATTAATTAGTAATAATAATAATAATAATATTATTATTATTATTATCAACTAACCTATCTCTTTTCAATTCCCTCAGGTTTGGAAGAGATGTGAAAATTGTTCATTTCATTGGTCCCATCAAGCCATGGCATCACTCCTACAATCCTGCAACTGGCAATGTGAACGTGCCATCCAGTAGCAGGGGGTATGTCCCACATGAACGCACCTTCCTTCAACTGTGGTGGGACATCTATGCCACTTTTGTGGAGCCAGAAATGAGGGTAAGTGATCACTCTTTTTTTAAATTTTGGAGCAAAGGATTGGAGGGTGTCGGTTACCAGTAAAAGTGTGATTGGTGCTCAGCATATACTTCCCTGAGGCTTATCCAATGGCTAAATTCATGGTTCCATTGCATACCACTTGTCAGAACTGGCCAGCTACAATGTTCTGTTTTTTTTGCCTGCTTACTCCCTGTTTCTAGGGAGAAGCAGAGGTCTAGTGGTTAGTACACTGCACATCAGATGTGGATATTCATGTTCCACACCTCCTCTCTCTGCCCATGAGTGTACAATGATGAAAATATGTTCATTGATTACCTCTCTCATGTTTTTGGATGAGGAAAGTTCCCTATTGTCACCTTTCATCTCCTTAAATTGGCACACTCACAAAGTCTTTTGTAGGTGTGCAGTTTTGCTTTGTCAGACCATATTCCCTCGAATAATAGCCATTCCTTGATTAATCGCCTCGCTTGAAAAATTGCCCCCCTTAGACGGAAATATTGAAAATAACCGCCTTCCTCAAATTATTTCCCACCCCCACCCATCTCACCATCTTCTCTTTCTTTTATCCCCTTCCTGTCAAGTTGAAGTGGAGTCTGATCCAGCAAAACTGATCAGTGACGACTTTTTCAAGCTCCTGACACCGAGAATATTGACACTGAAAATTAATCAGGGAACCAAATTTGGAACACTTACAAAGATAGCCCATGTTAAGTTTATTAATTTTGATGTGATCATTTTTTTTTATTTTATTGGATGATAAGACAGAAGATTAAGGGCGTGACTTCCAGTGAGCAAAATTTGAAATAATCGCCCCCTGCGAATAATTACCTTCCCTCGAATAATTGTCCCCTTTTGGTGCGAAAAAAAAAATTGCCGACGGTTATTCTTTGAGGAAATACAGTATATTCATGCAAAGGGCTTTCCTCATGAACAGGAGTACCAATTTCAGTGACCCAAAAACAGGTCTTTGTTGGCAGCAGATCACAATCAAGGGTAAAAACAACATAGGATACAAAATTACACATCTGCCACGCACTGTCCATCAACATTTTGGTGAGAAACTATATTCAAAATCCTTCAAGCATAGTTGCTAGTTGGTGGTTAGTAACTGTCTATGGCAGTTGGCTGGTTCTGACCAGTGGAGAGCATGTAACTTTAATTTGTTCAGTATCATCTTTATGCTGTGAATCCATCATGTTATCAGACTGATTTATTAAAAAGGTTGGCAGTTGAAATATACCAGCCTGTTCCAAGTAGCAATGAAAATTAACACTGTTGATTGAGGCGTAGATAATTATCTCATGGTCCTCAAAGTACCATACTATGTGTTCAACATTGGATCTGTAGTAGCCCATGTTATGGTTCTTTCTGGGTTACTGAAGATTTATTTGTTGGTATACTGGTTACTACCTGATCTTCCTAAACTTTGGAAATTATATAGCTGTAGTCTTACAATACAACCAACAATTATAACATTGTAAACAAAAAATTACAGTGTAGATGTGCTGCTAATAAACATCTATAAAGCTAACTGCCATGTTGCTGCTTAAGCCCAGCTTCTTCACCTTAATAATAATTTAAATAATAATAATTCATTGTTAAAATTCTTATCTAGTTAAATCCATTGAAATTCACCATCATACTCATATATTTTGCAGCCTTTAAGTAATGATTGTTTTATTGTCATGTTGGTCATTTTGTATGCACTATTATCAGTTACCAGAAATTCTATAGAAAAATGATAATCTTAAATGACGTCCTGTAAAATTTAATTTATTGTTTGCTGGTCAATGTCAGTAAATATGCCTTGTGATGTCTCTTGTAAGACAAAGCACAGAGTTAATTTATTTATGCATTTTACTGAAGCAATGTAAGTTAAAAATGTTGTTGTAGAGTTAATGAAGTAAATCCATTGCTGCAATAAATAAATCTTGTTTTGCTGCTGGGCTGTGTTTTAGTCTAATTCTTTTAGAGTAAGCAAAATTGATAACTATGTGATAATACCAGTGAGTTGTATTTTGTACACGACGCAAGTAAGTGTTAGTTAGGCCTTGGTTACGTCAGTAACAGAAACAACAGCCTTGTATCTTGCTGATAAACCCTGAAGTTTACTACACTGCAAGTCAGTGTCTGTGGTTCGCATTTGCAGTTTCTTCTTTTCAATGAGGAGTTTAATTAAAGCCTGGTGTACCTGTACCAAACTGTACATGCGTAGATACATTCATGAGCAAGGAGGTTGTCTTAATTACACATGTCTTTCTGTGACAAATCCACTTGATTGGCTCAAACTTTAAGACATAAACAGTGGAAGCATTAATAGAGACAGCTAGATGAAAAACGAACTTTCCATTTCTTCTGACTGTTTCTATCAAGCTTAATCTGCTTATGCTTCTGTCCTCTTTTCTTCGACAAACACTACAAGAGAACGTTCCTTCCACCTTCACTTCTGCCTCCGATTTTTTTTGTCCCTGGTGTAACCAAGCCATTAATGATATAATTTGGATTATGTGCTTTAAATAGTAACTTATTTAGTAAACAAATCTTGTATTGATCCTGATCCGTATGTTGACTAATACTTTAGAGTAAGCAATCGATGATTAATAAAATATATGTTAGGTAACTGATTTGTATTGCATGACAAGTTAATGATATTGGTCCAATGTATTTGTTTCTAATTTCTGACATGTGTATTCTAAGAAGCTCTTTACATGGCTTTGAATTTATGTGCAAAGGAATGTAACTTTTGACTTGAATTCCTAGTGATATATCTGTTATGATTTGTGCCATATCTACAGCCCTCTTAAAATGTATTGGCAGCCCGAAGTTACAGTCTCACAATGTAAATTCACATTTTATGACTTTTAACAAATACTCTTTCTATTACACTATCTTGTACTACTAAACATTTTAAGAGAGCTGTACCTTCATCTCTTGAATAGATTGTTAAAATAGTCTAGATTTTGTAAAATGCAATTAATCAAGTTTCAGATCTTGAATTATCCTGACAGCAGTGATTTTGTTACAAATAGTTATGGCGAGTCCTGATACTCATCTTGTTAAAAATCAGGAGTCCCAGTCCAGAACCATAGAGTCATAGTTCTAAAAGCAATGAGTCCCTGGGTCTTTTGTAACCACACAGTTTATCTGAAGACAGACTCCAAAACTCTACATTACAGTTTACTGAAATAAAAATGTACTCCTTCTATTGTAAAGCACAACAAAACACTGAAAGAAATGTGTCGTTTAAGGACAGCCACAGAAATCACACAAACGGGATCTTCAGATCGATCAATCAATCTTTCCATCGTATGGGACGCATACCACAAATGATTTTGAATCTTTAGGGATTTTTATGGGTCAGGTACACAGGACGCAGAGGTAACAAAATCACTGTGACAGTGAGATGTGTCTTAGAACCGGTTTGTTAGCATTATGGGCTTATATTGTCACCTTTTGAGCTGGAACTCCTAATTCTTCATTTCCCCAATTACGTTCAATTTGATTTTGTAGTTCACAAGGTAATTCAGAAAGTGCATTGTAAGAAAATAAGTCAATGAGCCAGATATCTGCCTCAGCCCATGGCTTGTTTCATTGTACTGACATCACTTGTGCGGTACTCAAGCTCATGTTTTGCTTGTCTTGCTTAGCAATGCTGTGATGACCAGGCTGACGACTCCACAGCCAGTGATCATTTCCAGCCTGCGCCTCATTTTCCCACTGAGCACCATTTTGAACCAGCCCCATACAGCCCTCCACCACAACATTTCCATGAGCCGTTCATTCCCCCTCCTGAGCAGTTTTATCACCCACCTCCACCACCGCCCCCTCAACATCACTACCATCATCCACAACATCATGAGCCATCACCACCACCACAGCATTACCATCCCCCGCCGCAACATCACGAGCCACCACCACAGCATTACCATCCTCCTCCACAACATCATGAGCCACCACCACAGCATTACCATCCTCCACCACAACATCATGAGCCACCACCACAGCATTACCAACCTCCACCCCAGCATCATGAGCCCCCACCACAGCATTACCAACCTCCACCCCAACATCACGAGCCCCCACCACAGCATTACCAACCTCCACCCCAACATCACGAGCCACCGCCACAACATTATGAACCACCGCCTCCACCTTCGCCTGTTGTAATGCAGCACGGTTGGCAAGTGGAGACTTGGCAAGGCTCTGACCATCAAGAAGCTGTAGAGTTTAAACACGTAGGCATTATTGTTTTCTTTGGTTCTTGCTTGTATCATTGGTTGGTTGTGTTAAGTGTACATTGTTCTGTTTTGCACCTAGCCTGTAGCATGCTGTGATTTATTTGTTGTTGTTGGTGTTCATTGGTTTTGTTCTCAGGTGCTTTTGATTAATTTGTGTTTTAATATGTTTTATCCTTTGGTTCTTGCTTGAATTTGTTTGGTTGACTATTTTGTAAAATTGCACATTTTATTTTGATATCCTTAATTACTAATTTAAGGATTAAGTTCATCTTTGTTGATCATCTAGTGTTGACAAGTGGCGAGTTTCTCTCAAAGCATAATGATTCTTCTTGAATACAGTCCCATACATTTTCCTACCTTTAACGATAAAATAATGAATTCATTTATTATGCTTTAATAACAATAATAATAATATTAACTTTTATTACACTTATAATGGGCATGTTACAATAATATGAAAAGATAGAGTTTTTAGAACTGAAAGTACTACAATGTAATAAAAAGAAAAAGACCACAAACTGTAAAGATCAAAACTACTGGTAACTTAAAATAATGTCATTCCAACATACACTTTTATTATATTAGATATATAAAGTCAAATCTTATATGTATTACAAAATAAAACTTAGGTTTTAATAATAAGAGAATTTAACAGTTATATACCTGCCAACAGTTAGTCTCAATAAAACTATTCACGCTTTCACGCCTTACTCCCCTGATTGAAAAATGTGAGTTGTTGCCGTCCTGCTCCAAAAAATATGTTAACTAGACCCATGAAAATAAACATTAAAATGAAAAATGGCAATTTCCTCGTTTCTGATTTTTGGAGTGAAAAGCACTTTTTTGGCAGACTTCGCAGACTTTGACGTCTTGGAAGACTTCGGACTTCTTTGATCGTGTCGCCTTCAAAAATCCCAGCACTCCCAAAAAAATAATTTTAGATGAAAATAAACAATAAAAGAAATAATTGTTGTTTATTTCTTTACAACCCTTAGTACACTGTAAAATCCTAGTGTGACAGCTGCTTTATATATTTTGCTTAACTTTGGGAAGGAAAAGGCAAAAAAGAATTTCCACAACTGGTTGGAGGATAAAAAATTTGACAGGTTTACAATCTGCCAACTTGACTTGTTAGACCAACAGAACTTACACAGGGTTTGCCCAGTCTTGAAAAGTCCTTGAATTTAAGGGGGAGTTCTTTACAGCAAAGAGCCCAAAAGTGTGACCGCTTTGGTTTATTCACATTCTTTTGTGCCGATTTAATCCAATCAGAAGCCAGCTGGAAACTGTGCTCGACTTCTAATTGGTTAATCTCTGCATGAAAGAATGTGAGTTAATTAAAGGAGGTCTCGCTTTTGGGCTCCTTGCAGTAAAAGTCCTTGAATTCCAATTTTTCTTGAAAAGTCCTTAAAATTCTGTTTAACTTTGAATGTAGTAGCCTGGAAAGTGTTATTAATGCTTTTTGGTTGTCCAAAACAGAATATAAAACATAACTCAGAGAAGTTAAAGGTGATTTACATAAGACATTTTTTGTTTTATGCAAGAGTTATTGTAAATTTAAGACATGTGAACTGAAAAATGAGTTATTAAAGTTAGAGGAGCAAACAGTTCAAGCCTTTAAAGCCCTTTTATTAGAATGAACCGGGAATGTGCCTTTTTGTACAATCTGTTAAATATTATTACATTCTTGGTACGTGGTCCTTAAAAATTGAATGTTGTCCTTGAAAGATGGTTGCAATTTTTTGTATGAATTATCCTGTTTCATCCAAGTCTAATATACGTCAGGTGGTCAAAGTCTTATTTTAGATTACATGAACAAAACTCCAGTTAAATATGACATGGCAAGGGTAATAGTTCATTCGTTTGAGTCATCTCCTTAGCAGCCTAGTCAGATGGATTTAAGGAAGCTTATCTTTAAAAATAGTATGGGTATATATTGAGGGGCTTGTGTGTATAGAATATCACTGTTATATTATGCTTATAAACAAACTATTTGACTGTGAAGTATTGAAACTCAAACTGGTGGAAGGATACTCTCAACTTAAGTTTTAAGGTGAATGCTTCTGTAATATTATAACAGACAGGATCTGTCCTTTGTGCGATGTTATTGAAGCATTCTGCAAGCGAAATTGTCAAGGATGTGAGAACTAATCATCTCTATTGTATTATGGTCTTTCAAGCTAAATGTTTTGTGTTTTTTATTTAAGGGACAGTCATTAGTAAGCACATAATACCTGTGGTCATGTCAAAATTCTATCTGATGCAAAACAAACATAAATAAATAACTGTATTTTTAAATGTGCATGTGTGTAATGTTTGCATGTTTAAGAATGATTGTAATAATTTTTTACAGTCGTTATTATAATCCAATTATTGGATTTTGCTTGGTACGTTATTTAAAAAATTAATGTAGTCACCAAACTACTTCTGTAAATATAAAAACTTTGCTTGTTGCCACCAAGGACTATTAAAAACATGCGTGCTAGGACTAGGGATTCATTTGTAGCAAATGCGCATAGCCATTGAATCTTCCCAGGGGAATTCTTTTATTATTTTAATGCCTAAAAATAGCAAAAAATAATTCCAACAGGCAAAAATGAGTTGGGGGTATTTTGCAAAACGCCAAATGACTCTGAAGGTTAATGATTAGGGTTAGGACGCTGAGTGAATCAGGTTTCATTTAGTGTCATTATACTAGGAAAAGGGGACTGAAACTTGATTCACTCAGTTTGCTAACCCTTCTGAATTATAACTAAACATCAGAGTCATTTGTGGCATTTGTTTTGGTGGCCTTTTGGCAGTCTGTAAAATACCCCTGCAACATAGCTGCAGCCTAGTGCAGTTTAGAAATCACCATACAAATGAATGTGACGTTGCAAGAACGAACAGTTTTCAGGCACATGATTTTTTACTGACATTTGGTGTTGTACATATCATGCTTTCGATGCAAGTACACAGCAGGCATGACAAAAACTAGTACTGTATTCACCTGCTCCTCTCCTATAGAGAGCTATTTTTATGTACCTCAGGAGTGGTGAAGAGATTTCAATAATTTTTTCAGTAGGCATCATCGTCAGAGACCCAGAGGCCAGAGGCAGATAGTGGAGGCAAGGGAAAGTCAAAAAGGGCGGAAAAAAATGGCTCACCATTTTTTTCCGCTTGTTTAGACTTTCCTTTGCCCCCACTATCTGCCCCTGGGTCTCTGAGGATGATTAGGCATCAGCAGTGCTCCAAACAAAATCTTGAATTCCAGCTTGTCATTTGGGCAAGCAGCTCTCTTAATTTGCTTGCCTGGGGCCACTTCTTGTTTGTCTTAGTTAATGATTTTGTTAGAGAACGACTTGCCTGGACCCTTGCCCAGTAAAAAATCTACTTGTCCCAGACTAGCAGACGGGACTTTTTTGAGCCCTGATTTGTGTTAGCCTAAGGCAAATAATAAGTGGGCAGTTCGAGACAATAAATTACACTCGAAGCAATGAAGTGAAAACTCAAGGTGAAATGTACACAGCTCATAACTGACACTTAATGAACCCCTAATTCTTGGTTTGCAACCATGTGACAAGGTGGCCATGTTGGGGGTCAATACAATTTTCTCAAAGAATTTAAATGAAAGTGGAGTTTAGTTCTCAAAGGAGAGAAATGCTTTCGCTCTTGACTACCAACATGGCCACTGTGACGTCATGTGCAAACCAGTAATAGTTCAATGCTAATCAGGAAAACATTGTCAAAGCAGGTTTTGAGGTCATCCTACCTAAGCAAATCTGATTAAGGCACTTGGTTTTGTCTGGACAGGACTTTTTCGAGCCCTGATCAGAGTTACCCTAAGGCAAATAAGGGAGCAGTATAAGATGATTACACTTGTAAGGCGAAATGAAGCTGCAGCTTTCTGTACACAGCTCATAACTGACTCTTGATGAACCACTAATTAATGCATGAAATGCCCATGTTTTAATAGTTCAATGCTGATGAGAAAAGCATTGTGAAAGCAGGTTTTGAGGTCATCTTACGCAAGCAAATCCGATTGAGGCCCTTTGTTTTGTCAGTGGCAAATAGCATGGAACCACTCCCAACTCCAGAAGAGGATCGGGTCTCTTAACTAAAGCAGGTGGATCATGGTGTAGAAAAAGCTGCTGCTGCTGCTGCTGCAGCAACCTTTAAAATGGTTGCTTTTGGCAATCTCAGTGACAATAACTCCACACCGGCCCGATGCTTTTACTAGCAACTCCACACTTTTGCTGCAACATGTATACATGTCTGAAGCTTTGTTTGGGGCAGATGATGAAGATAAAGCATGGGTGTATCTAAGCGATTTGTGCCTATTTCTTTACAACCTGATAGAGTGTGGTGTGTGGCATGGTACACACACCCTGACTTGAAGACTGAAGAAATGCAAGAAAAAGAGTGATGTAACATACAAAGTGCTAGGCTTGGAGACAGAGCAAGTAGAGAACTTGGCTAATTAGTTTATCACCGGTGACTAGCTAATTGCCCTTCATCAATGCAGGTAACAGTATCGCAATTCCAGTAGCTGGGGATACAGTGTAAAGATGATGACAGTTAAGAAAAAGGAGCAAAAAGAGCAAGAGCAGTTTTCTCGGCCACTGGATTAACAACTACAAGAAGATTAAGCATTCTGGCTTTGTCATCAGGGTTACAGGTTTTTGTATGATCAAGACTTGCCCAGTGTAATAGAATCCTCCAAAATCAAGAGATGAACATATGATAACCTTTTACAGGCTCTCAACTGGATGGTATTTTACAGAGCTGGAAGATGAAGATGGTGAAGTTTTTTCTCTGGAAGAGATAAACAGAGATCAGAGGAATTTCGTTAAGGCTACTGGCTTTGGCAATGACGTTGAAAATACAGTATCTCTTGACCCAGGCACCCGAGTAGCCAATATGCTCTTATCTGTTCTGCATTATAACGGCATGTGCACACCAAAAGTTGAAAATTCAGGTCATTTCTATTCAGCAGTCTGATAAATGATCAGACAAATGGTAGGTATAACTAAATATCTACATACATAAATTCATACGTAACATACATTATTATTTTCAGGTTGTCAGTGAATGGCACAGTTCGTGGCACAGCTCAGATCACAGTTCATGGCACAGTTCTGCTTATGAGGACCATAGTGATTCAGTTTTAGGAGAGAGTTGGTCAGTAGAGAATTCGACACAGTCGGTAGAGACGAGTCCCATACAGACTCCAAGTGATCCTTATGTGCAACAAACAGTGCTTTTGTACTCACTAGAAGCTGTCACATTTGAGCAGGTATAAGTGGTGAAAAACATAGAACCTACCAGCTGCAGTTCTCACGTCTGTGTCAGCAAGCAGTGTGTATCAATGGAGAAGAAGTTCCCTCTAATTTACCAAAAATTGAGCATACTGGTCACATCTGAAGCCTTCAAAGATATTTCTTTTTTCCTTCTTCGTGTCATCATCGTCATCATCATCATCGTCGTCATTATTTGTACAGTAATTTACTAACTGTAACATAAGGGCTTTATTTAAAGGTTGAGAGTATCCTGCACCTTAACACTTTTAGGCGATAAATCATGATATGTGGTTTTCTTCTCAAAAGGCTTCCTCAAAAGTCTTTCACATCTCATTTCTGGTTCTAGTAGTTATTATTATTATTATTATTATTATTCTCCCTACCAGGGTATATTAAAAGTCTATGCAGTCTATAACATTCATTGCTGGTGCTGGTGATGGGACTAATATTAATGCAAAGTCTCTCTAAGATTAACACAATTAAAAAAAAATTGTCCAAAATACCTTAACTGAGCGTGCTTTCCACAAGTCAGAACTGACTGGCCGGATCACAACCAGACCAGTCATTTTGACAATGAAAAATGCTTTTTTCCAAGAGTTTTGATGAAAAACCATCTCTTTTGTGAAAGCTATTTAGGATTTCACCGATCTGGCTGGATAGTTTTGATTAAAAGTGAAATTCTTATTATGACGGGAATGGTTTGGCCGGTCAGTTCTGACAAATGGAAAGCACCCTGTGTTTGGTCATCTTCAATCGTCTCAGATTGTGACCTGATCACTGTTACCTGAAGAAAGATATTAACATGAGGGAGCAAGAATATTAGTCCAGTTGACTCTCGCCAAGTTGGACTGTCTCCATTGAATCTGATGTAATTCAGCTTGACAGCATTTTCTACCCCTCCACAACTCTATTTTGCGTACATTATTTTCTGTAGTCTCTCGCAGACAGACTCCTGGTGAGTTATGTTGATCTTAGCTGTCGTCCATCGGACTCAGTGTGGGTGTGTTGGACAACCCTCACAAAGAGAGAGTCAAAGAAAATGTGTATTGTTTTAGAACAGCAGAGAGTAACTCTGCCTGTTGGTTTTGAGAAGATTCTGTTTAGAGACTGTTTAGTTGACTAAATGCACAATGATATTGCTCAAAGTTAACAGTACACTGATCGAATTTTCTAACCTAACTTTAAAAGAGTCTCAGTCAACAGCAATAATAATATATCATGATGTCGTTAGTACTGTACTCAAATTGTTGGATTTGTTTATTGTGTGTGTGTTATAAACTTTAGAGAAGTTAATGGAAGTTCACTGTGCAAATTTCTCGGTCCCTTTTTGTTACTGCACAATGCAGCTTTCCATAAATATATTGTTAGTTTTTTATTATATTTATGTTTCTTTACTATAGCGTATCAAACACCTTTTAAAAGTAATAGTGCAGTGCTGATGCATTTTGAATAAACTGTATAAAAAGGTTCTAATGCAAGTAATTAATGCTTTATAAGTATGCAATTCATTTTTTTAAGGCAATAATTTAAAAACGTAGGTTTTCATTAACAATATTGTTATTGTAAGTTGAATGATTTTCATTGAAACTTGTCAGTCCTCATTGATGGACTGTCTTCATATAGAGACAAAAATTATTTCCAACCTCTGACTACAGAATGTTTTTTGCAAATAATTATTACTGCCAAATTAGTTGTATTGCTCTGTACTGCATTTTGCAAGCTTCGAAGGAAATTTGGGTGTTTCTGTTCTGTCAATCATCTTAGGGGACCTCTTAGGAAACACATGTTTACTTGAATGAGTTCTAAAGGTCATGGTTTGTGATTTGTGATTGGTGGATTTCGATCTGTTTGGTTTGTTTCTGTGTTTGAAGGTTCATTGCTTGTGATCGTCCTGTTTTGGGCTATAATCGACTAGTTTTTTTCTAATTGTGCGTATTCTTGTCACTTGCAAGAATAAAGCAATGTCTTCCTCCTTCTTTTGACAAAAATTCCAGTCGCCATGGCGATTTCCTTCACCATTCTCTGTTTTGTTTTTGCAGGCCAAGCTGGGTAAGCGTATTGCATTGTGACTTGCATTAACCCCGCCCCCACTGAAATGATTGAGCGAACAGAAAAAGCCAAATCCCTTTGAAGTTTGCAAAACACGAAGTGCGATGCAACAAATTTGCTAGTAATTCTACTACGATTATTGAAAATTTTGAACAATTTGTCACAGCAGTGTCAATGAATTGAAAGGAAAGAAAAACATTCAGTAATGATGTCCACCCATGTCTATGTTGTAATGATATCCCCAAGCAGCTGCAAATTAAACAGATCTTTAATTTCAAATCTTGAAGACAACACTTGATCTTTGGCAGTGAATAGTTTTCCCAAAGTTGTTTAAATTTTGATGGTGCTGAGTTGTTACATGGGGTGTGCTTTTGATCAACCTACTACATGAGTTGTATTGATAAATCAAATCAAAAAAATTGGTGCACATTTAAATTTTGTTTTACACAACCATAAACGCTTTTTTTCTTTGAGTTGTAATGTATCTAGCAGCTAAAAACACTGTTTCACATGTTTTGTTGAAGATGATACCACCATAAAGTGGTCATCTGAGCCACACGAATCTCTATCCATTTGCAGGGTAAAAGCTAGTCTCTCTCGCAGCCATTTTTTGGATGTCACGCAACGGCTGCAAGGGAGACTAGATAAAAGCACAACCCTCATTTCTCAGTTATCTCAAGACCCTGAATATTGGTCCAACCATGGATTAATCATGCGACCTCTTGCTCTGCTGTCAAAAACTCTACCAACTGAGCTAAACCTGCCTATGCAGGGATTACACACCTAAAATTTGGGTTCTGTATATTTATCATAAGCACACCACATGCATCAAAGTTGTACCAGGTAAACTGGCCTCAAGATTGTTATCACCTTGACAATTTCTGTTTTCAATTTTAGGTTGATGAACTAGCAAGTGAGATTTCCAACATTGCAATAGAAGAAGAGGTTGATCCAGAGGTTCTCAACCTAAGACACCGGCAAGCGTGGGAAAGTGGTGAAATTGATTACTTAGGGCGAGACAAATTCGACCTTATCCAAGATTGGATTCAGGATTCTATTAGCAATGTTTTGAGAGATCCTTTGGATATTCCTATGTTCCTTGTTTTTTAGACTGTTTGGCAAATAATAATTAATATTATAATAATTATTATAAACCAATGTAAGGACCAATCCACTAACTTAAAGTCATCTCTTTGAGATTTTATGAGCTTTAGATTAGGGGAAGGGGGCGGGCAGGGGGACTTGTGATGTCTGCTGGTCATTAATATAACAGGTAATCCTGAGTTTACAGCTTGTAGGCAAAGCTCATTATTACATTATTATTATTATTATTATTATTATTATTATTATTAAATCATTATTAGTATTATTATTGCAGACAATAGTTATGTTCCATAGTTCAGAGTCAATTCAATAGACCTATGACACTAAGAAGCAGATGTCAATTTATTGACTGGCAAAACTTTTCACAGTATATATGCTGTTGCAAGGACAGCAATCTGAGTTTGCCACACGTTGTCTTTCCCTGGAATGGAGCTGGTAAACTTTTCCAGTTCCCTCTTTACGAGACTTGGGGTGTTGATGAGGACTTGTGCTTTTTTTGTCATTATTAGTAATATTATAATTTTTGAGCTAGTACTCGTCAATGAAGTATAAATTGAAGATTTTTACCCCTTATCTCCTGGAGAAAGATAGGGCAAATTAGGTGTAAAAAGTAATGGTTCTTTTAACCAGGGGGCATCTTGGACATATTATAAGAGGGCTTTGTAGGGTAGTTACCTTTAACTGGTATGTTTTCAAAGGTTCTTTAACTCTACCTGCCATAATTCTTTCAGTGTATTAAAGAGGAGTACTTCAGCAGAATTATTACAGGGGAGGGGAGGATTCTCCTGTGACCTGAGCGTCTTTTAGGGAAATCATTGATTCCTTTATTAAGACCTAAACTAAGACCTAAACTAAGAAGACTTCTTCATATTCTTCTTTATGAGGATTATCTAAGAAAAGCAAAACAAACTATCCTATTTACTGGTAAATGCTCCGTTTATAGTGGAGGTGCACATGGCTACTCCAGCTATAGTGAAAACCACAATGAACATTTGCATGACAGAGAAAATGGCCACCATGCTTGATTTTGTCCCGCCAACTTAGGAAGCAGTCTGTTGACTGCTGTCTGTAAGGAAGTACCCAACAGTGTCAATCCCTGAACATTTTTTCTTTCTTCTGTCACTTATTTTTATTGAAAAATCTTGGAGGATTCTTGGCCCTTGTTAGCACGTGGACATGAAGTGCCAGATTAAAAGTTGTGACACACGAGAACATGTTGTTTTTTTCCACTTCTGCAATTAAGAATTTTATTATTGGTTTCAATGTCACATGTAGAGGCGGACACGAGCAGCAATTTCGAGGAATGCAATATGATTGAATAGTAAAACTACAGTAATGATATTAATTACAGAATAACAATGATTCAATGCAGTACCAAATTTTTACTTGCTTATTTTAAATTAAAGCAACGTAAATAAACCTGGAGTTTGAATTGTATTTTGTTACAACTGATGGTTGCACTCTGGCTTCAAAAGGAAAAAACAATATTTGGTTCTTTTCAAAAGGCAGTATAAACTGAATAAGCCTGCCCACTCAATTAAACTCCCCCCCCCCCCCCCCATATCAAACGCGCTGGAAATAAGTAAGCCCCACCTGGCTTCACAGAGGATGTACAGTACTAATATCCGAGTCTTTCTTCACCCAGATCGTAAATCAGCATGGGTGTACGGTTTGTTTGTCAGAAGTAATCAACTTTTACAATTTATGGAAGTTTTGCAGTTTTTATCTTTAATACGATTCGCTGGGCAAATGTTGCAGCTAATACATGTGCTGAAATTAATCTTATTTGGGGAAATTTAAAAGAGGTACCTTTGGGCTGTTGTTTGCCTCAGGGAGCCCTGAACCCCCAGGTTATACCTTTACTGTATTTCTAACTACTGTCAAACCTGTGTTACAGTCAAACCAGGTCAAGCGTTCCCGTCGCTAACGAACTAACGAATTCATTCACGGAAAAATGATTTCGTTTGTTGATTCAATAATCCATTCATAAAATGAACAATCCAATATTCATATTTAGCCTCGATTCCATAATCGAATGTTGATTCGATTACTGTTTTTTGAAAAATTACACTTTCCACAAGTTGACCTCAGAATTTTGTTTTTTCCTCTTTTTTTTCTGAGAGTCGAGTGCTGGCGAGTTCTGAAGTTCAAACCCAAACAAACTGTTACATGTACGCCAGTTTGCTGCCAGTAATCAGTGCAACAGACCTAGGCCTGACCTCTTAGAAAACACAACGGTCAAACTAAGGTCAGTGTATGTGCGGTGATTGGTGGATTTCGATCCTCGGCCTTTGTCAGTTTCTCATAGTTTCTTTGCGTTTGCGGTCTGTCTATTCTAGCTGTTATTTTGATTAAAGGCAATGAAAAACGCAATCGTAAAAGGCAGGAAAAAGGAAGCAAATACGATTGAACACAACAGACAAGAACAAAGAACAGCTAGATTTTGTTCATAAACCAAATCAACATTTGATTATTGAATCGAGGTCCAATTTGACTGTTGGATTATTCATTTTATGAATGGATTATTGAATCAACAAACGAAATCATTTTGCCATTAATGAATTCATTAGTTTGTTAGCGACGGGAACGCTTGACCTGGTTTGACTGTAATAATAATAATAATAATAATAATAATAATAATAATCTTATATAGCGTTGTTTCTCTACTCAACCAACAGCGCTTTACAACAGTGAGTGATAATGAAAAGTAAATAACATAAAAAAGCCTGATAAAATGCAATAATTAATGATTCTTACAATTCAAAGTAATTTCTAAAAAGGTATGTCTTAAGAGTGGATTTAAAAGATTCTGCTGACTTGCAACGTTTTATACTTAATGGGAGGGTATTCCACAGTTCTGGGCCAATAAAGGAGAAAGCTCCCTCCTGTCAGCGGGGCTGTACCAGTATGGTCTATAGTGGTGACCCTAGGCAAATGGCAAGGTGACCGTTGTATACAGGGTGATCACTATATAGAGGTCAACTTTGCAGAAAATATAAGGCAAGGTGACCGCTATATATAGGGCTGTTATATACAAGTTTGACTCTGTTAGTTACTATTAACCAGAAACCTTGCATCTTCATGTCAATGAGAAGTTATTTTACGTTACAGGTAGTGAGGTGATACGGCTAAAAGTCTATTTTCTCCACTCTGTCTGAAAGTGAACTGCTTCAGTATCCGCCAGAACACCCTCGCCTTTGTTGCGGCACTTACCCTCTGGGAGGGGGTGGCTACGCCCTTTATTCACCAGTTTTTGGTGTTTACATTTTCCGTAATTTTACACCTTCCTAATTAACCTCTTCCAGTCAGATGGTCTTCGAAAGTAAACCTCTTCGACTTCTTGGTCAGTCTCACGATTTCGGTGACGTGTTGTCACAGCCGTCGCTGATAGTACTGTAAATACACCGAAATGGTCACTTGGGAGAATTCCAGACTTCGTCAACTTGTCGCCAACGACCCGCATTTCCTTGACTTTGAAATCGCTCAGTTTGCAAAGAACACGATCCAGTCTTGCTTTGTAACTTGTGGCGTTTACAGTTCTCTTGAGAACAGAGGCGAAAGGGGTTTTGCTGCGATCCCATGTTAGTCCATTACTATCAGTGTTTCCTGGTAGAGACAGCCATGCGTCAATCCAAGGAGAAGGAAGAACAATGTCTCCGTCAACCTTATCTTCAATGTTCAAGTCACCCATAACGCAGACATTTTCATAAGGGGAGAGAACTTTCAGTGATTCCTTTAACTGTAGCTCGCGAAGAATAGTATTCTCGCCCGCATGGACAAAGTGTGTTCCTGCAATCACAAACTGAACCTTCGAAGGAATAAGATGCGTAGTTTCTGCAACAACAAGTTTTCGCTTTCGTGGAGAATTCACAAATCGGGAAATATACCAGTTTTGTACTGCTGGATACGTAATCAAAATGATTTCGAGAGAAATCGTTCCCTGTACCGTGACATCAGGGGGAATCAAGCGATATCTAGAAAACCACCTCTGTTCTTTTAACACTACCAAGTTTTCCAGTGTCACTTCTTGAAGAACCAAAATATCTGGCTCGAGATCGTCTACGATTTGTCCCAAAGCTGCTATTCGCTCCCGCATCTTCTCAGGAGAACGCCAAATGTTGTATGTTAGCATGCTGATTTCATCGGGAGCACGCGATCTTGTTCTTCCATGAGCAAGCGAGCCATCGGAAGGAAATCTTAGTAAAGCACGGAGAACAAACACAGTGATTGTCGAGACTAAAATGACCAGAAGTGGGTGCTTTCGAATAAGCAACAAAGCTCTGTTGTGATATGAAGGCATGTTGACTAGCGTGACATGCCTTTCCGCTGGCACACTTGGATCTTTGCTCGGGAGGTGAGACTAGGTCGCGTGATCGGTACTTCCTCGTTTCCAGGCTCACTCTTTGGCAAGGTTTGTTTGTAAATAATTACAATAATAATTATTTTAATAACCTGTGGTGTAGCTTCGTTAGTATTTTAATGGCACGAATGCTAGGTAGCTTGTGGTTCCAAGCAAATGACCGTAACAAATACTTTAAATGAAACATCCACGCTATTACAACAGCAACAACAATTTTATTTCTTGTAATGTATTAATGTAGTTTTTATGTATGAGCTTGCTACTAAAAAAAAATTCGAGTGTAAATAAAGTTTATGTATCGGTCAGTATAAAATATGGGCTACGGACTTCGGACTGAGTATGAAATTCGTACTAGGTATAAAGCGTTGGCTAGAAAATATGGACTGGGTATAAAACGCGGACTGCGGACTAGGTATAAAATACGGAATTAAAATAACTGCAAAAATCGAGGACGAAGATCCTGCTGGTTGTAAAATACGGACTACGTTGGTAAAAACTGTGCTAATTGGTTCTAGGTAAGGTAAAATAAGATCAAAAGATCGCTAAATAGCAAGACACGATAACAGTGGCCATGGGCACCCAACGAGAGTATAGCTCAAAACCACTTAAACATAGCATTGTTTAACGTTTTTTAGTATTTAAACAGTAGATATAGGCATATTTTGATCCCCTAAAAATTTTTCATCTGTTCGGATTTCCTAGCTGAAAGTCTAGTGATCCGAAAATTATAGGGATTAAAACTTACATTTTCGAAAATTTCAGCCAGGAAAAAGGCTACCAAAAATTCTAGGTGACCTTTTTAGGGTAAAAATCCGTTAAAAATGGACAATTATACCATTTTTTAGATGTTCGAAAATCCTAGGAGGGGCAGGTAAGCAAGAAATTTTACAACAAATGTTCCGAAAATTCTAGATCTCAAATCGTCTTCCGAACAGATATTTTTCCGAAAATTTACGTTGGGTGCCCCTGAGTGGCAGATCCAGACCTTCAGATAAGGGGGTGCCCAGTCATCCAGACCGTGAGATAAGGGGAAAGGGCCCAGTCTCAAAAAAATTTTTTTCAGCCCTCAGTTTTGGTCCTCTGGATCTGCCACTGAATACTCCTAGAAATTCTTGGTGGAGGTGTACCACCCGGTTCTCCAACTCCTGAGCCTGACGAAAATGCTATTTTCTACACACATTTTTAGACCCGGTCACGTGGGTCTCTAACATCCATGAAAATGGTTATAAACGCGATGTACATGTTTACATAGGTTAAGGAGCAGGGCGAAAGCATGTCATCAGAATAGTCCGCGTTTTATACTCAGTCCGCAGTCCTCGTTTTGTACTGACCAGTTTATGTATGTATATATATAGCCGAATTTTTGAAAACATACCTCAAAATGGGCCAGAATATTCGCACAGAAAGCTGGCGATAGCCAGGTTTCTGGTTGCTCCGGTGAGAAAAAACATAGGGGGCTTGCTGTCCTGGTTGGTCTCATTGTCAAGCTCAGTCCCTGAGCTAACTCGCCATGGGTTGGAAAGGGGCCTCCATGTCAATCCCTAGGGGGGAGGGTGCTGCAAAAGCGTTGTCCCTTCTGGGAGAGTCTGTGCACTGGTCATGTCTGCCTTTAGTTTGTCATGTCAAATTCTTGTAACGTTTGAGGCCCATTGGCCAATGAAAGCATTCCCCTCAAGCACGTGCTAGGCTGGGGGGTGGAGGAAGTCAGGGGGGGTGATTTAACCTTGAATTCTCTGCTTAGAACTTGCTTAAGTCTCAAGCATCCCCCGTCATTTAGGGCCTTTAAGCCGCTAGAGTGTATGGACAAGTCCAGAGTGTCTTTTTGATGGACTTGAATGTTTCTTTTGCTAATCAGGAACCAAGAAGAGAGACACCTTAAGAGAACCATGGCTAAGAGCTGAGTTTCTTGGCAATATTTACTCTAGTTGAGTCAGTTTAAGCTGTGTGGGCTCCTGGAGTCCGATGGTCCGGTTTTCATAAATCCGGCTAGATATGTATGTATGAATACTTTTGAACAAAACCGGGATTAAAATTTAACCCTAGGTTAGCGCTAATCCCCCTTCAAACAACGGGGTGCCCTCTTAGGTTATTAGTAGGGAGTTTAAGTAACGGCGATGGGAACGAGAACGGCAAAAAAGGCAATAGGTTAGATTAGCAAAACAAAAACTTTGTAGGTGCATCACGCTTTTTTGTACATTTCTTATCCATCGTTGCACGACTACAATTAAAACGTGAAAGTGCCTAATTTCACGTTTTGTCGAGGACGGGAACATAACGTAACAACTTTCTTTTTCTATTCCTGAACTTTGATACAGTCCTTCAGAATTCAACTCCCAAAAAATTTGCCCACATTTGACGAATTAAGCGAGATGGAATAAGCGCGATAAAGTTTGAGACACTAGCGGGAATTCACATTTTAAGTGACGTTTTCTTAGCCGTAGCCGTCGTTGTTGCTTAAGCACCCTTTATGAATTTTGCAACAGGACGGCAGGAAGAAGAGGACAGCAAAACGTTTGTGTGCCAATAACGTGACAGGGCCATTACTTGTGTGTTTTGTCGTGATCTTCACTTAACCTTAATGTCTACTGGTCTTTTAAAAACAGGTCTGTTTAAAGGAAGGTGAAGTTTAGCGGAAATTTTTTTCAAACAAAATTATTGTCACGTTTGTCACACAAGGTTTACCGTCTTCTCTCCTCTCCCGTCATGTTGCGTATTTAAGACGTTTTACAGCGACGCACGTCAACCGAACGTGAAATGTTTTAATTCTTGGGCAATAATTTTGCCCGAAAGGTTTGGCCAAATCGTCTTTATGAGACTTGAGAACACTCAGCAATACAAATTTGGAATCATAACGGCGAATTAAAAGGGAAAAAGGCTCAATTCCGTTTGACGTGTGTCGCTGAAAAAAAAACCTTTGCTTAAGCTCCCCAATAGAGAGGAGAAGTCCTCACGTCACGATGCCATGGTAGCAAAAGTTTTGGATGACAAGAAACCTGATAAAGTCACTTAAAAGTCTACTCCTGGTCTATTCGCACTATTTCAAGCTTCACCGATCTTATTCAATTTCGTTTAATTTGGCAAATCTTGGCGAAATTTTCTTTGGGATTGTATCGATCGTTATCTAAGTTTAGAAAAAGAAAGCGATAACTTTTGTGTGTGTTCACCTACTCCATAAAGCGGGCTCGTGAAATTAGGAAGTTTCATGTCGTAGTGGTGCAACGATGGCAAAGAAATGTACAAAATAGCGTGATTGACGTGCAAAGTTGTTGTTTGTCAATATAAACATTTTTTACTTTTTTCCCCTACTTGCCGTCGCCGTTGTCGTTGGTTTTGTAGTCATCCAATTTTGAAATATCACTAGTGGTATTTATGTCAAATATCACGTACAAATCATCCTATTATTTGTTTATACTACTGCCCACAAAAGGTTTGTAATTTTCACATGCAGGTATTTCAAATTAAGCTGAAATACCACTGCTCTAAGCCAATTAAATTGCAGTAATTTTTTATGTAGTAGTATAAATGTTATAATCATTGTCATCATTAGTCGGGCAATGAGGGAAGGAAACCTAGCAAAAAGTGGGCTGCACGTTCAGGGTTTTTGTTTTGCTTGTTTTCTCGAATCCGTCGTCATTGTGGTTACTCTGATGAGCTCTCTAGTAGTGTTAGTATAGGAAACGACCCACGAAAATCGACGACGTTCTTGTAGCAGTTGAATATAGCATCAGAGTTAAAGCTCTGTTCCATTGTTTAAATGAATACAAAAACGAGTTCTTTGTGATCTGTAGCTGAACAGCAACTTCAAAATTGAATTCTATCGAGAAAACTACCATGCCTGTCGTGCTTTACGGCTTTTTTGCTCGTAATTCACAGTAAAATTGCTGTAATTATTATGTATTTACATTTTTTCCTATTTCAGTTTTCACCTGATTAATTAACCTCTTCCAGTTAGGTGGTCTGCGAAAGTAAACCTCTTCTTGGGCAGTCTCAAAATTTTTGTTACGTTTCGTCTGGCTCGTAGACGATAGTTCTATTACTGTAAACACACCGAAATGATCACTGGGGCGAATTCCAGACTTCGTCAACTTGTCGCCAACGACCCGCATTTCCTTGACTTTGAAATCGCTCAGTTTGCAAAGAACACGATCCAGTCTTGCTTTGTAACTTGTGGCATTTACAGTTCTCTTGATAACAGGGGCGAAAGGGGTTTTGCTGCGATAATATGTTAATCCATTGCTGTCAGTGTTTCCCGGTAGAGACAGCCATGCGTCAATCCAAGGAGAAGGAAGAACAATGTCTCCGTCAACCTTAACTTCAATGTTCATGTCACCCATAACGCAGACATTTTCGTATGGAGAGAGAACTTTTAGTGATTCTTTCAGTTGTTGCTCGCGTTGAATAGTATTTTCTTCTGCGTGAACTAAGTGTGTTCCTGCGACTACAAACTCTACGCCAGGTGAAACAGCGCTCCTAGTTTGTGCTACGACAAGCTTTCGCATGCGTGGAGAATTGACGAATGGATGAATGAACCATTTTTCGACAGCATATACGATTAGAATTATCACAAAATGGTGAGGTTTCTCCTGCATCTTGACATCGGAGGGAATCAAGCGATACCGGGAAAACCACGTCTGTTCCTCTAAAATGGCCAAGTTCTCCCGTGTCACTTCTTGAAAAACCAAAATATCTGGTTGGAGATCTTCGACGATTTGTCCCAAAGCTTCCATTCTTTCTCTCATCTTTTCAGTAGAAAACCAAATGTTGTATGTTAACATACCAATTTCATCACGCGATCTAGATCTTCCATGACTAAGCGAACCATTGAAAGGAACTCTTATGAAGGCGTGGAGAGCGAATACAATTACTATTAAAACTAGAACGACCAGGACGGGGTGTCTTATATTACGAGGAATGATCAACGAGGCTAGATTGGGATTCGAAGACATTTTAACTCATCATTTTCTAACAACATGTAAAATGTTAGCACACTTCCGGTCATGCTCGGTCATGCAAACATACTTTTTACTTATGTAAATTTCAAACTTAAATTTTAGGAGTAGTTAAAAAATATTTTCTCTCGCTATAGCTCTGGCCCTGATGAAGGCTAATTTTGTTAGCTGAAATATTGGCCCATAATGATATAATAAATCAGCCCTTTGCCCCAGTGCCAGCCCTGCATTCAGTTTGTTTTATTTCACACTTTACCTGACGTCTGGCTACAGCATCTTTTTAATTAGAGATCCGGCAAGAGGAACCAGTCAGGTTTATTTACGCGTTCCGTGGACCTTTCTGCATTCAAACAGTTTTTCATACTTTTTCCTCGTTTCCAGGCCCCTTGAATTTTCCTTTGTTCCCTTCGGAGGGCAGTCAAAACCGTTTTGACTGCCAGGTGCCCAGGCCTCTGGCTGTGTTAGTAATTTTTCCAAATCTTTGTTAATTGAGACGTAGTTTATGTTCAAACATGGGAGATATTGACTCTAAAAAAGCCCCATCGAGCTACCTTAAGCTGCGATAAATAAAACAGGGCAACAAAAACATGCAAGCAGATGAATGCAACGATGAATTCTGCAAAAAGAGTTAAAAAGCAATGCCTCGGGTTTTACCACCAACGTTCAAACTTGTCTTGCGACAAATCATGTTGTTGCAAGTTAATAAGAAGTGATGATAATAAAGGTCTTTATTAATCACTCATTTCGTAAACAGGGGTGCAACGATTTACATGGCAAGAAAATGAATAAAGGAAAGCGAAAAATACATAAGGAAAACGACTAAATATATGTTAGTTACTATTAAGAAGACATCTATTTATAAAAACTGATTTAAAACGACCTGTCCGAACATTAGGTAGAATATAATTATGCCAACCTCGTCCCCAGGGCTTTTCCCTTGAAAAACCACCCATTTTTCAAGGGAAAAGCCCTGGGGACGAGGTTGTAATTATGCGACCTCGTTCCCATCTGCCGTGTTCTCTGGGGAGGTAAAAGATCGCTCAACGCAGTGTTAGTAGAAGTGATCCTTCGCCATAACTTCATATCTCTATCACGACGAATGACCAAGATACTGTACTGCCTTAAGTAGTAATCTAACTTAAAACACCTGGCAAAGAGAGCGCACCCCCAGACCTCAATAGCATGCATATATGAAGACTGACTGAAAGGATCAAACTTTGAAAGAGTAAGTTTAAATTTTCAATGGAGCACCCATAATATTTACATATTCTTATAATATAATATACAACCTACTGCTAGCCTTAGTAAGAAAACAATCAATATAACTGTCCCAATTAACTGGCACTTGCTCAAAGGTAACGCCCAACAGTTTCAGTTTCTCTTTCCTCCCTATTATCTCTAGTGGTTCAGGAGGCGTCTTAGTAGTCCTTCCTTGTAAAAGCAGTTCCCATATTTTTGTCAAATTAACTTTCATGTACCCTGGGTACCAGAGGTTTTTCTCGCGTGCGGTGGGAATTTTCGGTGTTGGCCGAAGGCCGACACACGCTAGAAAAGTCCCTGGCACCCAGGGTAATTTTCATGCAGGTCAGTTCTCAGACCATTCAATAAAGGATAGGATTTTCGTTTCAGACTCATCTAAGCCTACATTTGCCTCAATTGGCAAGCTAACAGTTATGTCACCTGCAAATTTGACTAGAAGATTCCTATTGGTATTAATAGCTTTGATATCGTTAATAACGATAGAAAAGAGGATCAGCCCCAGGGCTGTACAATGAGGAACACCCCTATTAAAAAAAAACATATTTAGTACGGTAGCCATCGCAGTGGCGGATCGAGGGGAGGGGTCCCCCCTTTATTTTTAGACCAAACTGATGCCCGAAGGACCGAAAAAAATATTTTGGGAGACCAGGCCCCCCCTTTTCTAAGGGTCTGGATGACCCCCCCACCCTTATCCTAAGGTCTGGATCCAGCCCTCATCGACAACCACCAGGAGCAACAACTCCTGCAACAACTCTCTGCTTTCTCTCTGCTTTCTCTGATCTAACAAGCCTATAAGCCAATTAATAATATATGGATTAATGTTCCTTTGCTTCAATTTACTACACAGGATATTGTGTGATACAGAGTTGAAAGCCTTACTAAAGTCAAAGGAAAAAACCAGACAAAATCGGCATTACCATCCACCCACTTAAGCCCTGACGTTGGCACTTAATTAATGCCATGGTAGATTTTCTGACCTTTAGCCTGCGTAGCAGGCGCTTGGAAGTAGTGGGCAGAAGACACTAGAAGGAGAAGGAGAAGTTAGAAGGAGACACTACTTCCAAGCGCCTGCTACGCAGGCTATATGGCCTTCACGATAGGCAAACTGATCTAAATCGATTTAATAATTGCAAATACTGGAAAGTGCATAGCTATAGACCAATCGTTCGAAAAGTCTCATGATAACAGCAGTCAAAGAAATGGGTACAGCAAGTTGCGTAAATACTACCGATTTCTTATTGGATAAAATAACTTGGGAGTCAAGAGTCACTGCGAAAAGTAGAACTACTCGTTCTCATGTAAAACCAAAAATCCCGAGAAATCTGGAAAGCCACGAGGACTCCCCGGAAGATTATCTGAATCTTCTAGGTATATAAAAACTAAATATAAACATTAAAATAAATAATAGTAAAAAAAAATTACCAATCTAGACCTCACTCTTGGTACGTTAAAAATGCTTGCGTATAAAAATCGTCTTGAGGTGAATGAATAGATGATGCTTCGGAATAATCTATAATTTTATTTGACGATTATAGTTTAAAGCTGGTTTGTCAACAAAATTGCCAAAATGATGGCAATACCATGATCTAGTCTCTCAGAAGTCTTTCGCTTCGCAGCCATTTTGTATTTGTTTGCCCGACCGTCTCTCTGTGGAATCTGAATATGAAATTTCACGCGACAACTGTGGTTGCATAACCGTGTTTTGATTTTTGATTGGTTATTCATGTTATTCGTGGATCACTGGTCGGACTCGTTTTGAGGCTCTCGTTTAGCAAGCGTGTCTCGTTTATCGAGTCTCGTTTCTGAGACGAGTCAACGAGTCTGGTTTGAACGAGTCTCGATTCCACGGCCTGGATTGAACTACCGAATACGTAATCGAGAGGCCATTAAATCGAGACGATTTTTATCGAGTACTTTTAGATACGTGATCCGTTTTTTTTATTATTGAAAAACCTCTCAGACTCCTCTCCATCGCGACAAGCGACAGGAAATTTCGGTTTTTAGTAAGAAAGCCACATTTACAAAATATAGGTTTGGAATTCGTAAAATTTTTATTCGCCTGGCAAAGTGCTACGTGTTCTCCCAACAGATCCAACAGCGTCATTTTTTTAATCTCCAATGGTAACATGAGTTTAATTATGATCAATTTTATAACATAATCTGCCTATACTTAGCTTTTACGACGTTCATTCTTGTCTTCCCAAAATTAAAATGAAATAATCAATAATTATTATGTTGCTTGACTGGGTCTAAAACATGACCAAGTTAAGCTATTTTCCTGTTTACTCAAGGTATATTTTAAAAATATTGCATGAGTCAATGATGCACTATTGTGCGAGTTTTTGCTCTGGCTAATGGATAAAGGTGTTAAAAACCGCACTTGCAAGGCAGTTTTGTTTTAATTTTCGTTAGTATGTACATAATATATTTCAAAAGTTTAAAAACAATTTCGTACATTTGTCAATCATTTTAGTTAAATTTAAGGACATCATTGACAGTTCTGATGGTTAACAAGAATGGTTGTCCACGATCGATCTTTTTTTTAACTATTAGCAAAGACGAAAAATTCTTGTGACCTGGCTGTGCTTTATCGGGAACTGGTTTAAAAATATATTCCCTTTATAGTTGACAATTTATACTTACGTTCAACAATCCAACCATTGGGGTGCTAGGAAACCTTCAAAGTTTGACAAGTTTTAACAAAAATCCTAAATGATCTAGGTTGAATCAAATGTAAAAGCATTAAAATGAAAATTGCGTGAGAATTCAATATCATTAAGGTCATTCTTCAATTCTTTGAACTAAGACTGCAATAGCAAAGGCAGAAACGCTTCCTTAAAACAAAATTATACATTGCATTTCACGCGGTCACGTCAGTTTGGAATTCTTGCGTCTCTTCGTTTTCTATCACTTTTTTACTGGGGTGACGGTTCCGCTCGCACCAACGAATCGCCAATATAATTGCAGCAACAACGCTAACAGCCACCGCAAAGCCGAGAATTGAAAAGCCAACAATTTTGACGATCTTGTTTCCAGTCCCCGGTGCGGTAGTGGTGTGCTCGGGCGCGGGCTTCACGGTCGATTGTGGCGGTTCTCTGAAAAGCTGTTTCACGCGGTCAAGAGATCCGTTGTGTTCTGCTGGTTCGATTCCGAGGATGTGACAAATTAAAGGATAAATATCTGTAATCTCGAACGGTTCGGAGGTCATATTCTTTTTGAACGCGGGTCCACGCGCAATGAAAAAAGGATACATATCTTTGATTGAATTATTATATCCGTGTTCGCCCCTGATAACTCCCGCTGTGAAATTATCTTCAGGTAATTTGGAGCCACGAATATACCACCCCTCTTTCATTAAAGCCACTATGGAGGCAATTCTTCGGTTGTTCTTGAAATGAAGACTTTCGGGCACATTTTCTCTTTTATAGACTTCAAATAGCTTTGTCTTTCGTTGCCCGTCTTTGAGGCTGTCAAGAACGTAGGTCTCTTTTCCTGGGTGTGGTTGGATTGTGAAGAAGGCCTTGTTTCCCGACCAACCTTCGTAAGTACTACTATTGACAATGTTATCAAAGTTAATAAAGTTGCTTGTGTTATAGGCGATCATACCATGGTCAGAGGTTAGTATAATATTTACTTTGTCGATCAGGTTTACTTCTCTTAGCTTATCCACAAGGTACCCGACGACATGCTTATCATAGTATTTGATCTTCGCCTTAATCTGGGACGAATCGGGCCCGTATTGATGCCCAACTGTATCTGTATCCAAGAAATACATCGCTATAAAGTTCGGTGGGTCTTCCGCGCTTAGCCATTCTATTACCAAATCAACTCTTTCCTTCACTGGCATTCGATTTGCATACGGGAAAACGAAAGGCTTGGAGTACTTCGTACCATTAGTGCTGAAACTCGGAAAGACGCCGCGAATTTCTACATCATAACCCGGATAATAACACACTCCGCTCTTGAACCCCTGCTTTTGATTCGTGACCCAAATCGGCTCGCCACCATTCCACCATCTTGACTCGTTATTAGCGCTGTCGAATATGGCTTGGAACGTTGGATCGTACATCTCGTTTGCAATGATACCATGACTCTCCGGATATAGACCAGTGACTATTGTGTACATATTAGGCATAGTGACTGTTGGAAATGCGTTCTTGATGAAGGGCGCTTTGACGCCCTCGTTTACGATGGAATCCATGTTAGGCGTATCAGCTTTGGACATGTAGTCCCAGCGAAATCCGTCCAAGGCGATAAGAACAACGATAGGTTCTTTAGGCCGATTCCTTGATGTGGAACTGGCTGAAACCATTGCACATATCACGCAAATGTACAGGATTACCAGTTCAAATGTTAACTTTACAATTAACATCTTGGCGACAACACATAAGCTCCTTCAGGTCTGACGTAGAAAAATCGATGCGTTCTTTTTCTTACTTCATTGCAACGATGGAACTTAGCAAGGCAGAAAATGACCGTCAATTACATCCACAGCATGACAGATGTATAAGGGAACTATAAACAAAGCGCTATGTATGCAAATCAAAAACAACTGAATAAAACCAGTTCTCCTTGGCTGAAGTCCCGTGTGACTATTTAACCTCGGAACCGGTGAGGTTAGCTTAACGAAACTTGATCAATTGGATCAAATTTAAATGGCTTAATGGCAACCTACCAAAATCATACCGGAAATAAGATAACATACATTTTTAATATTTGCGCGCAATGTTTGCGAATCCCTTTCTTAACGTTTTGTGGTCTTGCATTATTGTAAACATGGTCGACAAAGTTTTTTAAAACACCAAGTAGAGAAACGAATAATTTGTGAACTCTCGATACCGATTCACACCATCAATTTATGACCCGTCTGTTTCAAAATTTGTACAAATTGTTTTCTTTACGTCCTGTTTAATTTCTTTCACGGCAACTAATATAAACAAAGCATAATAATTTGCTTAACTTAAAATATGGTAATTCGTTTTCGACTGATAAACGCTTGAGATTGGCAACATCCTGTTTCCCTGACACCAAGATAGGATGTGACTAATACGAGGAAAGGGGAGCAGGGAGCATTGGCGGAAGCAGACCTTCAGATAAGGGGGGAGGGGGGGGGGCGGTCATCCAGACCCTGAAATAAGGAGGAGGAGGGGGGGCAGTCTCTAAAAAAATATTTTCCGGCCCTTCAGGCCTCAGTTTGGTCTAAAAATTAGGGGGGCCCGGTCCCCCGGTTCCCTCCCCTGGATCCTTTACTGGGGAGTGGGGAAGTACGGAGAACGAGGTAACAAACTCTAACTTGAACCAGAGGAGTAACGATTGCCTTCCCACAATGCATTGAAATACCAAGTATATTATCACATCGTTCGTGAAGTCATCAGTTCAAGCCAGCTCTCGTCAGTGCTCGATCAAGATGACTGGAAGTTACGGAAAATATGGCAAACCGGACGTTTTGGTTGAATGGAAACCGTCCTCCATTTCCAATTCTCTGTCGGTTTTGTTCCCATTTTTTACTTCCCTTTCCTTGCTCCCCGTTCCTCGTTTGAGTAACTTCCCACTAAGATGTTCCGTAAAGTGCTTTCAATGTCGTACGTCTCCTCGCTCGGTCGCGCCTTTGGGACCTTTCGCTGTTTGCCATTGGAAATCCGGCTGAAAGGAAGGACGAAAACTGGTAAGACAAAAAAAAAATTAAGAACTGAAATGTTACCCTGTCCAGCTGCAGGACAAATAAATGTTGCAAACACTAGAACGTGTTGTTGAATCGATTAGAAGGCACTGTTGCCACTTGGATATGGATCGGCAACTGCTCCAGCAAAGTGAACGGCGTTTCCCAGGCCCCCACGGCCATTCTCTTTTAGTGGCAAATTCCTGACAAAAGGACTGCCGGTTGCCTTTTTTTCTCTTGTATGCTGTATTGAATAAATGTTATTACATTTCTACATTTTTCAAGGAAATTGCTCGTCTTAGAAAAAAAATATGACTCTTCAAAGTCACTTTTAGCTTATAGAGAACACCGATACTAGGTTACTGTTTAGCCGAATTTATACTGGAGACGAGTTATCCGTCTAGATGGATTGTCCGTCAGACGGATAATCCGTCTAAGTATAAATAAACGAACAGTTTGTCTAGATATTTTACGCGGGAAACAGGAAACAGTGCGAAAATATAGAAACCAGTCGACTCCCATGTATTTGGAAACTTCGTCAAAAAACCGTCTACGTTCCGTCTAGACATAAATTTAGAGACGGATAATCCGTCTAAGGCAAATTATCCGTCTGTTAGCACGTCTTGAACACGTGCTAACAGACGAATCAGCCTCAGACGAATTTTGCTCCATAATTCGTCCTAGCACCGAATTTATACTAGAGACGAATTATCTAATTCGTCTCTAGAATAAATTCGGCCTTTCTCTTGATCACGGAAGTAATTTGTCTGAGGTTCTCCAATAGAGTTCTGCAATAGGTCATTTGCACTAAGAGGTCATGTGACATCGTTTTTATGAAAATGAAAGTTATATGATTTTGCCTTCGAAAAAAGATTAGTGGGTCATATCTTAAACAAAATTATACTGGTTTGGTTTTTCAAACCTGTACCATTTTCTTAAGTAAGTTTGTAGCTGGTCACATGACCAAAATGTGATTTTCAAAATCAAGAATTACTTTCGTCTAAACACAAATTTTGCACTTAAACTTCAAGGAAAATGTTGAAAAGATGATGTGGTAACGTTTACAGCACATCTGAGCGTAACGTTCAAACGTTTAACAAGATATAAGGAAAAAGTAGTTTTGACCGCCATGTTGGAGGGCAAGAGAATGCCCTCCAACATGGCGACCAACACAAATCATACTACTTTGCTGAAAAATCAAAGTGCAATAAAATAGCTCCCTTAAATGCGTTTCCTCTCAAATTTCGGGTGTAAGAAAATTTTTATGTGCTCTGTCAATTTTTGGCATCAGCAAGATTCCAACTTATTATTTAAAGGAAGCACTGGTCACTTGACCTCTTAGTGCAAGTGGCCTATACTGTCATGCCGACCCAAATTTTCACATACCGACCGATTACTAGACCAGTCATCGTACAAACCGACCTCTCACAAGGCTACAACCAGGACGTAAGGAGCTAGGGTAGCTCCTTACGCCGTACTCCTTATTAATGCGACCGCAACGTGCCCATGTACGAAATTATCTCGTTCAAAATAAAGATAAAGACTACGTTGAATGTATAGAATATGTGACTTTTAATTGTTGAATATTGACTCTCGCGATTCTTCTGGCTACTGGACCAGTCTGTCAGTGCGTTGCCCAACTTCATCAGTTACTGCAAAATAACAGTGAGAAAACGAAAAAAAAAAGGTATCAAAGTGTATATTTTTCCAACCTACTGCTAAACGTTTTTTATAAATTGTATATTTTTGGTACACAGTCTCAGCTCTGCTTCCTTCGGAGTGCTTCATTTTCCTCGTTTATACGCCGTTCATTTTGATTTAGGTATTTGAAAGGGACTTTAATATTACAATATTTCAAACAGACCCACATTTGGGTGTGCCATTTTAATTCATAAAAGTAACGCTACATGAAAATTAGGCTGTATTCCCGCGGCTCTTTCGAGTCCAGTCGACGATTGGCTTCAACCTCGTTCCCAGGGTTCTCTCCTACTCGCTCTCCAGGCCTTCGAACAATCAGTAACACGCCTGCTTTTCAGGGTTTGCAGGCTAGACGTACAGGGCTAGATTTGCTTCAAGCCGACCCCTTACAAGTTCTTAAAAGCGAGGGAAGCGAGCTTCAATGAAGTTGAGCAATTGAAGCGAAGTTCAATAAGTTCCGCAGCGACGAACTTTAAATTGGCAACCTCAAAAGAATTGCCTGATCCCGTTGCAGAACGAAAAAACACGTTTCTGACCTTCTAGTAACTGGCTGTATCCTTATTTCCGTAAACCAAAGTCGAAATAATCTTCAGCATTTCCCATTGATTACAACATTGACAAATATTCCGTCTTGCTATAGTCTGAAATGTCACCCCTCCCCAAAGCTAACATTTTGCCCCAAGTAAGAACTAAGTGTTAATGTTGCCGTAGGGGAGGGGTAGGTGGGCAGTTTCCCGAAATCAGCCATCTCCTCGCCCCAACCCTCGAACGAGCGGGTGTGGGGGGGAGGCGAAGAGTCACCATTTCAGACTGGAATCGATCTGGTTACCTTGCCCTTCACACTCCTAACAGGTTTATAAAAAGTAACTTTTAGAAATAAGGCCCATCCTAAACCAGAAAAAAATAAGCGCCCAGCCTGAATAAACCACACCTCTTAATAAACTCAAATTAGGACGAATAAATACTAATAAGAGACTTCTTTTTCTTCCTTGAGGTTCTGTTATTACCATTTATTGTTTTGTTGGAAAAACACATAACATGAAAATGGTTTCTTGTCACGGAATAAGCGCCCACCTCGAATAAGCTCAAGGTCCAAAAATTTAATAAGCGCCCAGGGCGGTTAATCGAATAAATACCTTTTCACCTTCAAACTCATCAAAGTACTTTGAAATCCCAAAACAGTTTGAAGAACTTAATACAGGACGATCCTCGTATTTTTCCTTGAGACCGAAAATTTTTTCTTGTCACGGCAGCTACAGGCCAGCATACCTTCACCTTCAAACTTATCCTTTGAGGTTCTTCTTGAAATTTTTGCAAGGCAGCTTCAGGTTCTTCTTGGGCTTTCTTTCTTCTTTGATTTTATTAGTTAGCTTTTTAGCATATTTCTTCATCTGTGTTTTTAAAACTTTAAGTGAAGAGGAGAATGTTTCATCTTTGATAAGTCTGTTAGTAGAGACAATATTGATGCTAGTAGTGGCATTTGTTTCCTTCGCTTCATCATCCATATCCTCTGCTGACTTATTACCACCAATAAGTTGGTCAGTGATGTCGCAGTTTTCATCTGTGTCCTTGATGAAAGTAAAGAAAAGGAACTTAACCGACTGACCTATTAACCTCGTAACTAGGCTTCTCTCCTACTTGTCCCTCGGAGCAGTCACAGGAAAAAATAACAGATTCCCATTTTTGGATATTTTAGGGTATTTAAAGAATACCCACAAAAATTGCAAATTTGGAAGAGTGAGACAAGTCCCAATCAGGGAATTTCGTTGGGAATTCCCTGGTTGGGACTTGTCTCACGTTGCCAAATTTGGGATTTTTATGGGTATTCTTTAAATACCCTAAAATATCCAAAAATGGGAATCCGTTATCTTTTCCTGTGAGTGGGAAAACTGTAAAGCTATTATGTCAAGGAATAGCTTCCCGATAAACTGAAGGTGGTAGAGACCAGTCCACGAGAAGTCTCCGGGCGCTCTTAGCTCGGAAAGACCTGGACCCTACCAAGGGACGTGACATCA